GTCAAGGGTTACTTCCATTTTTCATAACTTTTTCACCAAATACTACAGTAGATAAAAAATATTGTAGAAAAATTTGAAGTTACCCCACATGCTTTGATTTCATGTTGTTTATGCGGTGGTTGAAACATATTTTTCTAATTGCCAATTTTTTTTTTCATGTGGAAGCAATAAATAAGGCATAATTAAAGTCAAATATTACTTTTTGCAAACCTCATTCCAAATACTTCAGTATCCTAAATAGAAAATGCATCTTTTCATTATTATGATTTTGAATGCAAGGCTCATAAAAAAACAAATTAAAGGATTTCAGCTGGATGTGACAGTGATTTTTTATGTCTTGTGAGATTTAAGATGTATCCCTTTTCCTTCAGCTTCTGTTTTATTATTTTTGTTATGTCAGTTGAAGTTTTTTCCTTAATTGTCTTATGGCCAAATAAATTTTCTCTGAGGTGATCAGAAGGAAAGTAAATTTATTGTATTGAATCCATTATTTGTAATGAGATGAAGCAACTCCTACAAAGCAAATACAGACATTGTATGGGTTCAAATTGCCTAATATATTATGTTTGCAGTCATTACTGATCATGAAATGAGTGATAAGCTTTTTGGTCAATTATTTTCTGGCAGGAATTTTTCTTGTATTTTTTCCTGGTTGAATAATCATAGTTTAGTACAACCACACATGATTTAACCCATTAGACTGTGGTGTTAAGATGCTTTTTATTGTTTAATTGGGAGGAAAAAAAATGTATTCAAGTCATTTAGTAAGCAAGTGTTAAAGAATATTGGGAGGAAGTATGTGTCAATTTAAAATTTAGGGCTGAGTCTATGTGTACGTGGAAAAAATATTTATGTTGAGAGGAGAGATAAACTTTTTTATCAGCCAGAATGGATAAATGTTTATCTGGTAACCCAAATTAAAACCTGGCAAATTTTTATCAATTTGCACCTGGATGTGACTACCTTTTCTATTTCATAGAGGTCTGCAATATTGTTTTCATTATCACTGTTTTTGTTTTCCATTTGTAAATAATGGCAATTCTTTGTCTGGCTTCTCAACTAACAAGCAACATGATTTGCTCTGGAAATTTCTCCTTGGTCTCATGAATACTAATATTTGGATGTCTGTCATGCAATCATTATGGACGTAAATTAAAGCTGACAAATGGCATCATGTATTTTCACTGATATCTTCATGAAACATTTGATCATTGGCCTTCCTTTATTTGAAATGATTTCTTAGCTATCCAGAAGAAATTTGGTGAGTTTTAATGTTTAAACTATCTTTTCAAATCTTCAGGTTAAAATTTAAATTGTTAAGTAAATTATGTACTTCTTTGAATAGTGTCTACACATTCTAGACAATTTCATCAGCACCATTCCCTCTGCCATCTTATTTTGTGTAGTCTTGTTGGAATAGATATTTAACTTTGGTTTGGAAATATTCCCTTAAGGAAAGAAAAAAGTATTTAAAATATGGCCATTTTTGTTTGATATTATTTTATCTTAAATTTTCTGTATTTTTATGAGTAATATATTATTATTTGAAAATTTTGTCCCAGTGCAGTGCAGGTGACATGACGTTAGTGGCTGTAAATTTTTTAAGGGCATGTCCCTCAAAAATTTATTTTTATTAGTTTATTTGATAGACAGAGACTCTTTCTGAAAATGTATTTTTGTCAGAATTAGTGATAGTATTATTTTATTTCAGTGACAAACTATTGGATAGAAAAAACTATAATTTCATAACAAACAGAGGAAGGAACCTGTAAAGTTCATGTTAATAGCCACTGTTCCATTTTTTTCAGCTCCAGTAACTTGGGTAATAGAAAATGCATTGAAATTGAGTTAATTCCTGTCCAACAAATGCAAAACAACTATACTACTTTTCCTACAGAATTGTCTATGACAGCAATCTTCACAGTAATGATCACTCCTGCTTAATTGAGGCCTGAAGAAAATTCAGGCTAGTACAGGATTTGAACCCATGACCTCCACAATAGCAGTGCAGTGCTTTATCAACGAGCTAACAAGCTGAACACCACTACAAGAACACTACTGCCTAATAAGTAGTGTTCATTACTGGGAAGATTGCCCTCATATTCACTTATTTATCCACAGTTCACATATGATTTTCATATATTCACAGTCATTTTTTTCCTACAGAATCTGCTTATCATATGATTTAGGGCAATTGCAGTTTAATGCTAATGCTGAATGTAAGGAGATAAACATTGCAAAATTTGATCCAAAAGAAATCTCTAATCCAATTAATTGGGAATAACTGTAAGTTAATTTTTTCATTTAAAATAATGAAAAAAATAATTTTATCATTTTCTGGTGAAAGGTTACTGGTAATTGAATATTATTTTTTTCTAAGTGCCATCTTTCAAAATTTGAAAAGGTGTGAAATTTCCTCCTAGTATGGAAAAAAAATATAAACAAATAGCACCCTATGAGATTGAGGCTCACACGATAGCCCTTTTAGGTGTCTGATTTATTGTAATTCAGGATTTCCTTTTTATGCAAACATTAAAAATACCCTTTCCTTGCATAGTTAGATAGAAGATTCCCATAATGTTCCCCTGAATAGTGCTCATCAGCCTGCATTTAACCAGTCACACACCCCAAAACAAATAAGCTAGAACCACTTTGCATACTAGCATAATAAACTGTTCCTCATTGATGTTCTGCTTTGTAGCTGCATTTGTATGGTCACACAGAAGTGTGCTGTCCACAGAAAATAAGTTAGAGCCTCTTCATATAGCATGAAAAACAGTATCACACGAAAGTACTGCTTAGCCTAGTTCTCATTTTAATGGCGGCATACTAAGGCTTCAACCACAAAAATAAAGTTAGTGTTTCCATTTGAATGGACACATTAGAACCATCTTGTCCAGTGTACCTGTAGTAAACAGCACCACATGGAAGGAATTAATCTGCTGGAAAACATTTTATCTGAATAATGTGAAACCCAGGGCCCATTTTTTTGAAGGCAAACCCAGGGTGAAATTTTTTTTCCTTGGTGTCTTTATTCCTCTTTTTTAAAAGCTTTTGTCAGATAGTTTTCATATTCTATTCAGAGCATCCAATCATCAAATTTTACAAGATCTGAACCAAATTTTGCACTCACCCAGGATTATATTAACCCTGTTTTTAACATCCTGACCCAGGAGTGCTGTGAAAGATTTATTTGATTGATTTTGTACAATCAAATTTTACAGGAAATATCGATCAGTTGTAGTTGCATATTTACAAAAATTGGCAAAACCAAATAATCTCTATGTAATACACATTACAATTTAACTCAGCAGAACATCAAGGTGAAGATAGCAACTCTTCTCTTTGTTGCCATTTATGCATTATATTGTTCTTTGTGTAAAATTTTTTTCAGGTATCTGTCTCCTTTTGTTGGTTATGGATTATTAATGTGAGGTCTTTTCTGACACTGAACTGTAGAATATCGATAGCAACTGATTTTCAATATTTTTTCCTGCCATCTGGCTTTTTTTTTTATCCCTTTCACTGGCTGTCTGCCATACATTTCTTCTAAATTAAGCTCTTAGAATTTGAAGTGAAATTTTACAACATACTCTAATTTATATTTTCATTTCCCCTTGTTATTTTGATGCTTGAACATGTATTAATACTCTAAATAATTTTTGGTCACTCCCAACAGTGCAAAGGTTAATTTGACAAACATGAAAAATCTGAGATGGGGTAATCAAGAGTCATTGGAAAAAATTTACATTTGTTTTTGAAAATTAATTATCAATAATCCAGGGTGAACTTTTTCTTTGTCTATTTCCATCAAATTTTGATTCACATACAGTATCTCCCTACAATTCTAATACATTATTCAGCAAGTAGTAGACTAAAATATTTCAACTTCTCTACAATAAAATGTAAAATTGCTAGAGGTTGTAATCACCAAACATGTTGTGAGAGTAAAAGAGGGCTATTGTTTTACTTCTTGTGGGAAGTGTTCTTTTACTTGGGAAATTTTGTTATGAACATGTGCATTCATTTTGTCATTTGATGTTTCCCTTACATTATGTAGGTGGATATGTCTTTGTGGTGGTTTTAAACTATCATATGTGGCCATCTTCCCTGAGGGTATTTGTATTATCACAATTGAGGGAATATTTTAGGATTTATGAAAAAGCCTTTATTTGGAATTGTTATTAGTTTGTGAGAGCTGTAGATTTTACTGCCTACATTTTGACTTTTTATGTAAGTTTTGGAATTACTTGAGACCATTTTTGTTAAAAATAAAGGGATTGACTTTTCACATCAGATTCAAGCACAGATTTAAATTTTTGTTACATGCATTTGCACAGTTTCTTTGTCATTTTCTTTGTAAAAGTAATTGAAAATATGTCAAGAAAGTGATTAATGGGTTTATGCAGATAACAGTTAAAAGAGCTATTTTCATCATTTATGTTTATTTTACTTTTGGCTATTTATGTGCCCACAGCTGCAGATTTAATAATTTTCATATTGAAAATTGAAAAAGTCTAGATTTTAAGGTGACGTGAACAATAACAATTGACATGTATTGATTGTAAGCTTTTTAAAATAATGTCTGTTTCTAGATGTACATTATCTCAGTTAAAAAAAAGAACATTAAATTAATTTATAATACTGATATTTGAATGCCAAGGTCTAGAATAATGTGGCTGAATGATAAACGTTTGAGATCTTTTGGTGGCCAGATTGACATATCAAAAGCTAAGTTAGGCTCCCTAAGGGGGAAATAAAAATACCCCATGTGGAGAAAAAGAATGTCGTGATTATCAAGGCAGTTCCTCAAAGCCCGTAGAGAACTAAATCAAAATGCAAAATTATCCTCCTTTGAGGAACATGGTGACCATTCTTGACAAAAGACAAGGGATAACATTGTTGTGATTTTTTTTTTACTGTACATGTAAGTGATATTTGGTGAGTATTAGTACTAACAGACTGCTGCATAATTCTAACAACAGTGTGTTAAATTTCAGAGTGTTTACACCAATATCAGCCGTGTGCTAGAAGTAGCTGACCAACTGAGCGAGGCTGTACACTATGAATCAGACAGAATTGAAGCTTTAGCACAGGCTGTTAGTCGCGAGTGGAAATCATTTGATATGAACATAAATCAGCGGAGTTGTTTGCTAGCATGCTCAGTTGCATATCACAAACACAGTGAAGAGGTAAATACTGACTGTAAATGTATGAACAGTAAATACTTGACTTGGGAGGTTTTGGTTGTGTTTGTTCATTTATTTTGCCTTTTTATTGTAAATAATGTTATCTGTGGTTTTTGTGTCTTGCTAATTCCTCATATTGTACACTTTTGCAGTGTGTTTGTAATGGAGTTACAAAAACTTGTAATGTGCTTGCAAAATCCTGCAGTTACTGATATTTTCATTGTAGCTTTCTTAATGATTGATTAAAATTTAGTGATAAATTGCAGTTGAACTTAAGCTTTTAAGTGTTACTGAGAGGCCTTATTAAAAATTCAACAACAACCAACCATTTATTTGTCTTCAGAACAACAGAATACATGTGATTCATTCAGTACTTGTAATTTCATTCAGATGTGTACCTTAATGTACATTATCTGAATTATGTCTTTCTTCTGCGTCAACCCACTGAAATCCTATTTAATTTATTCATTGACATTCTGTTTAACGGGAGCTTTGCCATGACAAAGTGTAACACAATGATTTTATTGTTTTACATAGTTTCTTCACAATGTGAAACTCTGGCAAGGAAAGCTTCAAAATGATGAATACCTGGATATCAAGGAAGTTGCTGAAGTAGAAAACTTATTAACAGATCTAAATGATTTACGGCAAGAAATTGAAGATTCATTTGAGACTGTTAGCTCAGACAGCAAGGCACTGCTAGCAGAACTCCAAAAAAATCCTGTTCATGTGGATAATCAGTTTCTGAAAAATCCTCAGTTTTCTGAAGAAGCTGGATCCCATGTGATGGACATTTACCTGGAAGTTCACGAGCAGCACAGACAATTAGGAATGTTATGGGAAAAGCACAAGGCAAGACTTAAAGAATATTTACACCTGTGTATGTTTGATCAGGACAGCTCCCAGGTAAAAAAACTTCTTAGTGTACACACAATGAGATTTTAGTTGGTTGTGCAGGGTCATAGTGTATGTGATAATATGTATTCTTGCCCAGTGAGCCAGTAGGCCTAGGTGAGTGTGTGCAAATTGAAGGCTTGTGAGCAAATGGAGGCAACAAGGGACCCGGATCTTTTCAGTCATCTCTTACAACCTTGCAGCACAAGCTGCAGCATTTAGTTTTTGGTCTTTGTTTGGTTTTGACATGTAATAGACTCTGGAGGAGAGAGTAAGTTGTGTGGCTAGACCAAACAATGACTGCACATGAGCCTGTGTAGGGATGAATACTGTTCTTGTGACAATGGCAATAACTCCAGTACATATGCAGACATATTTCAGTAATGGATGACACCTGAAAAGCAACTGCATCTGAATTTGAAATTTAAAATTTGGAAGCAGTCAACTTAGCCTCTCAAACATTGTTCATAAAACAAACAAACAAACAAACAGGAAAAAAAATCATCTCTTTCAGAACTCTTTAATTTTTATGACTTTCTGACAAACAGCAGTCATCTTCAAAAACCCATTGAAAAGTTGTGACTGTTATTTTTTCTTTTATATTTTTTTAAACTGCAAATTTCATCTATTAATCATAATTTAACTTTTTTCTAATGACTTGTGCATGGAAGTCAGATGAAGGCTTTTGTCAAGTTTTATATTTAGCTCATTATTCTTTCCTGGGTTTCTTTTTGTTTCTTTTTTGAAACTGATCAAGACAAATATTTTGTTAATTGAAGTTGTCCTGATTGAAAGCCATATTTATTAACTTGATGTCCTTTGAATTTGATTTAATTATTTGACTCCAACCTTTGCCAAAGTACCTGTATTACTAAAAATTAAAAATGTGCCAATCACCTTTTTAACTAATAGCTCACAAAGTTAATTGATGATTTGGTTTTATCAACTAAGTTGATAATGTAGGTTGGCCACCGTAAAGAGTTTAAGGCTGATGTTTCGAGCGTTAGCCCTTCGTCAGAGAGAATGGGTTTCTTTATAATAGTTGATGGTTAGTTAGGTATTATTTTTATCAATTTTTTTGTATCCCTTTAAGACATTTGAATTTTTTTTTACAATTTTTTGAAAGGTTTTATGAATAATTCCCTCTTGATAAGTTGTTTTTTTTGTCACTTCTAAGGATATTTCTGTGTATGTTGCGTTTTTAGTTGATAACAGTGTGTCGTCGTCTTCAGTGATCAGATTATTGATTTCTGAAAAACGTTTCCCAGGGGTGGGTAGGTGGGCCTTTATTTCTTCGTTACCGATCCCCGGATGAGACAAGTTTGTTAACCTGTTGTGGAGAGACAAAACTTGTGTTTCACCTGTTGAATGGTTAACTCTGTAAATCATATTGTGAATCATATTCACCCCAACTAATTGTTTGAATTTTTTTTTTCTTTCATCGTTTTCTCCTTAATTCTTGTTCAATCTTAAGCAACTAAAAATACATGGACTTACCCTCACAGGTTTTCGCTAAACTATCTTCGTTTAGTTACAATGTTTGTTGGAAATTTTTCTAAGATTGTAAATTATGCAAAAGCTTGTCTTCACTACGATTTATCATTTTAGTTTTATTATTTAAAAGGTGTGAATGGCGTGTGACATTTCCTAAGGGAAAAAATTTAAATTCTATGCTTTTAAGATTAATTGTAGTTAAAATCATTGCTCGTCGAGAATCATTTTTTTTTGTGTGTCCTTTTACATACGGAGTTTTAATCTGGAGAGTTTTCCATGCAAACTACTGTATTAATAGACATTTGTTTCACACCCAAAGGCAGTAACATCCAATCACATTCAAGCTTGCTTATTTCATTTACAACGAAGCATTAGAAGTGGCAAAGAATGATTGCTTTACTTGTGTTTCACCTGTATGTCGGGGAAGATTTCCTCTCATCGTCGTTTTAAATGTGTGAGGTTTTACTGGATTTGGTCCTGTGTAAAGATCAAAGAAATGATACCGCTTTTAGATACTGGATAGGCAGAATGGTAAGCTAACTTGTTTAGTGCAATTGGTTGTGAAATATATCGCTACTAGCCTAGCCGATATATTCAAATACCTTGGGTAATAAATTTGTATTCATGGTCTATTGTGTAAAATCAAGTTTCGAGACTTGAACAGTTTTATTGGAATATTCTAATAAATATTTTTTTTACATGATGGGCGATAGTGTTTGACAAGGAAACTAAGCCTACGAAATTGAAATGAGTATTTGTCTTGAATTTTTCATGTCACGAATATTCTGTTTCATATTCATTACTTTAGTATTTGTTTTGTATTTGAAAAAATATTAAGATTATCTGTACTTCTTCCGAAATCAGAATTTACTCCAAATTTATTTTATTTGTTTTGATCGCTGTTGTATGTAGTCGCTATTCCTTTTTTCCCGTTTCTTGTTGCCATATACACGTGTCTTGTGGGATAATGTCGCTTGTGTTTCAAATCGAAGATAAAACCACTAGCATCAAATGTAATTATTTCTTTAGCGTTTTGCCTCTTCCAACCTAGTCCTGTAAACTCGTTTTGTCGTTCTCTACCATTTATATTGAAGAAACTCAAAATACGTTTTGAGCTGAATAGGCTTTCATTGCTTCAACTAAATATTTGGTTCTGTCCAGTTAATATACTGCGTTCTGTTTATTAGTAATTTGTACCTCAGGTCATTCACTAGCTTTAGATATTCTTTGGTAATTTTTTTTCCTTGGAAAATTGCATCGAACGAATTATAAGCTTTCAAATAAATGTATTTTATTTTTGCCTTAGCAATATCTCGCCGTCGACGTTTCTCGTGTTTCGCCTAATTTTATTTCACTTTCGATGTATATGAGAGGTCTTTGTTTTGCATTCAGTCTTCCTCTTGTTCAAGGCATGTTTTTCTTGTTTAAAATTCGTGAATTTACCATAGGAAGCGGACGTAAATTTAAAACCAAATACAAGAGAGTAAGAGAAAGATCCTCTTTATTCAACAGGTGTTGAGTAAAGAATAGGGAACACTTCCAAGATGTTTTCCATTCAAATGCTCAAATTATGCCAATTTATGCAAATTTGGATCAGATATGCAAACTGGTCTTTGTGGTCGACAGCAAGCACAGTAAAGAGTGGCGGTCATTGTGTATAGGAAAAGAAATACATTGTTTTATTAAGCTTTTTTTATTTCGTTCTTCGTGTGTTTTCTTAAAGAGATTGGTTCGTTTCAGTAAGATGGTGTAAATTAAATTTTTTTGATTGCTTTCCCCAATTCAGACAAATTGAAAGGGAACCTACTTTAAGTTCAAAATGATTTGTAATTGAAAGGGGAAAAAACCCATAGGGAATTATTTTTATGCGGAATTAGATTTGACAGGGGCTTAGAGCAGGTGTTCTGGCAAAATATTTTTAAATTTTAATGCGCTTTATTTCTAACTGTATTTACAAATGCTGAAATCTCCTCCAATCTCCTAGCATGCCCGGAATAAAAGTGAAAATTTGTTACAGCAAAATTCTGAAGTGTTAACCTTCAAGATTAGGAAGTTTTGCTTTAAGCATTTTCTTGTGCTACTATCGGCAAAAAACCTTTCAGTCCTGCATCGGGATGTTTATGATGAGGTTTGGTATTTTCTTAAAGGAGAATTACTGCAACAGAAACAGATTGAAAGGAATGAAGATGAAAAATTTCTCAGTGTAGTTTATAGTTTCTATCATGTATTTTAAAATGGTAGGTACCTCTTTCATAATTATGTTTGCCAAACGTTTTTCCGGTCATTTTGGTGACAGTGTTTTTTAACGACTGGTTGAAGTTGCTAGGACATTTGTTGTCAAAATACGCCAAAAAAAAAAAAAGTAATGAATCATTTTATTGCTCAAGGTCATGGAGGTAAAAAATATAATTTTGTACCTTTACTAATGTAGATTGAAATTCATAATATTTTAATTTAAGTCTTGAGGCGTTTGTGTGCATTCGAAGAGGAAATAGTTACTTCTTTAGCAAAACTCTGTGCACTATGGACTACTTAGCTTTTTTCAATTAAAAATTGAATAATGTACTGTTTCAACTGCTCTACATTTTCTTCCTGTTAGAGTAGCAGCTTTATCGTTTTCCCTCAGGGTACATCCATTTACAAAAATCTAACCAGTAGTAAAGTAGTGTTTAGTAAAGTTACTTTTAAAAAGTTTGATATTTATTAGGCTTTTTATCGAAAGGTACATCATGGACACATCAATCACTCGATCTTTGTCATGTTCTTTCCAATGAGAAACAGAAATCTAAACCAATTACTTATCCTCTTTTTTTTGTTTTGTATCGTGGACGGTTGCGAAGGCTGTCATAAACCTTGTGTAATGGGTTGATATTTTGTGCTCGGTATATCAATTACAGTGTTAATACTTTTTTTGTTGCAGAATTTGCAAGTAAATGTAAACATTGAAACACGTTTTTCCCTATTATTGAGTTGATTGCTTTGTGTTGATGCCAAATTTTTATTTCAGATTTGTCTGTTATTTATTTCTTTATTATAATATTTTGTTGAGTTACGGTCTGTGAAACATCGTATTTTATGTTGATTATTACCAAACATTACTTCGCTTTGCAAATAGATAAGAAAAATGGTAATTTTTTTTGTTTTCACTTGTTTCAGCGTAATGTAAACTGCACTCTCTTGTTTACATATGGATGTTTCCCTTTCTTACTACGTAGCTGGGCCATATGTTTTTATAACAGACTTCAATAAACTTAACAACAGCCTTTGTCGAGGAGGCCAGAGTATACCAAACTGCTGCTTAAAAGGAACGTGTTTATTTATATTTTCTAATCTCAGATAAGATAGGTATTTCAGGTTTGTTAGGAAAAGGAACCATTTTGTCGTTGTTGGTTTTTACGGTCACGGTTCGAAATTCTCAGTATTTTGCAACGGAAGGCGAGCTTGGAAAACGAAATTTGAACGATATTGTGCGAATGTGGTCGTAAGCAAGGCAGTAGCCATTGTTTCTGTTTCAGACAACATTTACTCATTTATGTGATATTGTTATTGATACTTATATGTATGTGTATCCGGTGGAAAAAAATCGATGCCTGGATAAGGTTTTCATTAGTACGGAAAGTTAGTCGTCATTTTAAAACCTCTGCAAAGACAGAGTAGAAGTAACTAAGGCGTTTATTGTTTTTTATTTAACATATTTTTAAACTTTGAGCACGTTGATCGCATTTAATCTTTGTGAAATTTTCGTTTTGTTTAAAATCTTACTTTCTAACGTTGATCTCTCCTTGAGGGAATTTCCTTTTCATTTCATTTAATTGATTTTAAATCTCGTGACAACTCTTTTGAAGTAAACGTGAAAAGGCTTCCGTGGAAAAGCACGTTCGATATTGCATCCACAGTGAAATAATTATCGTATCAGCGTGATATGTTTATACCTGTGGTCAAATGCCAGTGTTGTCTCGATTCTCATTGTTTTATAGTCGTGCAGGGGTAAGACAATTTGTCATCTCTCTTTTTCTTTCTTTCTTTCATTTTTTTTTTTTTTTTTTTTTTTTTTTTTTTTTTCCCAAACCACTGACAAATAACAATATTGCTGAAGTCAAATACCGGTAATAGTAATATCATCTAGTTATATTTGATTTTAATATTGTGTACTAATTTTAAACCAATATTTACATTTGGGTCACGCAACTTCTGTAAGGCACCACCTCAGTACTTGACTAAGAACCTTCTACAGGTGTAGTTTGGAGAATGAACATAATTTTCCAGTGTATTTCCTCTGACGACTGTCATTGGTGGCGAAATTGGCATTGTTATGAAGGTTCAAGTAATTTGTTTCACAACTAAAAGCGAAATAATCTTTCAAACGAGAAAGACTTAAACGTATTAGTTTGTTCGGTTGGAGGAAAAAAAAAACACGCGCACACAGAAAGATAGTAATCCGAAAACAAATAGAGATGGCTAAGAATGGAGAATAGTGACACGGACTGTAAACGCCAATTCTTTAAAAGCAAAATAAGTTCTCTCTAAAATATCCATACATTATCCAGCAACGAGGTGAAAAGAATACTCAAATTCTCTAAAAGCACCTCCGAGAATTGATTCATTGGACCCGATCTTAACAGGCTAATATGCATTACGTATTTTAGAGTGGTTTTCGATTGAGTGTCGTAGAGCCAAAACCAAAGGAATCACAATAGCCAATCAGAACTGAGGAAATATCACAAGGAGCCAATGAGAGCTGAGAGTGAAGACAGGCTACCTGAAGCGCGGGAAAACGCGGGTGACCAAGTCGCGATTGGTTTTAGTTTGGAATCTGATTGGTTGATAGAGTGAGGTTGAGAAATCAGAGCAATCCTGGAGTATTTTCGACACTGGATGGAAAATTGCTCTCTGCCTGTGAAGAACTTGTATAGATTTGTAATCCTACGTTTTTTGCTCTCATTTTACCAGGTTATAAAATGGATTGAGGAGCACGGAGAGACATTTCTGTCCAAACACACAGGTGTTGGCAAGTCGCTTGTTAAAGCAGAGGCACTGTTGAAGAGACACGATGAGTTTGAAAGCATTGCACAGGTTAGAAACGTGGGTTTTTGTAAAGAAATGTTTATGTGAACCTCTCTCTACATCTCAATGAACAACAACCCTTGAAAGTATTGCTCAGTAACTTTCATTTGGACTGTCATAGCGTGCGAGCAAGCCCTCATCCTTAACGCTTCAGCGCGATGTTTCTACGCCTGCCGGAAAGTAATGAGGCCTTTAGCGACGCGAGCCAGCGAGAGGTTTGCCAGTGGTCTAGCATTAATTATTAGTGCCAGATCCCGATAAACCTCTCCCGACTCGTCTCAATCTTCCCGCGGGTGGAGAAAGGAGCGTCCTGCAGCGCTATTAATGAGGGCCTGCTTCAGTACTGTTTTGAACGGTCACATACCAGAATTTCACTCACAGACTTAAAATATAGAACGAATTTATAGAGCAAAATAAACAGTACGAAATTAAATTATGATACAGTAGCTTCCATTTGAATGGTAACGCGCTAGGGATCTTTCATAGACTTAAAATTCATATTCGTTTGCACAACATAGTGAGGAAGTAGGAAAGAAATTTGATTTTAAATTTTGTAATCGCATGAGTTTATGAGGCATCCATGAAAATCAAACGCATTTTTCAGTGAGAGATAAGGCATCATTTCCTTCTCAATTTTATGATCAATTGAATTGATTTCATTTTGACTTCATTTCCTACTTCTTCTGAAATTATACAAAGTACTTAGCGCGATTTCCTGTTTAGATCAGGTTAGATCAGGAAATTTTTTTTGTGACGTCTTGTTGGGTACTCCTTAGATCGAATTTCTTAAAATGATGCCGAAACCTTGTGTTCCATCTCCTTCTTCCGAAAGAAATGAAATAGCTTTAAACTGTTCATTGATTCTGCTCCCTTGTGGTATTTCTTTTAAAACAATTTTTCTTTTTTAACGAACAGTTAAGCATCTTCTCTCTCTTTCATCAATTCCTTTAAACGACTTTTTACCAGTTTGGAACCGTTACAATTTATTCTCCACCCCAGCGTCTCATGTCTGCCGTTATTAATTTAAGGGGGCGCTGACTTGTATAGTCATTGTCCGCTTCAAGAGTATCAGTTGTCTTAGTGACTTTTGCGATCCGGAATACACAACATCCTTTGTCTGAAGTAATTACATAATGCTATTAAGGAAATTAATCAAATTTAACAGGTTTGAATTTTCAGATTGGGGTTTTTCGCTCCTTCCTGAAATGTAGTTTTTTTTCCCTTAACAGAATAAATAATTTCCATTGAAGGGTTTCTTAAGTCTTAATTTTTAAATTTGTTGTAGTTTTTCCTACGAAAGTGTCTCTTGACTCGTTAAAGTCTCACATAAAAGTTGCATGTAACAATTAGCGTGTCATATCTCTCACATCTGTAGCCCCGGCGAATGAACCCTGTTGTTTTATCCGTCAGTTGAAAGCTACTGAGCAGTATCTTGATCAAATTCTGTTCATCAGCTTTCAACTTTGGAAGAGTTTTCTAAGGTGTGAGGATTAAAATTTTTGTGTGACAGCTGAGTTGAAATCAATTCTTTATTATTTCAACCACTTTTTGTTAGAAAGGGAAATTAATTTTTGCCGTGTGCAAATTTGTTGATGTGTTCTCTCGTTACTTAAAGGGTAAATAAGGTTAAGTTAAATTGGTTGTTAATCCGTAAAAATTCATTCTTTCCTTGCGTGTTTTTGCTCACCACAAAGTCTACAAGTGTTGAACTTTGCTCCACGCTAAGTGCTCTTTGATAACTTTGATTTTGTTTTTTTATTTGTGCCGATTAGAGCGTGTTAAACTGACGGAGAAAATTTATCCGTTTTGCGTTTTAGTCGCATTTCTTATAGCTAAATGTCGTCTTTCTGTAAAACATGATAGACGAGTTTTAATTTTGTTATCTTGTTGTCCTATGAAAATAATGTTACGCTATAAAAATAACCTTTCCACTTGAATATGTTTGTACTTTTGCTAATCTATAGATTACATTACTGTTGACGTTGTTTTACCATATTCTTCAATAGTTACAGCGTAAAAAGCTTTAATTTTGTCCATAAAACGACAAACTTGTTTCACTGCTGTGAACTCAGCGATAAGGGTAATTAAGATGATTGTCAATTATTATATTAATGCTCGGTGCTAGCAGACTCACGAAAGGTTAGATGAGGCCGCGAGTTTATTTCGGGAAGTATTTTCAAGGAAATCGTGTGAAAAATTGTTTGTTATGCAGATGGGTGGGAATAGTCGCCTGTAATCTGAAGTATTGTTATCCGATTTAGATAGATCCAACACGTCTGCCTCGCGGCTTATTTTAGAAATAAGTACTTTTGCATCACGCTTCACCATGTTTGCGGTTTTATATTTCAGAATACCTACACAAATGCAGCTAAACTACTCGAAGCCGCGCGCCATTTGGCGAGTACAGGGGAGTGCAATCCGGACGAAATACAAAAGCGCGTTGACTACTTCGAACAGCGCGTCCAAGAGTTTATCAGTCGGGTGAACAGACGGAAAACTTTGCTGAAATTAGCTGTCAATTTCTATTCCCGGACACAAAAGGTAATGCTTTCGCATATTGAATTCAATCAAAGTTAATTATCAATCGATCGTTCCAGGAGGTCATATATTGTGTCATATGGTGTAGACAACAACGCGGTCGAATTTCACTCAGGATGTGAGAAACGACATGGCTTCGTTCTTTCAACGAAACGTTTTGCGCGCACTATGAGTCCTTGAGTCCGTCTGTGTGACAACACTTAGTTGCTTTATTTGTTAACATGTTTCCTACCGCCCTGATCAGACCTCTGAAAGTATGCAACGCGTGCATACATCAGGCAAGTTCATCTTCCTTTGTAGACATGTTTTCAGTTGTACGTGCTCTAAATGTCAGATCTAACATGTAAAAGGCGATCTTGTGAAAATCGTCTTCATTCAGTAGCGCGAATTTCATATTCGTCGTGGTTTGAGAACAATTCCTTTTTGTAAAGATCGTTCAGTTTTTTGATTGAGTACGTGTTGCTTCAGCTCAGTACAGGAAAGGGACGAGTCCAAATCATTTCTCCGCTTCTGTGACATAATTTGTCTTGTTACACTGTTTTATTGGTCTATTATTTTACGTCCATCTTCGTCCTGTCATTCACAAAGGTTCTGGAATTTTTAAATTGACATGGCTGATCATATGCAATGATATACAGATTTGTGTCAGCCGCTGCGTTGTGACGATGTATGAGAAGGCCTGGTTAGGAAGTGTGGGTGCGTAGCTATCGAGCGCAGCGCGCAAGCCCTCTCCTCTAAGAAAAAAATCTGTCCAGTTATTGCGGTGTTACTCTCGACTCACACACGCGCACTTCCCGTGATCAATGTTTAACATGAGTGTGGCTGAGTTTGATACGGACGATGACTCCACAGTGGTTTTTGTAATAACTTTATCATCACTTTTTTTTCAGCTCTCTGAACTGGTGGAGCAGCTAAAAGCGCAGCTAGAGCTCGAAGAGGTTTCCGACAATCCGGACAACATTGCTACTGTGTTAACGAACTTAAAACACCAGGGGGAAGCAACTTTGGATTCGATTCACACAGCCATTGATGAAGGAGAAACGATCATCGAGGAACTCAAGCTTGCCAGCTCTGATGGTGTGGACTCGAGTTCGCTACAGCATGTGGAGAAAGTTATCAAAGAACTTGACAGAGTACGGAGAGCCATTGAACATTCATGGACGCGAAGGAGACAACAATTAGAGTGTTGGTTACAACTGCGGGAATTCGAGAGATCTGCAAAACTGGTACGGTATCTCCTTAAGCGCCCTGTAGTGTTAAATGCACGAAATTAAACTCCATTCATGTATTCTTTTAGCGAAAGTGGGCGACATTCCTTTACACTCTGTTTCGCGATCACAATGCAAAAAGCTAAAATCACTTAGCCTGGGTGCAAGTAGCTCTTGACAGGTACTGTGTTAGAACACGTAAGAGTTTGGTCTGTGTTCTTCCTGTCTTTGCATTGAGCCGGATTTGCGAACTTGTCTCACAGCGGGAATGTAGCAATAGATTTAAAGCTTCGCGAATATACAGGTTTAAATAGGATTTTTCGAAGTGGAATTCTCGCGTAGAATCCGTCATAAGGTGATTAGAACGATGTTAGGGGTCACATTTATGAAATTGCGTGCTCAGATTTTTCTGTTGTTTGCATGCTATTGTTCTACGCCTCATGTTTTCATTTACGAAGCGCTTTCTCAGTTTATTAACTCGTATACATAAAACAGTTTTCACCCGAGTGGTTGAAGACTTCCTTACGGTCATTTACAGACTTATCTGTTCAACCTAAGCGGAGCGCGAGTCTATATTTAGCGGCTCTTGTTTGGAATTTGCACTACAGAACTTTTCGTACTCAAATATCCATTATGCATTAGAATTCTTATCTTTGTTCCAAGCAGCAATGTAAATAAACATTAAGTCGGCAATCGATACGAGGATTTTGGGATGTACGTACACAGTGAAATTTGATACACAATACATCTTGTTGTGTGTTCCGCTTTGGAATATTTCAGCCCTCGGCTATCGCAAAATATTACTCGCACTTAAACGAAGATACTTTTGAATTTTTTCTCGCGGCTCTCCCGAGATCTTTGGGCGAATAAGCTTGCACGGCCGTCGAACCATGAAAATATACGGGTTTTTTTTTTCGACCCGGCAAGTGATCATTTTACAGGTTCATTCACATTTTCTTGACCTAGAATTTTTTTCCTTGAAAGGAGCCTTTTATGACTTACTTACTGTTAAGCTATCAAACTAAAATCTTACATTTTTAACTTCCATGACTCATTGAAATGAGGTTGTTACAGATGAGTGCGTTCCGTTTTCAGCTAAGTGTCCTCTGTGGAGTTGAGAATCTCGTTGTTCGAAGCTATTAGCAGAAGAGGGTTAAATTTTGACCCCCATTTAACACGAAGAAGCTGTTTAAACGCTAATGGAACTTTTCTAATAGAAATAAAATTTGTGGGCGGATAATACGCCGATATATATTGGCTGCGAGTTTTTTCACGAAGGCAGTTTAGTTCTTATTTGGAAAGTTTATGAAAACAAGTATTGTCTTAAGTAATCATATCAATTTCAAAAGATTTACACGTCAATGGTGTCCATTTCAAAGGTCACAATCCCTTTCGGTAAGAACCAATTGTGAGTGTGTTGTAGTGATTTTAAAGGAATTTTTTAATCGCTGATTCGCTTGAATGTTTCTATTGACAAACTAAAGCTGTCAAGTTAAGTTAGCCTTACTGTCAAGTTAAATTAGCCTTACTGCACGGCACGAAGGATTCGGCTTCAGGTCAATGATTTCACCCTAAGACGTCGGAAGGTATATTCCTGACGTCAAAAATATCATTTGGAGAACTTTTGAGAGTCTTTTAGAATTTTTACCTCTTAAAAACATTGATCTGGAGGTTATATTTGGATTTACGCGTTCTGTGTTTTTATGGACCTAGTCTCATGTGTCAAAAACTTTGTACAGCTTGGTAAACAGTACCACGTGTACAAGAGTTTAACATATCGTCAGCCTATAGTTGATGTGTCAATTTGGAGTATCTTCTCTCAGTATTTTCCAAAAATGAAGCAATAGAATATTTAAAAAAGCTTTCATGATGAAGTGCAGTTTACTCGTTTTCCAAGGTAATATAGCACTCGAACTAATTTGGGCCAAAAGCAAAACAAACAGTTTACCTCCATCGATCGTTAGTTATTTATTTAGAAATTCTATATGATGTTGAAAACCTGAAGTACTTCTTTAGTTGGTCAATCTCACTCAACACGAAGACATTTTGGTGTCTGGCCTGGCAAAAGATGTCGTGTGCCGCGTGCTAACCTAGGTAAAGATTTCTTTACAATATGCACGTACCAACAGAGTTTCAACCCTCCCACTCTTAAATGTGAGCAGAGATATTTCTTACAACACCTTTTTAAGCAGAAAGGAGTTGAAACACTCCAGAAAGAAAATTCGGCCATATGATGTAGAAGTGAACACCCAATTTTCATATTCGAAATTGTGAGCAGCGTTCAGCAGACCTTGAAAAGAATTGAATTTTGATCTTTGAAGTGAAACGATCAAATAATTTATCGTATCAGCTGAATTGTCATAACGGTATCTGAAAAGTGAAGAGAAGATCCGCTAATACAATTATTTGATCCACGGAGAGATAATTGTTGATCTTGTGTGGCATGATTGCTACCATATGAAGATTGTCTCGGACCTCATCTGTCAACGGACTCTAAAGTTAGAACTGCTTGCTTATTTACTAAACTTTCTTCCACCCGCTAAAGCTTACTTGCAAGCGCTGCTCAGTCGCTTTCATTTGAATAGTTAGGTACTAGGGTTTCAATTGCAGACGTCAAAGTCAGAACCACTTTGTACAGCTTGACAAACAAAACCACTTGCAAGTGCTGCTCACCGCGCAGTAGCTGCTTTCATTTGAATGATCAAAACCTAGGTTTCATTCATGGATTCCAAAGGAACAAGAGCGCCACGAACAGCATGATAAACAGCAATACATGAAAATAAAAACTGCTCAGAAGCTTTCGTTTGAATGTTCACATAGTGGGGTCTCATCCACAGACTTAAAACTTAAACTTAAAACTTAAAACTTAGAACCATTTTTACAGCCTAATAAACTGATCCTCATGAAATTAATGCTCAATAGCTTTGATTTTAATGTTTTCTCCCAAGACGTACGTGTGGAAGGTGTTACCTCCGTGTAGAACATATAAAAAAATGGCATAAGGAAGTATTGCTTAGAGGCCTCATCCACGACGTGATAATACCACTTGTACCACAGGTGTCCCAAGCTCACGTTTCCTGACTAGCGGACGTGTATGTACCCCAGTTATTCATGAAAGGGTCACCCGTTGTGTGATGTGTGTCCGAAACTTAATCTTTCGCTTTTTTTCTTGAGACGTGAGCTGGGGACGCCTGTGCTTAAACGTGCATACTGAAGCTTTGATTAATTGTTCGTATTTTGGAACGTTTTCATGAGCAAATCCAGTACGAGGTCCATGTTATACTCGACAAATACCTCAAGAATATACTGAAAACTTTTGTTTGCGTGCAAGAACATACAAAAATAGTCGTTGGGGACGAGAAATCTTTTTTAATCTGTGCTATTGGGGATGAAATTATTCATTCGACCGCCAAGAATGAGCTCATGGAATTCCTTGGTGTTAAATGGCCGATTAACGAGCTCTTAAGACCAAGATCAGAAAAGCCATGGCTAGACGAAACAGGTGCCTTAACATGTCAATAACTTTTGGCTTTGTATTGTCGTTGTAAGAAGATTCAAATGTTGTAAGGCTCTTTGTGTCACTTTCGTATGAAAATAACCTTTCAACATTCAGTCGTGACTTTCGAAAGCTGAATTCTTTGGCAGCTTTCAGAACAGTTCGCAAGCTAGAGTTTCTTTGCGTGTAGATTTTAAACTCAAGACCGATTTTGTTATTTGCGAGCCGAAAACGTCGTTCCCAGGAGGAGAATGTTCACGAAGGAGCGACTTTAGCCAAAAACTGTGAAGTATGTAATTTGAAATCCGATGTAATCTTTTCTACCCGTCGGTATCTCCATTCCCTCTTAATTTATTCTTTCGAATGTGTTATTTTTCTACTTTTTGATTTGCCTTCTCACTAAACTAATTATGTATAGTTTCCTCCACGATGAAAGTAATTTTGCACGTCTCAACAAACAACTCAGAGCATCGTGGCAAATCACTTTTGTAGCAGTCGAGCTCCTCATTTTCAATCGCTGTAAATCTTGTCCATCCTTGCCCATCTTAGTTACTTCTTGGTTTGTGATCGCCTCTGTATTGTTTACTCTCTCTCTAAACCAACATTTTTTGAGTTTCATTCACGATTTAGATATTTTTGCGCCTCTCAACAGAAGGTTCTGAGCAACGCGCCGTGGTGCATTTGTCGGCGAAGAGAGACTTCCTCTTCTTCATAACATCTGTAACTTCCGTAGCAAATTTTGTATTCAGCGCTTAAACTATACTGAAATTATCCCTAAAGTCGACGATGAAATTTCAAAACAACGTTTACACAGTCTCTTTCCCGTCTTTGACCCCGAGCTGTAACAGAAGATCTCTCGAATAAAGCGGCCAACATCGACGTGATGGAATTTTGATGGTCTTAATCATATGATAATCATGTAATCACTTCTTGTATCGAGCCTCAATAAATATTTACTCGGTCACCGCAGAACAAGCTTCTTTAAACAACTGTTGGTTTCTCATAGCAACCTCTTATGTAACAGGTTTTTCTTCCCTTTGCTTTTCAGCTGAAAGATCGTCTGGAAATTTGCGAGGAGCATTTGGAAAAAGGAAGTGTCGCCCTGGATTTACCTCGAGCAAAACAGTCGCTCGCCCATCTTGAGGAGCAAATGAAAGACATTGAAAATGCCGCCATGAGAACGTTTTGTCGCGGCGAGGAACTTATAGATTATTTAAAACAATCCGAGATAGAACTGCGCGTGAAGGATCCGTTAACGTTAGAGAACATAGACGCTCAATCGCACATTCATAATTTACTAGAAGTTTTACATCGCAAAAGGAGAGATCTACGGGATCTGGCAGAGGAGAGAAAGATAAAACTGGAACAGAATTTGCTCTTACGCCAATTAGAGAGTGATGCAAAACAGGTGAGAAAAAGTATTCATCATTTCACTCAGGTTTGTTAGAAACCTTCTCGTAAGCGGCTGCTGATGATGAAGTGTGCGGCTGTGTATAGGGGCCGTTAGGCGAAACCGAACGCGAAAGCCTGTGCACAGGCTAAACAGACGGCGGTAAGAGGTCTTATGGGCAGCGGTCAACCGTCGGTAACTAGCTTTTACTAAAACCTCTGCTTCACTGTTTCTCCATCTTGAAAAAGTACGGCTCAAGATCAGTTTTCAATTTCGTAATCTACAATCCTTGTGAATCCTCTGCATCCATAACCATCTTTATTCCTACTTGTTATAATCATGCCTTATTAATGTTTTTCTTCCTAAACGAACGACCATTTCAAGGCTCTATTCTGAGAAAAAAAAAATTCCCAAGTTGCTAGAAATGACCTCCCTATGGCCAAAAATATCGCGAGTAGCTCGTGAAAACATTAATAAGGATATTCGACCCTCTCAAGGAATAGCTTATTGGTGCACTGGACAATTTAAATGAGTTATGAATATTCTCAGTGCTTCCCTCTGTTACCCAATCAAAAAGAAGTCATTGCAGTTACATCTCGAATGACATCGTTAAGACATTAAGTTTTTCTAGTTTAACGTCATGTCCGCGATTGACTCGGTATTTTCTCGGTAGGTTGTCGGCTGGGTACGGAATGGCGAGGCTATGCTTTACGCCAGTACCGAACTTGGGACATCACTCGTTGAGGCAGAGGCTCTTTTAAGAGAACACGAGGAATTTCAGAGAGCCATTGAGGTATGAAATGTTAGGCAATCTTTTAAGAAGTCTTTCAGTCAAGTTTTAATAATCTTTATTTGTGTTTCTTAGTTATATATTTTCATTCTTAGCCTTTATTGTTTTGTTGTCTTTATCCTTGTCTCTTTATAAGTTTTATTTATCTTTCCAAGGTAATATTGTGTATTGTTGTGTATTTTGCTTGAAACGCTGTTTTACCTTTTGCACCCGAACATCAGTATGCATATTCTCCATACTGTTCTCTATACATTTCCTAAGGTGCTGACAAGGAGAATTTGTTGAACAATCTAGAGCTTTTTTAGTTGGTGATCATTTCCTTTATTCTCATGACGTTAATGTTTGATACAGGGGTGACATTGTAAGGAGAATTTAGATGCTAGTCTCTTTTAGGGGTCAAAAGGTTTAGGGTAGTTTTGCTGGCAAATTCTTGTGGTTTTACTCTTCCAGCCATGTTTTGACGACCGGGAAACATGGTAAATTACGTTTAAGGTACTGATAAAACCGCCTTAGGGTCGTGCAGCAAGTGCGTATTTTAACTGATTGTTATGTTTGCAGAAAACATGTCAAAGTGCCACTGAAGTTCGGCAACGCGCCGACAAATTAATTAAAGATGGTCACTTTGATCCTGAGGCCATCCGGAACTGCGCGGGAAGTATGAGTAGACGATGGGAACTGCTCATGAACAAGTCGGAGGAAAGAAGGAAAGTTGTCACGGCCTCGTACAGCTTCTTCAAGTCTGCAGATCAGGTAAGTGTCGCAACTGGTCGATTCGTTATTTGAACGAGACATGGAACTCTGCCTTTGTGCATGGGCGGATATTTGGAAATTGTCTTGCGTAGGGAAATTGGTTAATTTTTACTCGTCTGTTAGTCAGTCAATCGCTCAGACACTTACTCAGTCTTTGTTTGTCTGTCTTGTCAGTCAGATAAAAATTACTTCGCGTAAATCTGATTTACCATAGTAAATTAAAGTGCGTTTTTATTTTTGTGATTATTCCTATTACAGGTGTCCGTTTCAATGGACCGCCTCATTCGTGATTACAAACTAGAAGAGGGAGATCCATGTAGTAAACTGATCGAAACTGATTCGATGAAACGCCTGGAAGCTATGAAAGCCATCGTCCAAAGCTATGACGAAGACAAGGAATCCATCGCCACAGGCCTGCTGGACGTGAAGCGGAACGCTGACTCATTTTTGTCTACGATCGCTCCTTTAACTAGTGAGCGTCCCGACATTACTATTGAGCGAGTTAAGGAATCACAAGAACAACTCAAAGCGCAGGAACAACAAGTGTTAGAAGTTTGGAACGTTAGACGGACGTTGGCAGATTACTGTTTGCAGTTTCTTGAGCTGGAACAGTGCGCTAAAGAGGTGTGTTTGTTAAAAAGAAAAGATGTTATCTCACTGCTTCCAGAAGCATTTGTTCTCTGGAAAAGATACAGAAGTTGGTGGGAAAGCGACTGAAAAAAGTTGTCAGTCCATCGAGCTCAGTCTTCGCTGTTGCTTCAGAGAACACCTCAGCGCGAGAAAACCACCTTTCTCTTAGTATTCTTAAGTATTACCCATCCACCAGTCGTATCGCACGCATAAGTCGTTCATTCAGAACTTCAGCGAATTGGTAACTTAGCGGGAAAGTGACACCTACGCGTATTTCATAGGGCCAATCACAGGCAATAACTAACTGCTTCATAAGTTGGCTTCCCTCAAAAGTAATTTCCTCTGGATGGATAGTCCTTCCTCTCAAATCTCAGTGTTCAATCCGTAGAGTTATATCTTCTGTCATTCGTTTTCTGTAATAATTGTAACTTAGGAAAGATGTCAATTTGTCATTTTAGGCACTGGATTGGATTCATGAAAATGGCGAGTTTTATTTGTCGAGTCGGACGGGAGAAGGTGACTCAGACGCTCAAACAAAAGAGCTTTTAGATGAACACCAAGAGTTCAAGGAGGCTTCAGAGGTATATGAATTGGTGTGTGAAACCTTTTTGGTTCACTTATGTCTTAGCTGTCTTTTGCTTTTACGTTTTTTGATTTCTTTCGAGAGTAAATAATTTGGTGTCTGTTGGTACAGTCACCTTACTCAAGCAACATCAGTGAGAATTGAAGGTACTGCCATTCGAGTCTTGTTCTTCTCCAACCCTAATCCTTGCAAGATCTGAGAACATTTTCTGCCAACTGACTCAACAACTCAAGAATTTTTCCGCTGGCTAGTGCTAAGAATGTAGTGTTACTTCAAAGACAAATCTCCTAGTTGATAATGTGCTTAAATCTCGTGACCCCATCTGTTTGGCTTTGGGTCAAAATTGCCAGGGGACTTACTCACTCTTTACAGCCGATTCCAAATTGTCAGTTTATGCCTACGAGCGGAAAAGCAAGACGAGCAAGAGGTACCAAAAACTTTGCAGACCATGGATAGCTCCATCATTTTCCTTTGCCTTCTTCGTCGACTTTCGCTCGCCCGCTCAGTTTTGGCTCGTCTCAACTAATCGAGGGTCCAGCCAAGGCTAATCTGTGTTTGATTTTCACAGACAATTTACTTCATAAGCATGTCAATCATCTGTTTTACTCCAACATTGTTTTCTATTTTTCCTTTTTTCACAGCAAATCAGAGAGAGAGTCAAATCCATGTTACACCAAGCGGAAACACTGATAGCCAAATCCTGTTACCATAGTGACGGAATCAGGCAATGGGCCACGGCAGTTGAGAAAAGATACAAAGACTTTGCTCGACGGATGCAAAAATATCGTGCAAAACTCGAGAACAAGCTGGGATATACTGCTTCGGAACACGAGGTATTGTTTGTTTTCATGTCTGGGAACGTTTAATTAACTCTTGATTTCTTAATCAAGACTGAGAAAATTGCCTAATTCTGAATGGCTGACAGTAGGCACTTTAAACGGGATATCTTCATAGGAGGTACACTACCATTCAGGGAACACTTTTTTAAGTCACTTGTATGTCCCCTGACCAGAGATCCACTCTATTACCTTTGTATATGTTACTTTTAACAAAGAGACCTCTGATTCAGGGTCGATTTTGATAGTCCTGAGAGTGCCCCTTGAGTTAAGGTTCCACTGAAGGGATAAATCTCTGCCCACTCCTTCTCTTCTTTTCTTACCAGCGGAGTTTTCGCGCCTACTTTTTTTTTTTAATGATTTGAAACATTTTTTTTTAGATCAAAACTCTTGATGTATGTTTGTTTTTGTGTTTTGGGATCATCTGTTATCTTCCTAGCAACACCAATAATAGTTCGGATTATTTAAAGAAGCGGCTGACCAAAATTTTCCTTATCGCCAAAAGTCCTGCGAACACTGTTTTAAAAGCTTCCTACCAGCCTTATCTCAAATGATACTCATTAAAAAACCTCTCAAAAAGAAGTCTTTTCATTCCATGTTGTCAATAGTTTGCGGTTAATATTACTAGTACTAAACTAGTCTTTTATACTAAAAGCCCATTTATTTTGTATTGCAACAAATCAACAAATTGATGTAATCGCTGTTTTCTATAAATCGTGTCAGTTTTATGTAAATTGCGGGACGAGAATTTTAACCATGTTCAAAAACAATCTCCTGCTAGAAAATTTGTGGTACTTTTCAATTATCTGCGCTGCATGACTTTCCCAGATAATTTCCGAACGCACCCAAAATTAGGAACATGAAAAAATTTCGAGAGTTGAGTGTAGGTTTCCAGTAAGTTGATATTTTTACAGCTGCGAAAGCGAGGCCGGTAACTACGGATTAAGCGTAAGCCATAAGTGTAAAAGATACTATTTCTCCAAAGCCTTTCAACGCATTTAAAAGTTTTCAACAAAGGGTGATATTAAATTTTAAAATCATTTGGCAGTGCTAAACGAGTGGTCCGTGGAATTATTGAAAATTAATAAAACTGTTCCAATGGTTGTTTTGGCTTTTCGTAAGTAGTGTTTTTCACGGTTAAAATATTTCGGAAACGGTCTTATGAATATCGAGTAGAAAATGCAGGTGGAGGCACTTTAAGAAAAAACCGCGTGTGGCCCTCTTCCTGTCTTTGTATTTGGTCTTCCCCGAAGCGCTAAGAATTGTCAGATCGTCACAAACCACCGGCATTCCATTATTAATTAATATTGCAACTCTTTGGCTATTGTGCTGATAATAACATCGATATGTGGTGGAAAGGAGAGGTTGTAGGCGAGACATGCCGCCATCTTGCCGGTGCCTTTACGTGCTCGCTAAAGTAAATTCCTTGAATTAAGAAGATTTGCCTCAAAAGCTCCTCAGTTTTCGAGAATACGTCGATGAGTTGCGCAGTTGTCACGGAAACTCGACGAATTGATGGGCAGGATTTTGATGGTCGAAATTTGACTCGGCCGTTTCCTTGAGCGACAGATTGTAATTGTTTTGATCGTAGTGAAGTGAAACTCGACACTCTTTTGTGGACAATTCAACAGGACTCGCGCGCTAATAAGCATGTGAAAATCGCGTTTTAATTGAGCGAGTCGTGTTTGCTCGTCAAGGAGTGTCTGGTTCACGAAATTGAGCGCAATTTACCAGGATCCTGAACACAAGTCCTGAAAAACATTTACTTACATATCACAAATGTGGACCAACGCGACCATTAAATTGCGAATGAAATGGTTGTGATGTTTTGCGTGTGTTTCTCGTTCTTTACTGTATGACCGCGTGATTAACTCAAGGTGGCTTAGCGTGTTGGCAGAGGTAGTCATTCGGGGAGGAAGAGAAAATGGCGAACGACCACAACGACGATTACTACGATGATTTCTCCGATGAGGAGTCCAATTTGTCCAGTTATCGATCACTGACTCTGTTCTCTTCGTTACTTTGTATTGATTGTCAGGATGATGTGGAATGGCCGAGCCTGCAGTCGCTACACACACAGGGCCAACAACAACAGCAAGCGTTTGCTTTAAGGGAGACTTCTAAGGACAGCGGTATCCATGAAATGACTGAGGAAAAGAGACGCTCTGCGAAGCGAAAAGAGTGAGTTGAAAAAAATAGAACACCTCCTTTGTTCCAGGGGCTTTTTTTGTCACTGCATTTTTAAACTGTCGCCTTAAAAAAAACTCACGGCTTACAGTTGGACAATAGAAAGTATCTGGAACCAGCTAATCTTGGGTTAAATATTGAATTAGACGTGTCAAAATTTATAACAAGCTACCCAAAATATAGAAAAAGGAAAAAGTTATTTTTATTAAGCTGCTCTGAGTGAGTTTTATCCTGTAGACAATCTGGTGAATTGTAAATATTTTGTACGGTTGAGTGACGAAAGAACGGCTTAATTTTTTGTCGGTAACATTGTTTCCGGATTTTGAAAAATTACCAGAGAAGAATGGTTCTTTTAATCCCTTTTGTTAGTTTGCATAGAGAAGGTATTTTCCAGGTCTACGAGAGAACTTGAAAGTAGTACTTTTATTTTGTCTGAAGTGTTCGTTTTCATTTGACTTTCTAAAAAGAACAAAGAAAAAGTTAAATTATATTTTCAACTGTTTTGTTGTTAATTTGTTAATGAAGCTTAAATCAACACTGTCAAAATATGAAAATAACCTTTGTCAATACTTTTTATAACAAGATTAGCGTAGCTTCTTATTCTTCCAGCGATCTGCTAATTACCAAATGTAATCAAATTCTAGCTGTCTAATTGTGACTGAAATTCTCAATACTGACAAAGTTTCACCGTAGAAGCCAGTACAGAAAATCTCTGTTTTGCATAAACGATGGAAATTCTTGTTTTCTTCCTCGCTAGATTTATAATGAACGAATTGCTCCAAACGGAAAGAACGTATGTGGCGGATTTGAAGTGCGTAATTGAGGTAAGAATATTTGTCATTTTTTCTGTTTTCGATTGTAAGCATAAGATATGCTTAGGGACATTTACCAATCATTTGAGCGTCAACGAACATGTAATATCAGATTATTTGACATCTTGTTACTCCGTTTGTAGTTACCGCTATTTTTAAATATAAATCAGTTAAAGAAAGGTTAACTCTGCGATGAAGCAATTTTCTGCAGCCAGAATTCTTTTTTTTTTTTCAATTGTTCTTTTCGGAAAAAAAAAATAAAACGATGAAATTAGTTGCATGCATCAGGCAACGTCCAATCGGTAGCAAGCTCGCGAAAACGGTCACCTGTGGTCAGCGCCAAAAAAACTTGTAGCTGTAGCCAAAAAAAGATTTGACTGCTGCAGGTTGCCAAAGGCAGGAAAGATTTGTTACGGGAAAGATTTGTATTAGCGCCTTTTTAAACACGGGAAAGAAAAAGCGGGTGATCTGATTTCTGATTCGTTAAAAGTGGCACACTTGATTTGGCTTCAGTTGCAGTTAAACCAACCATTACTTTCCCAAGTGCGTATAACAAGTAATTTGTATCACAACTTGCTTTTCCTTTATGTTGACGCAAGATATTCTTCCTCGTCTCTTTCTTTGTAGAGCTACATTAGCGCCATGTCTAACAGCTCTGAAGTTCCACCTGGTCTTGCGGGAAAAGAAAGCATAATTTTTGGCAACATCGAGGACATTTACAATTTTCATAACAGGTTTGCATTTTCTTACATGACAAGATTACTTCGTCTCATAGCCATCCTTACCGATGAAAACCGAAGTCGAGCCGACGTTTAGCCGGTGTTGATTCGTTAATACCCGAGACTTGAGTGGTATAATGAGCATCTTAATCCAAGCTTTATAGAAGATTGCTCATGTAATCCTAAGCTTGGTAAACACTCGGCAAATGTATGTGGTGAGATAGCATTTTTTTACTTCTTTATCGATACCTAGCATTTATTTTTCTTCGAAATTGAATTTTCAGCACTTTTCTGCAAGCTCTAGAGAAGTTTGAAACGAATCCTGAGAACGTTGGAGATGCGTTTCAGGAATGGGTACGTAAGGATCATCATTACATTTTTCTATAAAAGATTTTATCTTTATCTCTTATCACTTTGAATTATGAGCCGATTGTCTGTTTTAGTGTGCAGAGGTAAAACTGGTTAATGAAAATCCTCCCGGTTGGCTTTGTCGATCGTAAGGCCATCTTAAGCGCTTAATGCTGAATTTAATTTGCACATATATGGATGTGGACAAAATGACAGTTTGGAATTTTGACGTTTCATTGACGACTAAAATTTCTTCATCACAGGGAGAATCGTTTGTTGGCATGTATGTGGCCTATTGCAAGAACAAGCCTTTCTCAAACTCCCTTCTCATCGAGCACGGAGGGAGCTTTTTTGCGGTGAGTGATCAATTCATAACTCGCTACTAATTTTATCTGTATCTCCTTTCACATGCAAATGTCTGCATTGTGGTGGTCACATCTTAAGATCCACTGTGTTTATTTTGGCCTGACGTAATTCTGCAGCCATGCTGCTCTGATCATGGAAGCTTTGTTGGGTCGTAACCTAACCCTTGTTTCGTTTTCGTAGGATCTACAAGCCAGCTATGGGCATGGTTTATCCATCTCTGCATATCTTATAAAACCTGTTCAAAGAATAACCAAATACCAGCTACTTTTAAAGGTAAGGTAGCATTTGATATCCCTTTCTAGACGGTAATGTTTTCATTCATGGAAATTTAGAGAATAGCTAGAATTGTTCGCTTCTCTCAACTTTTCCTTTTTACCAGAACCTTTGCAAAGTATGGAGCTCTTCAACCGTACTACAAACAATTTAGTTTTCGAATTTTCACTCGTTTCATTAATTTATCGAATGAAGTTCAAAGTAATTTTTAGAAACTTCATGTGTGGTAGATTCTTTGCGTTAAAAAATGGTTTCTACCTTTAATCATTAAAAGGCTCGGGACTTGTTTGCAAAAAATATTCCAGCTGTTTCTTTGTTCCTAAGTGAAAAGATTGCTCTAACTTCCTGGGTCGCTTACTTTAGGATCTTCTGACGTGCTGTGAAGAGGGATCCGAGTGTAGTCTCCAGGTATGTAAATGCAAGGCATAGTTTGTTTACATAGCATTTTTTACAAGGTTTTTGAGCTGTACAGCTTGTTTGAACTTTTAACAATCAGATGAAACGTTTATTGATCTAACCTCGTTGATAGTTACATAAATACCAGCGTGTACAAACGCTAATTGATCAATTTACTCCTTGATTCATTCCTCGTTCGATTAAAAAAAAAATTGTTATTCTTTTTCCATATCGGAGTGAAGATCATTCAACCGCATGACAATTTCAATAAACATCTATTTTGAGAGGAACTCAAGAAGGAAAAGCAGATATCTTTTCTAATCAAGTTCTAGACTTATCTAATTACACTGGAAAATTTACAACAGTCACGTCGCGCTTTGCGCATGTTTAAATTTAGCTCAGCTTGATAGAATTGTCGTCTTCAATCTATTCTTGTCACTTAACGGTTTATCACTGCCTCTCCAGTCTTTCTCTACCCAAACGAATCAACGTGTGTATCATCTTTAAAGCTGAAGGTATTTTTGTGAACGTCTCAAAAAATAAAAAAAAGGAAAAGAAAAAACTCGCTCAATGATATCGTAACTTAGCTCCTTAAGACATTTCAATTATCATCTTTAAAGACAAAAGAACAGGGCGCCTTGTAAACAGTTATGCGGAATCACAAAAGCGAATTTAAACATCAATACACTTGCCATGCTGTTTCGGGCAATCGATCAGTGGAGGCGAGTGCAAAAGCTTGAAAAATCAAAAAAGGAAAATCAGCGTGGTTCTACATCCGCTGCTTGTTTTTCCTGACTCTCTCATAACATCAATTGGTGTACTCTCCTTACTGTTCTTTGTACATTTCTAAAGGTGCTGATAAGGAGAATTTGTACAACAATCAAAAGCTTAAGTCGGTGATCGTTTCGTCTACCCTTGTGACCTTGATTCAGGGAAGATATTATAAGAAGAGATTAGGTGCTAGACGGGACAAACGGTTAGTGTCGCTCCTCTGAGTGTCTCGAATAGGTTTTAAGACATTACAGTTGGTACAAGATGGGAAGGTGAGGTGGGAGGGGAGGGGAGGGTCGCTTGCACCACAGGAACCCCAGCCTCTTAACCACGCGTTTTTCTAAATGTTGTACTCTCTTCCCAGGCGGGTTTGGATGTGATGCTAAGCGTACCGAGACGAGCTAACGACGCCATGTACGTGAACATGCTGCACGGATACGATGTAAGTTGAATTTCTCGTTCGTGAGTCGCACGTGAGCGCAGTCTTCACGCAATGTAGAAGTTGCTACTGGTGAAAATAACCCATGCTATTTTGAAATTCTCATTATGAAACAAGGTTCTTAATTTGCTGCTTCCTTTTTGTGTCTTTTCATATATTTTTGTTTTGTAGCAGGAAAATTGAGGAGATTACTTTTCATAATCCGTCACTCGATAGAGCAATCAAAGTGCTAACAACAAAACTAGATTTACAGTTTGATTATATATCTGTTTTTCTTATTTCAGGAAAACATTGATTCTTTAGGAAAAGTTGTGTTACAGGTACTTAAAATCATTTAATATTCATTCCATAGGTTTTCAGTTTAGCGATCGTTTTCTCAGTAGTTGACTCGCTTTCTGCAGCATTGAAGAATTTTGCTCATTTAAGTTTTTGTCAAGAATTTGTGGTGTGTCACGCGCGTGGCTTATCGCCATCGTGTCACGCACGTGGCGTATCGCCATGTCCCGCAATTGCTTATCGTTATGTCGCGCACGAAGGTTGAAATGTACGACTATTTGCTTAGCTTGTCTGAAGTTCTAAGATGGCGTCTATTTCTTGCAGGACTCTTTCACTGTCTTTGATCCAAAGCAGCTAAGAAGAAAGGGAAAAGAACGCCATATATTCCTCTTCGAGCAAGCGTTACTTTTCAGTAAGGAGACCAAAGATGCAGATGGAAAAATCAAGTATCTTTACAAAAACAAAATGAAGGTAAATAATTTCAAGATGTTTTCGTTTTGCATCAGCACCTAGTGGAAAATGTCATGGGACACCGAACACTTATGAGATGCTTGGGGTGCGATCTTTAGCTGGTTTATTGTGTTGTGTTCATGTTCAAGGAATGTGCTTCTCGCGGTGCTATTCCATGAACTGTCAGTCAGACAATCAGTCCGCGTTTCCGGACTGAGTCAGTCTGTCGGTCACTTAGTCATTCATGCAATCAGTAGGTCAGACAGTCAGTCATTCATTCAGTCAGTCATTCAGTCAATCTGTCAGTCAATTTGTTAGTTACTTTGTTATTTACTTTGTTATTTGTTTGTTAGTCTGTCAGTCAGTCAATCTGTCAGTTAGTCAGTCAGTCTGTCAGTCATTCTTTCAGTCTGTCAGTCAGTCTTTTTTTTTTAACACCAAATAATCAGAATCGATCAAATCAATGATCATATAATTTACTCGTTCTTACAGACCCCCGAGTTAGGAATAACAGAGCACATTGCAGAGGATTCTTGTAAATTCGCTGTGTGGACGGGAAAACCTCCACAGTCTGAGGATAAACGCGTCATGAAAGTAAGTTAGGAATGTTTTTTCATCTCTTAAACGCTATACATTTTAACACTGGTTTTCATGTTCTCCACACTGTTCTGTTCAATTCAATTTCCTCTGTTACTGACGAGGAGAATTTATTGGACAATCAGATTCCCAAATTGGTGACCATTTCCTTTATTCAAGGGTGACATTGCAAGGATAATTCATAGGTGTGAAAGGGTTAAAGTGTCACGTTTCATTTTTAATAAATTCAAGTGATAGCAAAGTTGAATTACATCACGTGGATTCCATCTCGCTGCATCCAAATTGGTGTAAATCCGATATGGCATCGTTCTATGTGAAAGTGGTTTTAAAGTTTGGTTGCATGCAATGTTGTTTTAATCCATTCCCGTGTTTTGAACTAAAGATTCAATTGCAGGCAAGATCTTTGGAATGCAAGCAACTGTGGGTGAAAGAACTGAGGGAAGTCATTCAGAATTTCCAGTTTGGTACCCTTAGAGAGAGAAGTAAGGACAAATACCTTTTTCCTAACAAAAAAAATCATGTAAAGCTGTAGTTATCCTCTTGAAATAGTTTCCTTAGATAATTGTTGAAATGGGATGTTAAGGAACAATGTCAGTATTGTAGCAACTGCACACTTACCCCTCCCCTAACCCAACAATAGGCAACTCAGATAACAAGTCAGGGTTAAGGGTGGGGAGGGGAGGGATAGGTGCGTAGGTGCTCAGCTAGAGACATCGTCCGAATGTTATACGGTAGAGCGAGGTTTTCATCACCAGAGTCCACACTTCATGGATGAGAGTTGGAGCAGAGAGTTCTTTGAATGGATTGAAGTGATCACGCTTTTGTAGTTTTTATGGTCAATTTTTCCTCTTTTGATTTACTCAGTTACCAACACCGTTCGAAAATTCTTAACAGTGTTGTGACAGAGTTTATTATTTCACGCCATGCACGCCTCCAGGGCCTGGTACCTATGGATTTACACGAGTTTGTAGCCAATCGGGTTTAGAATTTTCCAAAAGTGGAATTGAAGGTTTTAAAATTGTCCTGATGAGACCGCTTTGAGAGTTAAAAGAAGGCGAAAGGTAACATATTTTCTCAATTCTGTAGCGACCTCCATGACGAGCTCGACCAGTTCTGTGACAACTACTGCCTCGATGAAGAGCCGCGAGGAGAAAGCTGCTGACCGGTATGATTGCTTTCTCGTTAATGAGCTCAGTTTTCAGTTAAGCGCATTGCTGGTATTTCTCTTGGTACATGGTTGTTTTAAGAAGTAAAGGTTTTCTTTTATCTTGCCGTAGGGAAAGTGGTGTTATAGAAGACGATACCATCTCGGGCGACTTCGACAACTTCCCAGAAGGAAAGGTAAGAAAATTGGAGATAGGAGTAGGCAAAAAGAGAGAGATACAAAAAAACTTAAAAGATGAAAACCAAAAGTTTATTTGCTGTGATTTATCACTCTTACAATATGGCGACTTGTTAGTTTCGCCATTATGATTGTTTTCCGGTTTCTTAAGTTCCCATGTAAAGTTGTCAATTGATCGAAGTGGATATTAAGTAGTTTCCATTTCTTTCTTAAGTTCGTTATGAGATTACCGCAGAATTGCCGCCAAATTACCTCCTTTGAAGCTTTTTAGCACTAGCGCTGGTGATAGATCGAAACCTCGCACCAAGCATTGTGTTCTCTGAAGCCTTTGGACGAGCATTGAATGCGGCGAAGAGACCAATTTCTCCTTTTGTATCGTCTCGTGTTTGATTGATGATGTTACGAGAATATGCTCATGCATCTGGACAATTAAGATGATTGTCAGAAGAAAACTTAGCACCGAATGTATCGATAAGGTCTGTCGGCGAAACTTTTCATCCCAGAAATCGTGTTATGTGGGAATAAAAAGACACTTTGACAGACTCTTTAATGAGCATCCCCAAGCCATCAAAACGGCTTTACAACTTAATAAGAAACGCGAGACATGCCGTTACGTTTTGCCTTGCGACAAAAATTAAATCCTGATCTCTCTGAATCTTACAAATAGCCTTGAAAAATTGGGCATCCTACCAGAATGTACGCAAATCTTTAAAATAAGACTTCCCGAAGGGCCTCTAACTTCTTTTCGTACGGTTAAATCTTTCGGAGGCTTTCTTGCCAGAGCGGTAAAATTCCTTCATGTTTCGAACAAACAGATACGTTGTTAATTGCGGGAAGACGGTGACAATATTAAAAAATTATAACGGGATTTCGTGTGTGTTTCTAGTGATAAACCAAATGGGAATATTTTCTTTACCACTTCGAATGCCTCACACCAAAAACAGGTGACTGCGTTTGTCTGGCAGGGTCTGGACATGCTATTACTGCAAGTTCGCGCAACAAAACCTGAAACGTTAAGCTTTACTATTTTAAGAGAGGATTTGCCATCTCCAAGTGGTCTTGTGCAAGGTTTTAAAGGAAGAATCTCGATGTCAAGCAGAACAAAAATTAATCCTTTAATTAACCGTCTTACACGATTATCGGAGCTAGGCGGTGTAACTTATTTTACGCCCTATTCGTGTTTAACATTCCATGACCCCCTCTGGCTATGACCGTGACAGACATGTAGCCTGTCACACTAATGATTTTTACTCTATCCGTGATTGGTTAATATGTGAGAGCAATCCGCTTCACGGGACAGAAGTGCTTCTTTGTTTGTACGTGATAATCTAAAAGCTTAAAAGTAATCTGCAGTAAGACGGATTTCTTCATTCTGTGTCCTACTATGCGATTCATCGGCTCTACGTGACAACCCTGTCTGCCCGATGACGACAGTCGGCAGAGGGGATTTATTTTGTGTCGTGGTGAAATATTCCAGGCTTAGTCGCGTAATGATTTCTAAGTGTTATTCCGGCCGCCATTTTGAATCAGCGATTGATTTAAGATCATGAACAGTCCACGAAATGGACGGACAAAGCGCGCATCTTCAACGTTACCGCTGTTATTTGAGCGGCAGATTTTGACACTGGACCCCAAGGTAGAGTATTTGATTGTTCTATCCATATTCCGTAGTCTTTTGTTTGTGAACGTAAAAGTACGCATTTACACCGACACGACTCCGTACTTTCGATACTTCTCGGCCTCGAAACGATCGTGCGTTTTCAGGACGCAATATCAACGACGAATTTGTACCGTCCAGTTCGCCTAAACCGCAGTTAAATTCATTTCGCTCCCCGCCGTGTTATATTGTCGGTTTCCAGTCCAATGCGAATCATGTGCGATGAGAAGAACTATCTCTTTGGTTATTTCAGTTTATTTTCCTCCTTGGTTACAGTACGAGTTGATTGAGTGCTTTTTTACTCATAGGCGTTCGTCATACCACTTAGTTCTTGAGTTTTGTCGTAGTTTCGCGTGAGACATTTCTATCCATATTGTTCCACTAGACGTCACTAGTACTTGAACTTTTCGGCCGATTCATTCGAGTTCTAAACCTTTTAAATCAATACTGAACGATATTTTATCTACATCGTGCGCAGTTTAGACTTTGGTCTAATCCGATCGAGCCAAAAATTGGCGAAAACCCATCAACGCAGAAAATTCCCGTTTGAAGTTCGAATTAAGTTATCTTTTCCTTTTGTTTTCCTTTGTCTTGCATTTTTACAACGTGGCTGAATGTTCTCGTATTTCGTTCCAGAATTTTGCTTTGTTTTTGTAACTAGACTGACAGAATTTTTCCTGTTAACTTCGAGTTGAAGGAGCTTAAAGTTTCGATTTAGTTTTATGAGATAAAGCCAGAGGTTCATTTTGACGGCACATGCTGGTCATTTTCAAAAATTCAGTTGTCAGTTGTTTCACATATCTGTTCTAAAATTAGCTTACATCGCGATCGCCCGATGAGAATACGTGTAACACGCGCGCGCGAAATGTAACACGCGGGGATAAGGCTATCATTTTCTGCATTGTGGATGTACTCGTATCATTTGCTTCGTTTAGGGAAAGAAGCCAACGATATTAGACCAACAACTTCCTTACACTCCCGCTAATAACTTCTGCCCCCAGGTGATTCTTCACTGTCTGCCATGATTTTTTTTTTTTTTTTTAATGTAATGTTAGTACTGAGAATTTGATGTTTAACCAAATCTGTGACGGTTTCTTTTTCCTTCATTCAATTGTCAGTCTCAATATGTTTCTCTTTAAAAGCGTATGGGATGTAGTATAGAAAGCTTGCTTATGGTCAGGGGGATTAAATGAGCAAACATTATTGGATGTTTTCCTCTCAATTGGCAATTTTCTGGACCTCTTGATTCTCGGATGTAATTATCTTCTCGAAGTTTTTTAAACGAGAAACTAATGGAACAGGGAAATTTAGCAATGTTTTGTATTGTTAGTATCCTATCATCTTGCGGAATCTTAGACCCCTGTGACGATGTTTAATTGGGCTTGCAATTGTTTATTCAGAAAATAGGTATTTCCTCTCGATATTTCGAATTGGAAGAGGTGTTGAAGCTTTCCTTTTCGAAGACTAGGTACACTTTACGTGTTTTTAAAAACCATTGTATTTCCACGCAATTATTTTCTTGTGTTAAGAGTCGAAAACTTTAAAACTGTTTCGTTATGTTATTTCCTAAGAAACAATTTCAGTTCATTAGCCTCTCCTTGAGTGGCTACACTTGATGGTTTTCCACTCGAAATGGAAATTGAGAACTTGATCAGTTTAATATATACAGTTTAAAAGAGGAAATAAATTCAAATCATTGCAGAACCGATCCCTGTCTTAGTAATTTCCCGATTACATTACTTTTATTTGTCATCTCTTAGCTCCCCAAAACTGAAGATATTAATTTTTAATCCGAGATTTACTATCAGTCTCTTCTCAGTCGTGGGTTTTTTTTCCACGGGTGAGCTTGGATTGAGGTTGATTTTCGATAAAGCACTGTGAAATTTTGCATGCTTAAGCCGGATTTAAGCGAAAAAAAAAATACGTGAACGTGACAACAAAGGATTAACACAAACGTGAAACGTTTTTTTAATGGTGGTCTTTAAATTAGAATCTCGATGAAATTTTATCCATGATGTGGCTGGCCAGGTGAAAGCTCTCTAGTAGTGCTTCGCTGTTTGCGTTCTGTTTTTTTTCAAAGTTTTCAAAATTTAAATTGCAATTTTTTTTTTATTTTATCTGGTCCATTTAAAACTTGAACCTCTTGGCTTTAAAAGAGTATTAAAGTTTTACACGGAAACTATAAGATATGCTTACTCCCTTCATGCAGCGCAATTGGATCTAGTGATAACATCACGTTTTTCCCATTCCAATGCAGTGAAGTGTAACGTGTTTTGATAATTCGCATATTCACTTTCCCATGTACACACAACATTGTACCGCACACATCCATTATTAGCATATAAACATGCTGCAATCGAAAGGGCCATGGGTTGTTTATTCCACATCGCCAATTCAGCTAATCTCCTTTTCTCCTAAGGTGTTGGAATACAACGATAATGTGTGGTCGGTCACCGAAAATTATAAGGCAGGAAATGATGAAGAGATCTCACTGAAAAAAGGTCAGCTCGTCGAAGTCCTTGTTAAACCACATGGAAGCTCCCGCTGGCGAGTTCGCTTGCTGTTGAGCGAAGGAATTCATCCCTCCGAAGGATGGGTTCCACATAACGCGTTAAAGCGTTCAGACGAGCGAGATACGAGGAAGAAACGGCATTCGGACATCTCCCATTCGAGCAGCGAAGGTGAGTCGAAGAATTCCGAAGTTTGGTTTGTCATGTTGGTGTGTGTGACTTTCCTATCATAGCGTGCATCTCTCGCCAGTTCATTGTTCTCTCAGTTTGCGTGTCTGTTTTAAAATGTGAATTTGACAAAGGTTTATAATTTCATCCTCCAGTTTCATTTGGTCAGGAGTAAGAAAGCGCGAATCGTTTTGATTTTCGATTAGCACAATGCAATAGCAGTCAGGGTTGCGTAGGTTTTCGCTTTGTTGCTCTGTTGACTTGGGCTTTTTATCCGTCCCTGCACAACAATACAGTGCAAAATTTTGTTTGAACTGGACAAACGTACAATCGTTCTAACAAGTAGCTTCTGTTTGTCGAGTTTTTTTATGCCTTTATAACTTCCCTTTCTATCATCAAAAGCGTTTTTGTCCGTGTTTTGAATCGAAACAAGAGAGATGTCTTGCACTATTCGTAAATTCCAAAGCTTTCGGAATGTGTCATGTACAAGACAACAAAGGTCGCTAGTTTCTTTTCTGTTTATGTGTTGCCTTTGTGTTTCGGGTTCTCTTTCTTTTCAAACACCCTGTCGTATTAATTTGTCCAATATAGCAACATTTTAGATAGAAACATGATAAAACAATCAATATTCGCAGTGGTGGAAAACTTTCGAGATTGATATTTCTCATTTTGATATGTCTAGATTATGGCAGCTTGTGAAATTAAAAGTCTGTTTTGTCTATCAACACTTCTCAACAGATCCATTCAACCTTAGCGACTTCTTTCTCCGTAGTAAACGTTTTGTTTAACATTCAAAATTCTATTTTCGTCATTTTACGGCGAATATCTGCTTGTTCAGGCAGGTAATTGCGTTTATTGGCGGCTGCCTTTATGCTTCAATACGAACATCGTCTTTCTTATACTGTCAGGACAACCAATGTTTCCCAGATATCGAATTAACTGAATTTACCAACGTCGTATTAAATGTAAACTAGCTTGCAGTTAGACAATAATTGAATCATCGAGTTTCATTTCCTTTTCAAAACGAAATTTTGACGCGGTAAAAGATAAACAAAAGAAAATTGATATTTGGTTGGAACCTTTTTCGTCAGTGTTATATTAGACGCTGTCATGATGCCGGTGAACTAAGACAATTTTCTTCGAGACTCAGGGCCTTCAAATAGTTGGAAGATATCGTTATTTCTCTCAAATAAGTAATCAAATAACTAGTTATCGTTTACGCAAGGAGTTGAAAAGGGTCTTGCTCAAGTTTCTTTGACACAAGATAGTCATTCATTTATTGACGGATACGTTGGTAGAATGACAAAATAATTTGTCAGTATTCATCAGTCGCGGGTCAGTCGCACAGATTTTATTGGTGATGTGCTTCGTCGGGCCATAGAAAATGATTAAGACTTTGTTAATATGCTACTCTGTTTTTGCTGTTTGTTTTGTTTTTTTTTTTAAGATTAAAACAGAACAACGAGAAGCGACTTCCTAACTTCTGAGCGGAAGTATTGTTTCCATGCGGACTTAAAAAAAAATGTGTCATTATATCTTTAAATGTTCGTATGAGGGCTATATTAGCGCTCTATCGAGTATTGTCTTTGTAGTTGTTTTCTGAATGAGGATAAAATATCTATATAATCCATATGCTTAAAAGAATACGTCGTGGTTGTTTTTTTTCCGGGATTTTCGAAGACCATTTCGTACGCAGCACCTGACAACGTATTGCGTTTTCTTGTCAATGTAATGTAATGCGTGGTTGTATTAACAAGTTTTGTGAGGCCACTTCAGCGCTAAGTGACTGGTCTTCTGTAACAATATACAACATGTCCCAAGGCCTACAACGATTGTACATGATTGATGGACATAAAGTGTTGTAGAAAGTTAATGTCCCTTCCAAGTACGATGAGTACATCTTTTTTAGTATGCGGCTTTTTAATCTGCACGACACCTTAAAAACACAACAATAACAACAACAATGATAGCTCGCCATCGTAGCTGAATAATACTGAGAAAATATTTTAATCTTAACAACGAAACGAAACCACTTTTTTCTTGTCGTGTTTCACTTCCGATTGGTAACCCACAAGGTTTCCTGAAACTTCAGCATTGTTAGGAAGCGCCGTTGTAATATTTTTAACCGACTTTTTCACTTTTTCTTTGATGTGTTTCTTTGCAGATTCTGTCTCTTTGTCTTCGTCTGACAGTCCTACCACTTCTTGGTACCAGGGCCAACCCACCAATAATAATGGCAGCTCGCCCCCAGTCCGCCGACGATCCAAATCGGGCCCTCAGCTTTCTCTTAGGTAAGTCACCTAAGACTCGCTTTTGCTTTGGCTTAAACTGTGCTTGTTTGAAATACAAGAAATGCGTCATTTAGGTGCAAATGAATAGATTGCGTAGGTGTTTACCGAGCTGTGTATTGTTTGCGAGAACAAGTTGTAATTACTATATCAAGCCACCGTATTGGTAATTAAGTTCAGGCGTCCAATATAGCCAACAAAATACGTGTTCGCAACGCAAATCTAGTTTCGTCACCAATATTTTTATGTTACGCTTTCGAGTTTCCGAATGAAAATTGTGTTAACTGTTAAAACCTGTAGCACTGAGTTGAATAAACATACGGTAAGCTTTCATTGAAAGTTTGAACGTGAGAACGGTATGAAAGTGACTCTTAAGCTTTCGTTTGAACCCTAAATTCATACACACAAGCTCTCTAACACAGACTGAAAATTTAGAACCACTTTGCATAGCACGAAAAACACCACCGCATGAAAGTGCTCTCAAGTGGCTTTCATTTGAATTATCACACATCGGGTTTCATTCCCAGACGTAAAAGTAAGAACCACCTTTCACAACGTGGTGAACAGTATCACACCACAGTCACTGAAAACTAGCTTTCATTTGAATGGTCCCACACTGGGTTTTTATTCGCAGACTTGAAACCCAGAGCTCTCTCTTCCAGGGCTTAATAAACAGTATCACATGAACTTACTCCTCAATATCTTTTATTTGAACAGTCGAACACTTGGGTTTAATCGACAGACCTAAAAGTTAGAAAAACCTCGTAAAACTTAATAAACAGTACCTTATGAAAGAAATCTCAAGTAGCTTTCATGAATGGTTTTATCTTGAGAATAATTGACATTTTTTTTTATCGTTAATCTATGTTTTTTTAAACAGAAAACGCTCGTGGAGTAAAATTAAAATGAGCAATAAACCAACCACTGACCAGTCTCCAGGAACACCCACACGGATGCCAAAGGGGGTCTCAGGGGGTGGGTCTAAGAAGCTTCAACAACTCCTGGGGGCCAGTGAGAGTGACATCGATCTGCTAGTGAGACCCGCTGAGATTGTATCTACGCATACACATAGGGTAAGTCTGGCTGTTACAGTTAGAGACACTATGGATAGAGAGATTCCTTGAACCCTGTACACGCTAACATCAGTGTACATAATCTCTATACTCTTCTCTATACATTTCTTTTGGTTTTGACAAGGAGAATTTGTTTAACAATCAAAGCTTTTGGTTTGGCGAACATTTCCTTTATTTTCATGATCGTATTGAATGATTCCGCGTTATTACTGTAAGGAGATATTAGGTGCTGGTTACTCTCAGGTTTTAAAGGATTAAAAGAATTTCAGCGGAGCAAACAAAGGCAGGGAAAGAGAATGTTGAGTGAAAGATTTAGGAAAACAATCTGAAACAAATAGACGCCATGTTTGTTGTGTGTCTGTTCTGAAATAGATCACAGATAACTGGGTTTCCTGTGTCACTTGTTCTCCTTTCCACACCTTGACGTCACCTGCGATCTGTTCAGAATAGTCGCATGTTAACATGGAATCTATTTGTTTTATTTTATGAAGAAGGAAAATGTTGTTGATGGGGACGTTATTGTCGCGTCTGTCTTCCTGTAGAGTTAAGAACCAATCAAAATGGCTGTATAATTCAGCGTATTATATAATGTTCTGCAGAGCATTCCGGAGGAGCTGAGTGATTCGCACAATGGCGTTAATCCTGAAGGAACAGCATATCTGCCTGTTCAGCCTTCCACAAGCGAAGGAGAACTAAAACTTCATCTTAGCGATGACGAGGAAGACGATGATGACGTAGAAGATGACTTTGAGAATGAGTACGACAAAACACCGGAAGAGGACGGTGCTGAAGCGGAAGAAGAAGAAGAAGAGCCACAACTTCCCGTGGAGCACGATGATCCACAAGAGGAAGAAGACGAAGACCAAGAACAAATCGGAGGAGAGGAGACCGAGGAACAAGAGGTCGATATTGCGCCATCTACGCCAACCCAAGATCATGAAGACCCTGAAGCTGTGGCGCTCAAGAAAAGAACGTAAGTGGCTGATATTTGCGATTAACATGAGCCAATTTCATTTCGTTGCGTTTGTTGAGTGATGAATCTTGCCCTTAGTGTGATACTTTTCTCAATTTTAGCTCATTGGGTTTTACGTGCTTTTTACTTGTTAGATTTGTGTTAAAGGAACTGATTCAAACAGAAAAAGATTATGTCAAAAGTCTCGGAGAAGTTGTAGAGGTAAGGATTTCAGATGTCAGGCTCAAAAAAATTCAGTGGTGTCTGATATACGGTACAGAATCTCAGTGGTGACATTTTTTCAAATCGTTTTTGCAGGGTTTCATTGTTGAACTTGCAAAGCCAGAGACGCCTGAAGAACTGAAGGGAAAAACGAGGGTGTTATTTGGCAACATACAACAAATCTACGAGTGGCACAAGAAGTAAGTATGAACCAACATTTGCTTGCACGTTCTAGTTAAAGAATGAGTTGGTGACCAAATGAGAGATTTTTTTAAAAAGGGCCAACGAAGAAACAATCGAGTGAACGAGCGAACGAGGGCGAACGAAGAAATGAATCCGTGTGCGTGCGAACGAAGGAACGGACTAGATTTGGGAAGAATGCAAAGCAAGCGGTTGGTGAAGGATTCCAATCAGTTTAACATCTATTTTTTGACTCTCTCTGCAGCAAATTCTTAAAAGAACTAGAGAAATGTGAGGATGCACCTGAGAAGCTAGCCTCTTGCTTTTTAACGTCTGTAAGTTACCTTCAAATACAATCTAAACAGCAATTTACACGACATAAGTTCTCGTCTTTTGGTATCTTTTAATTGATGTATTTTTGTAATTCCTTCAGGAACGTTACCTCAAATTTTACATCTTTTACTGCCAAAATAAACCCAAGTCCATGAATCTTGTCCACGAATTCCGTGATACATATTTTGCGGTGAGTTGCTGTATATCTTTTTGTTCATCATATTTTTTTCCTAGTTGTTGAGGTCTGGAATTATCACAGCTTTAATACTTGTGCTAAGAAAGCATAAGTCGGTCACAGTTTTGTAAAATTACTTCCATTTTAACCGATTATTTAGGAAGTCACCGAGCGTCTCGGCTATCGACTTGGCATTGAGGATTACCTGATTAAACCGGTTCAACGAATCATGAAGTACCAGCTCCTCCTCAAAGACTTTGTCAAATATACAGGCAAGGCGGGACTGGACACTACAGAACTCAAGGTGGGTCCCAGTCCACCTTTCAGTAAAGCGATTGTATTGATTCTGCTTTGCTAAGCGCCGTGACTGGTTAAGAAAACTATCACCATCCTCTCAACCATTCAATCGTGACCAGGTCACCCGCGTTTTCCTGCGCTCACCTACTTTTTCCCGCGCTTTAAGCTGTTTGCTTTACATTGTATTCCTTATGAAATTTTCCTGTCTTCTTATTGAACAATGTGCGGCTTAGTGATGTTGTTATGTGTTATCTATGTTTACAGAAAGCTCTGGACATGATGTACGTTGTTCCTAAGAAAGCCAATGATATGATGAACGTTGGAATGCTTGAGGGTTACACGGTAAGAAAAACAAACACACTTGTTTTCAAAATTACATTACCTTAATAATGATTTTCAATACGTTTCGTCTTGACACGATTTAATTCTTGTTTTCCTATTTTTTTTTCCTTTTCTTTCAGGGCAAGATAGCAGCGCAAGGAACTTTGATTATGCAGGTAACTAGCATTCAAAGAATTCTCCGTAAGATGATCATCAGCGCTCTGATATTGCCAAGTTTTCCCCGTTGAATTTAGCCAAAATTCTCTTGATATTTTTAGGGAGGTTCAAAACAGTTTACCTTTTCCATCTCATTTCCTCTATCTTACCATTCCTCCCCTTCCTGAGATATCACTTTGTTGATGATCCTCCCCCTCCTCCCCAGTTACTAAGCTTTTTATTCTTGTTTTCCAGGACACACTGATGGTGTCTGATCCAGAGACTCGTAAACCATGCAAGCGGCAAGTGTTTTTGTTTGAGCAGCTCATGATCTTCAGTGAACCTTTTGAGAGGAAGCTGGATTGGACAGTGTACATATACAGACACAGCATTAAGGTAATGCGTCAATGTACAGAGAAATATAATTTTTTATAACCTTTTAAAAACTCTCCTCATATGCGACACGCGTCTTACATAATGATAGATTCAGTTAATGATGCACATTCCTCTGTGGTAAAATAACCCAAGTCGCTCTGGCCAGGAACTATTATTGATAAATTATTCGCCTTACACCATCACAGGTGAATCACATGAATTATATGGAAGGGGTGGGTGATGATCAGTTGTCGTTCGCCATTTGGACCGGTTCAGACCCTGACGCGGAAATCTTTACCATGACCGCGAGCTCAGCCGAGAAGAAGAAGGACTGGTTACAAGCACTACAAAAGATGCGGGAATCTCAACGAGCGTTTGCTATGGGTAAGGTTCTCGAGATTGTTTACAAGATGAAATAATCCCAGAAATCATGCGCTTTTGTAATATTCTTCCTTTTGTATATTCATTGGATATGGTAGAGTTTGTTTGATTGTAATCGTAAAACCACTTCACTTGATTACCCATTTTCCGATTTTTTCTTGAAGAAAATATGAGCATAATCTGATGTATTTCCGCTGCATTTTTTCCCCAAGTTTTTGTTAACTTTCTTTTCAACTTTGATTTAACTGTTCAATGCAGAATCGCCTGAAGCGGGGCAATTTTTAAACCAAGGACACAGAGGTTTGAAAATAAACTTTAAACTTTGAAATTAAATTAAAACACGAGATGTGATTATATCATTTAGAATTAATTGTTGAGTTTGTAAATTCAGTTAATCAGACTTTTACGCCTGTAAAAGGCGAACGTGTTTAAACTTAAAACGTAAACTTTCACTAACCCTTCAATCACGTTCAGTTAGTTTCTTATGACGTACTCATGTTCTTAATGACCGTACAGGCTTGATGTTAATAGACAGAAAAGTAATAATTGTAAATTGCTGTTAAATTGTAATGATCCAATGTGAAAAGAGGAAATTATTTTTAAACTTTTTGTAAAACATTTTTTTTAATCGTGACATCCTTTCAGTAACTGGTATGTCGCTGTCCTCTGTTGTAACGTTCTTCAAATGTAACTTAAACTGGTCACTCTCACGTTAATCTAAATTGATCCAACATTTCTCTTGTCAGCTATTGATACTCATCACTGTTTGTTGTCCTGATTCTTTTCACAGCGTTAGAAAGACCAATCGAATATCAGAAACAACAAGCCAACGGCCTGTAAGTAAAATCTTACATTTTAAAATAAAAGGGAAAAAGTTAACCGCTGATTCTCACGTGCTTCTCTCTTCTTAGTCCTCCCGCATTGACTCCTGGGTCCCCCGTTACGACTCAGGGTCAGGTGACCCCATCAAGCAGCACGACTCTACCGCTGACCACCTCTGCCACTCGCGGGCACAGCCTAAGCCTTCCTAACACTGGCTCACTAAAGAAAGCGTCACAGGTAAGAAAAAGGCGCTGGAACTGTTTTTGGAAGAAAAGCTGCATCTTTGCTCAATATTTAATAAGCGAAAGAGATCGACGCGTATTTATCGTTGTCTCTAGATACCAGTCCCCTCTAGTCAAACCAGTCGTCTTAAGCACATGAATCTCATCGCTCTGGAAACTGCTCAATCTCTGGAGGACCTGACGTCGCCTTTCTCGAATACTTCGGTGAGCTGAAACGTTCTTCATCTCTTCCACAAAGTCCCTGTTTCACCGAATTTAGCTCCTGCTAGGCAAAAATGTAAAAACGTTTCTTGATATCGTTAATGTTCATGTTCTGCTGCTTAACCTAAGAGTCGTGGAACCTAGTTTCTCGAGGAAATGGAAAGATCCTATTGTTGTAAAAGAGCAACGAGATTACTAGTGTTGCTTGACGTGGGATTGCTACGGATACCGCGTGACTGCCACAGATACTGCGTGACTAATGTTGCAACTGTTGCTATTTGCAGCGTACTAAAGAACGTTTCGTGGTACTGGAGGATTTCAAGTCCAAAGACAAAGATCATCTTTCTGTGAAGAAAGGAGAAGTTGTGTACTTGGTGTCCAACAAGAAACACGACAAGAACTGGCGATATGTTTGTAATTTCACCGAGGACAAACTCGGACTTGTGCCCGCCAAGATCTTGAGAAAAGAAGCCAACAACAATCTCGAAGGTTCGTTCCTGTCTTTCATGCAAATTCTTCTCATTTTTTATCTGTTGCTGAGATTTTAGAGTGAAATTCAATAAGTTTCCCTACTCGTTGTTTTTTTTTTCCTTCTCGTTTCATTTCTGCTTGGAATTTTATTGACATTTAGCTTCCGTCATGAATTCCTTTTTTGGCAATTGGCGGGGAAAAAGGTTTCATTACATTTGGTGGGTAGGAGTCGATTTAATGCACCAAGATTGTAGGAAACTCAATAGCAACTGGGAAATTTGAACTTCAGGATCACGTGCGACGTCACTACTTGTCGTAAAATTTGTTTCGCCTTTGGTTTCAGATTCAGAAACTCCGATGTCTCCCAAGAAAACGGCCGGGTAAGAATCTTTTTGTTATACCGTTTTAGTTTTCCGTGTAGTCTTTTATTTTGTCAATTTTTTAAGCAGTGAGTTTTCCTTTTGTTATTTTTTTTAAGTCGCATGTCATTGTGAGTTCTTGACTTTCGTTATTGTGGTTCGTGTTCAGAACATTTTCAAGGAAAAAGGTTTCAAGGCATGAGAGTTTTACGTAAGTTCTCGATTTTTTCGTTTTGTTTTGTGTTCAATTATTTATTTTGTTTTGTTTTATCAGCTTTGAAAACTCCTTTGTTGTTGGTGTTATTATTTTTACTTGTATAAGGAGATGGGCATCTTACATCTGAAATTTGTTTTGGTTATGACAAACAGGTTATGATTTCGGCGTTCGACAGTAAATCGTTTATATTCAATCGATAAATGATCGTCTAAGAAGGGGTAGTCGGCGCTTTAAGCTACGACCGTTTGGTCGCCTTAGCGACCTGTGTTCGGCGGTCGCGTAACAAATTGTAAAATGTTTAAACCTAATGTTAACGGTCCTAAGTCTAACTAGATGCACTGAGAAGTGCGCTTACTGTTAATGATAAAATGTTTCGATTAACTCCTACGAGCGCGCAAACGTTGAAATTGGCGGCTGCGCGGAGAATGGGAACGGGTGGTGGTCAAGTTGTACTCTGCCTCATGCTGCAAAAATGGCTTAATGGTGCTGGGTTTGGGTTGCATCCTAACTAGATGTAAAGAGGTGAAAGTCGTGTGCATGCCAGTCGTATGGATTTAATATACCGCACTAATGCTTTGATAACGCTAATCTTACCTAACCGGTGAATTTCATCAACGTAGACAGTTATTACTAAGGTTAAGTGAAATACTCGACTCCAAGGTCTTTCAGACCCTCATCCTGGGAATGAGGGCAGCCTCGTTTCGAATCAATGATAACTTTGTTTACGTGAAGCCGTTTACTTCGTTTCTGGGATTCGGGCCAAGGAAGGACTTTGGAAAGAATTTGTGGTCAGGTTTTTCTGCTGTGATCCTCCATAGTTAAGGTATGAAAAATGTCTATGATGCACAAAAGACCGAAGCATCTCGGGAACATGATGCCACAGTACACGAATAATTGTGCACTGTTGTTTTCAACCAGAATGGCTAAAAAGAGTAAAGAGAAGATTCTTCCGTCTATTACACGTCATCGGAGCTTTAATACGTAAGTGTGTTGTGGCGTATGTTTGTGTGTGTGTGTGTGTAAACTCTGCTTCTCTGCAGTAATCAGCATTGACCTTAGACCACTGGAGTCCTGAGATCACGTGGAGTTTTTTAACTCAATCAAAACGTTAGGAAAACTGAATTAGACCAATTAAAATGGACGAGTTTGGAGAGCGCGGGAAAGCATCTTAGGTAGCCGGTTGTGAAGGCGGAAAAACCTGAAAAAGCGCGCGGAAACGTGTGTTCAGTGTAATGACGAGGTGAACAAAATTGCTTGATTTGTCTGAAAGGGAAAGCTCCTCTTTCTTCCTTCTGATCGGCAAGTGAATCATTGAAACAAAAAGACTGAAAACCAAACGCCCCACGGCACCAAGCTAATTGTCCAAGAAGTATGGATTTGACAATAATGTTATTCGTTGGTCTTGAGGGTGGAATAAGGAAAAAGTTTTAAGCTTCCGTGAGGAATTGAACCTCAGACGTTAGGATCTTACGCTCCCGTGCTCCACCTCTGAGCAACAGAGAACTCTGTGGTGAGTTAGGCCATTGTTAGGTTCATGTGTGACACCCATTCTGCATACTGCTAAGATCAGCCATGTCGAAAGCATCGCGTGGATAAATAGAATCACAAAGATGGTAAAGTTCTTAGCTCGGTTGTGGAACAAAGAAAGATGTTTTGAGGTATCAGAATTATCTGAAGGACTCCAGTGGTTTCTTGCTTTACTAATAATCCTAACGCGCTTGAATTAACATTTATCATCCATACGTCTATCCAGTTAAATATAAAGTATTTACGCGTACGTGTATTCCTTAATTCTGACCGATAACATTTATTACATCCTTTATGATCAACAAGTAATTTCTCCTCCCCTAACCAATACATTATAAAGAAGACAGGTTATAAGAATGAATTTAAATCATTTAAGAATATTGTTCGATGTAGCGCACGTATTGTTATGTGCAAGCTTTGTAAGAAATGTATGAAAGACAATGAGTAGAATTTGAGATCGTATGAGCGCGATGTTGGGTTCAGTTTACTTTGAGTTTTTGGTTAGGGAACTCGAATTGGTGAGGTTATTGGGGGGGGGGGGGTTTAAAACAGGCCGATGTTTCTTGGATGAGGAGTAAGTGACCCAAGAACCAAAGACTTTACGCTGCGAGACTTTAACAAACTTTGTTAAAAGAAGTTTAGAATGCGGTTTGTCGTGGAATGGTTTCCATCAGGTGATACTCCGTGTCGACCGAGGATGAATGACGCAGAAGATTGCGGGAACAGTTCTAAGTTGTTAAGTTTAAAAAAATGAACTAAAAGTTCATTTATGTTTTACAGGAGTGACAACAAAGATAGACGGACACAAAAGAAACAGAAAGACTCCTATCTGAATGCCTTCTCCAACAAGATAAAACAAAATATCGATAAATACCGAACCGAATTGAGTACAGAAAATGCAAATGATAGCGAAGACATTCCTGTCGCCTCATCGGTTAGTAAATCTAACTAAATCTACCAACTTATCGAGTGATATCTTGACTTTGGTGTCTTTCCCTGGACATCAGAAAGGTCAAAGTCCACATGAACCAAGTGGCTCATTTAGCCAGAATTTATCTCTGTTTCCAGAGCAATAATACCTCTTCCCCCTCAACGGGATGCTGGTCCATCGCAAGGGTTACCCCCCTCTCTCCTTACGAATTTAATCAGACTCCCCTGACAATCCGCCAGTGCCCATTTATCTTGGGTGGAGAGAAGCACTGTGAGAGTGGAGTGTCTGGACGGAAAACACAACACAATGACGAATCGAGGTTTAGGATCCAGGCCCCTTGAACCGGGGTCTAGCGCATTGACCATACAGCCGGCCTGTCTCGCACACCCTGGATGTCGAAATTGATGAACTTGTGTTTTTTTTCTTCTTGCAGAATCAAAAAGGAAACTCCGAAATCAGTACGTATCTAGTTATGATTTCACTATGATTCAGAGTTGTTCGTGTGTACGTGCGTTCATTGTTCATGTGTTTTACACGCGTGCTCTAAGCTTATCAGAGATTTTACCTGCTTCGTTCACGACTCACTTAAAGAGTTCTTTTTGTTTTCATTTTTATTTTAGTTGAGCAAGATCTGCACGAATCACAAACCACATTGCATGCCCAAGATAATCTCTAACAACAGTTAACCTTAAGCACTTTTCGTCACTTGATCCCTGTCAACTCTTTGTCTTTATCGTAAGAAAATTTAAGACTAAAAGCTACAGTTTAAATTAAAGTTTAATTGGGAGAAGATTTAAGGTCTTAAACTTAAGTCACCAAAACTTAACTTACAAGGGGAAAAAAGCACATAGTTGCACGTTTTTATAAGTAAGGTTGAGGCGAGTAAAAAGCACTGATAAAATATTGCAGTGCGTGCATTGCGCCATGGTCAGCTGTACATATTTGTTTACAATTTCGTCCTTCCGTTGGTATGTTAACTACGAAGGCAATATCATTAAATTATTTTTCTGAAAAAGAGAGATGTCACTAAACCCACTTAGGTGACTTCGCTTTGCTAGATAATCGTCGCAAAGAATATATTTTTTAAATTCATGTTTAAGACTTAAATTATGTTGAATTAATCAGAAACTTGATCGAAGTCAAAATCAAGGCTTGTGAAAGTGATCTCTTGTCAAGAAATGGAACATACCTTTGAGGTTTTGATGAAAACTTTGGGAAAGCGATCGGCGGCTAAATCCCTCCTTCGAAGCATTGTTGTAATTTTTCCTATGTAGTTGTCGGAGGGGTTATTGCTTGTAGAAAGAACGCAAAAATAATAATGGATTGATTGTAAGCGCTCGACAACAGCAGGCACATTGCACTGTACTCCGCCTTAGTCGTCGTTGAATGAGATAAAGCAAAGAGCTGGCAACGGTAATGTAATGCTTATTTAGTAAAACTAATTCCTAACGTTTTATTTTATATAATTTTTTTCCGTTGCTAACCCAATTAACAATGCACAACGTACTTACTTTCACGCCGTCAGCTTTCATCGAAGTTCTTCGTGACGTCACTGTTAAAAGCGGCCACCATTTACGGCTTCAGTGCAAATTATCATCGCTCCCCACCCACCCCCTCACGGTGACCTGGACTAAGAACCAGCATGCCATAGAAAATTACGACAATATCAGGCTAGTTAAAGACGGAGTCACATATGCGTTGGACATCACGCAAACGGAGACTGCTGATACAGGTCACTACAGGTGTTCTGTCACGTGCGGGTCACGCCGCATCACTTGCTCCGCTAACGTTGCCGTGTTAGGTAAAAGCAAAAGCTGTCAAATCAGGTACCCCTTGCTGCTGAATGTCAAGTGGCATAAATTGCTCCAAAATGTTTGGGATAGGACTACCAGCGAGATGCGGAAAGAACATTCTTCATTTTTATGTCCTCGGCGATTGAATTTCGATCTCCGACGGGTGAATCTCGAACACTCACGAGTACATTTCGATCTCTCTTCAGTGAATTTCGGTCTCCCACGATTGTGTCACGGTCACGCCTTATATTTTACTTCCAACTAATTAAAAGGCTGTTGTGGGTTGATCACAGAAACGTCGAACCCAAGTTGGGACCAAATAGTTTTGGTGTGAAGTATGTCCTACGACTTACAGTAGCAAAGGGGAAGAGGGGTCCCTAAAACAATCAGCAATTAAATGTCAGAGTTATCGCCAGGGTAAATCACTGTTGTCTATTTTTCAAACTTGCGGTATTTTTAAATATTAAACACTAAATTATGGCAAACTTTGGGAAATCTTTCGTCGTGTCAGGTTTCCGTCAAGTGACATAACTTCTCAAGCGACAAACGCGGCCTCACTGAATTTTCGGTGACGGAAATGTGCCGACCGAGGTCGAGTTTTTCCGTCCCGAGAATCCTAAACACTATCATTGTTATGTCATTCCTCAGTTGATTTCATTTTCATGTGTTACAATTGTCGTTCATATCCTAACTTTGCTTGTTACATCATTAAGGTGTTCCTGAACCTCCTTCGAAACCTTGCGTCAGAGAAATGACCTCATCATCGCTCGTGTTGCACTGGGAACCACCTAAGTTGGACGGGGGTAAAGAAATCACCGCGTACACTGTGGAGTATAAGGAGACTGGGGTGAGTGTGTGGCAGGCGGCGGTGCCATTTGTGGCGGGAAACAGCACGCTAATTGATGATCTTACGCCGGGCGCCACGTACCAGTTCCGAGTCAGTGCTAATAACGAGATTGGTATCAGTCGACCCAGTCCTATCTCGGATTCTATAACACTGGACGTCGAAAGCGGTGAGTGTTTCAGTAGGCGCAAGTCATATGCGAGCGTGACGTTTGTTTTAAAGGTGGTCACGCACAAAAAGGCGTAACTTTTCCATCAAATTAGTCGTCGCGCACTTTTGATGGTTTCTACAAAGAGCGCAGAAACATGACAATTGGACTTGTATGCACAGAGATTTAGAAGCTGTATTAAAACCTATTTTTCTATTAAACCTAAAGAGACTCAAAGAAGTTTGCGTTAGTATACTTTTGTGGTAATTTCTACTCATTAAAGGATCCCTTTACCATATAATTTAAAACTTCTACTCAATTAAATCTCTAATCTGAACTGTGTTGCTTTTTTCAGAAGAATCGTCTTAAACATCGAGCTAAATGAACATCAGTTATCTTCGTACTTCAAAGAATTAAACTATTCAAGCCACTTTAGAGATCTTCTAATTATTCTAGTCCAACCGTAAAACAAATGACAAGCGTTGTAAAATAAAACTAATTTGTACTCTTAATTGGTATATTGTTGTATAAACTTGTAAAACTTCCCTAGGACGTACGCTTTACTAGAAATAAATGATTAATTGTTAGGTAGTAGAAAATTTAACTGATCATCCTAACCGTCGGTTGTAGTATTTGAAGAATTGCTTTGTGGATAGCTGCCAAAATGAAACTATTGCCTCCCGGGAATAACAATAAAACGTATGTTCTTTACGTGATCTGCTGGTCAGCTGATAATCACGTGTTGTCACTGAGTAATCGGGCCAATTACTATCCTTGTTGAATGACAGGTCGTGCGGGCACAACTTGTCATTCAGATATAAGATCAATCACTCAAACTTTTTTGCGGGAGAGTTACTTGAAATAAACAGCGTTTTAATCAAAGCAGCCAAGAATAGTTACAGGAATACTGTTAGCTTTCAGATCAGATGGATTGATACCGCAAAGCTTGCAGAAACTTATAAATTTACGACTTGATTATTCTGACATCTACCTAAAATCTTCTGGACGCGTTTTTGTCGGCTTACCTATTGCTAAGCCAATCAGTGAATCAGTTTTTTTTTTTTAGCCACTTGACAGAAGCTTGCATCGCGATTTTTAGGTATTTTTATTACTTTTTAAGTGTTAAAACCAGGTTAAGATGCGTAAATGGTCGTAGTTGTATTAAACTATCAAATCTCTTTAAGGTATTCTAACCTCGGATTATTTCATCAAATCAACTTTGCTTTACTGATCTCTGTTTTACTGTAGTAATTTCCCTCGTAATTCAATAACTTTAATTAACCTTTAAATTGTAAAACGGTTTGTTCAGAAACAACTCGTATGGTTCATGAAACAGAGAGGATAAATTTCCCTCGGTACGATGAATAAACAGTTAAGGATAACAAATAAAATAGAAATAAAATTGAGCTCCGTTACAGAGCAATCTGTGTTCTGCTTGGCGAGGATTTTATTTTAATAATTATTTATTTTAATTTATTGACTAAATTGCAATGTACTTGTCAAGCAGACATGGATTTGCTCTTTTGGGCAGGGTCTGTAGTGATTTATAACATCATTTTTAACCTTAGTCTATGAGAAGACCCTCATTACAAACGCTGCAGGACGCGCGTTTCCCGCCCGGGGGAAGATTTGAGCCCAGATCCCATGCAGGGTTCTTGCTGGCTCGCGTTGCCCAAGGCCTCACACGTTCCGCGGGCGAAAAAACGCTGGGGCGAAAAACTCAGGTGCCAAAGCGTTATTAATGAGGAGCTGTTCATAGTCTATTTTAACTTATGAGTTATGGGGACAACACGGTTACATTGAATGATGCTTAAATCAATTTAGTTGTGCTTAATTATCTGAGTAGCTGCTAATTAGAAATAAAAACCGACTGAAATGTTTGACGATGAATTAGTTGTCCTTTTCCAACCTTCGCTTTGCCTTACCTTGTTGCGAAGAACGTTGTGAAACCGTTAACAGAATTTTGAATGAGACTGAAGTTAACGAAGCAATGATTTATTTGAAAGTGAGTGACTAGCGGTGAAAATTTCAATAGTGGTTCTTCCTTTTCACACCAACTGTTGTGAGAGTGGACTAAACATGCTTCATCTCAGAGCGTCTTGCGCGAGGCAAATTGCGACGGAGGAGGCGCGCGTGGGTTTAGATGCTGTTAGGAAGAACCGCGCGAGGAATAAATGCTCTGTGATAGAAGATAGGCGAGGATGAGGGTAAGTGAAGAAAGTAAAGGTGGAGATTCGTGAGAAAAGAAACGCACGAAAATCGAGACGCTGTGAGGAGAAGTAATGTGAAAGATGAGTTTGATGCGCGAGGAAAGAAACGCTCGAGGAAGGAGATGCGCAGGGATGTATGCGCGTGAGAAAGGAAGAGCACGAGGAAGAAGACAGAGTGCTGAATATTTAGCGTCCTTTTTCCGTTCTTTGCAATTGTCTTCACCTCCCTACCTTTTGCTTACGGCACATAAAACATTATTTGTTTCTTCCTCTCAGACGATGAAAAAAAGAAAAAAAACAAGAGGAAAGTGCGCTCCAACTCGCGAAGTGATCCTATTGTTTGGAAAAAAGATATCGAAGATTATTATAACATTTACGCCGAGCTTGGAAGGTGAGTTGCAGATTTCTCCGATGAATAATGAGTCAGTGGCTCTCTTGTTTTTCTTTTCTGTACTAATGTGTCAGTCAGTCAACCGCATTCCACTTTTCGGTTGTTAAACCCTCTTAACTCCCAAACCAAATTTGTAATTCTCCTTACTGTCAACCATACAGTTCTTACAATGTTAGTTCAGAGAATTTTGTATTGGATCAACAAATTGTCCTCAAATTGATATATTTCTTTATTCTCGTCACTTATCTGGTTGATATTGTATTGATATTGTAAGGAGAAACTCTATCTTGGTCACTCATGGGAGTTAAAGGGTTAACGCTCTGATCAGCCGCAGAGGTTGCAGTTATATTCTTGCCACTTCATGGAGTGGTCATCCTAGCTTCATGTAACGAGGAAATTTCGAATGCCATGCAGTGAGCATTGTGCACTTAAAAGTCCTACAATGTTGCTCTCCACAAGTAACTTCCGCAAGGGAACAATCGTTATCTATCGTATCGTTATCTATCTTTGCGTCGCAAAACTTAACCGATTTCCTTACCCGCCTCACCCCCGCCTCATTGGCAGTCAAATTTCTGTATTCCCCCCCCGACGACTGAGCCCCTTTCCGTTCTTCCTTAAAGCCACGTGATTCCTCTAAAATCCACCGACTCCTCCCCTCCCTCCCTGAGTGGTCGCAACGATCTACGTTTCCTTTTACGTCCAACTCTGATGAATGGATTGCACCTTTTTCAGGGGCCGTTTTTCTGTTGTCAAGAAGAGCGTAGAAAAAGTAACAGGGCAGGAATACGCCGCTAAACTGGTCAAGAAACGAATGGTCGGAAAAGAGGAAGTAGAAGACGAGATTTATCTCCTTCGAAGACTCAAACATCCTAATTTGAGTGGATTTATCGACGCTTTCGATACAACGAAGAACTTTGTAGTAATTGTTGAACTTCTTGCCGGTGGTCGGTTGTTCGATCATCTGGTCGTTATGGACAATTTAACGGAGAAAGTTGCCATAGGTCATGTGAGGGAAATACTCGAAGGAGTTCAGCATCTTCGAGATCTTTCTATCGTGCACCTCGACCTAAAGGTGAGGCTATGAACGTAAACAAGTGTGACGCAAGTCGTGGTCATTGCGTGTCCAACAAAGTATTGTTTGTAAAAAGAGGGGTCAAATGTAATCTCTCCAAATTCTTATCTTCTTTTTTTTCCCTTTAGCCGCAAAACCTTCTCCTGGATGGTGGGCCGTTACCAAAAGTGAAAATAATCGATTTTGGTTGTGCAACGGAGATTTCCGACTCAGAATCTGTAGTTAAACAAGTGTTTGGAAATCCTGAGTGTGCTGGTATGTTTCCATTTACTTCTGCACGTATAATAAACAGTTCCACATGAATGTTCCTCTCTGTAGCTTTAACTCATAGGGATTCATCCACAGACTTGAAAGTTAGAACCAATTTTTGCAGTTTGATCAACAGAACCACTTGATAGTATTTCTCAGTAGCTTTATTTGAATGATCACAACACGAGGTTTTTTTCCCCACAGACTTGTAATGTACAGCCCTTTTAACTCGCAAAATACCGATCATCTTTTCTTTCTTCAGCTCCAGAATTAGTGAACAGACAACCTGTAGACTTCACAACAGATACATGGTATGTGTCAAGCTAAAGACTTTCTTAGTTAACTTTCTGTTCTGAACTTCTCTGGGTTGTTTATGTTATTAACGAAAATATTTCTTTCCTTTGACTGCAGGAGTATAGGAGTTATTACATACATCATGTAAGTATCACCAATTCATTTCTATGGACGAGTAGATAACTGAGCACTAAGGTAATTTCTGGAGGAGTAGGGATGGGTTAGTCACGAGAGCGCTCTTGTCCTATTTTTGTGGCCTGGGTTCGATTGTTTGTAGTTAGTTCTCTTCCTTGCTCCGAGATTTTAATTCAAGGTAACTGGTCGCTGTGATTGGTCAAGAAAACTCCCGCCATCCTTTCAACCAACCAGCTTCTCAACCTCTTAACTAGTCAACTTCTATCAATCGTGATTTGGTCACCCGCGTTTTCCCGCACCTCAGACAGTTTGCTTGTCCATATTTTTAGTTCTCGTTGGCGCCTTGTGATATTTACCTTCTCACTGATTGGCTGTTTTACGACACTAGAGCGAGAAACGCCTTTTGACGCTCCACCCCGCAGAATATTCACTGATAGCTTGTTTGGTTTAAATGACTCTCTCCAACTTGACTTTTATCCCCCTGCTATGCAGATTGAGCGGAGTTTCACCGTTTCATGGGGAATCAGTGGAAGAAACTTGTCGAAACATCACAGAAGCTAAATACGAATTCAATCCGAAGCATTTTGAACCAATTTCACAGCAAGGAAAGGATTTCATCTCCTCGTTACTTGTTAAAAATCCGAAGTAAGTGAAAAAGCAGCATTTACAACTCTTCTTTGAAAAGTTTTCCTATTTGCAAAGTGCGTCTTGCGCAATTTACTCTATTCCGTGGCATTTTACTGATTAGTTCTTATTAAAATTGTACAGTAATAAACTGAACTGATGGTGCATGTCTGAAACCTCATCGGAAGAGGTCGGAAGCCGTCGGAGAGACCGAAGTCTTCCGACACTGTCACCGTTGACTTCCTTTCTTACATCTAACTAAAAAAGTCTCGAGAATGGCTCGAATTCTCAATATAATTTCGATTTTATATCAACTTTTATTTTGTTCCCATCCTAATTCTGAACTTTTTTTTACTTCAATTACGTTTAGAAAAAGAGCCGACTGTCAAAATTGTCTAAATTCTCAATGGATTAAGGTAAGACAAAGTTTTCCTTACAACAATTGGTGATATTATTTCGCACTCTTCGTATCTCCTTTTGCCAAATTTCCCACGTTTATTACGAGTCGTAAATTTTCGTGCGCATGGCGCTGATTCCAGACTGGTTGTTGAGCGCTACTAGAGTTCACTTATTACGCCCCGCCCCTCCCCTGTGAGTTTTCCCGCGTTTACTGCTGCCACCACTGTCACCTGATTTTCATAAGCTCAGGTAACAGTCATAAATGTACCCAGCTCTTTTCACCATTAGCAAATAGTTTCCCAGTTTTGCCATGCTTCAAAGTTTTTGCCTACCTGTCTTGAGCCTCGTGTTTTTTACCGTTTGTAAACCCGATTTGCCTTATTTTTTATCCACAAAACTTATGTAAGAACTTTTTTTTAACCGTCGCCATTAATCGTTTTTTCGTTGCGTTTTACAGATGATTAGTCCCAGGCCCCCTAGTCCAGTTAGACAAGTTAAACTCAACATATCACGGTTAGCGGCCTTCAACGCGAGGAGAAGAAATCAGGTAAGAGAACTCAGTGTTATACGAAAGATTGATTCGCTTCTCATTTCTCTTTACCTTTTTGGTTGAGAATGCATCACAGTTGTAAGGAGAAGACAGAGATTAATTGCAAATTGAAATAACCGAGTGGTGGAGTATTTTGGAATTAGTTAATGTCGCATTTGGTTGTAAGACTGTTTTTTTCACATTTAAGCTTTAAACTTCTAAGAGTGACCAGCATCTAATTTCTCTTTACAATATCATCCGGAAATCAAACATAAAGGTCAGGAGAATGAAGGAAATGATCACCAACTAAAGAAGCTCTTGATTGTTAAACAAATTCTCCTTGGTAGCTCCTTAGGAAATGTATAGAGAACAGTATGGAGAATATGCATACTGATGTTAGGTTATGAATGGTTAACCCTCCGCGGTGGAGAAACGCGTGACCTGCAGCGTTGATAATGATGGCCTGCACACAGGCGAGTACTCCTCGCCATGTCGCTAAAGTTCTAAGGAGCAGTTGTTGAGTAAGGAAAATTGTCAGCCAGAGGGTGTTGGATTTTTATAATACTACAAACGAATATGTCGTAGCTAGTGTGGAGAATTGCTTACTACATCTTCTTTGATTTCCTTTCCACCTCAGCACGACCTTACGCCATTACCAATGAATAAGAACGTCAAGAACACCACGACTGTATAGCATTAAGGTGAGGGAAAAAAATAAAAAATAAATAAATAAATAGAACACTTAACCATCTATAAAGAAATGACACTTACAGTAGCTTTTTCAAATTTTGAAATTTTTTTTTTTGATTTTCAGAAAGGATTTATGCTGGTCTATTCCAGAAAAAAACTTAAATGTTGTTTTTCCTCTTTTTTTTGCAGTTTCAAGAATTTTACTTACGGATAGAAAGTTAGCCCTCTGTTTCGTCACTTTTGTAAAAAACTATTCATGTAATGAGGAAATTGTGCACATTTTCAAGTTGTACAGCTGTAATATATTTTGAGCGGTCTTGTATGTAAAAGAATAGGTTATTTTTGTATGAAAATTTATGAAACCTTTTCAAAACAATATGTAAATTGTAGATTCGCATCCAGTCGACCAGTGAGAGGTCGCTGGGACTAGAAATGTTTAAAAGAGAAGAGAAATTTATTGCTTTTTTTTAGTTATCTGCAGAATGCTGGAGGTTCCCACCATTTTCCTAAATAGCTTTTTAAGGGAAATAATTTTTGTTTTCGTGGACAACCAATTCTTTGCGAACGTTTTAGTTCGCTTTGCTAGTTCGATTTGCTTGTTTGATTTCGTGCGACGGTTGTCGTTCAGTTGCAGCGGCGTCGCTTCTGATGGATCGGTGCGTTGTGTAACATTGAATATTGTGTATTGGACGGTTGAGTATGTAAAGATGTCGTGGATTTATTTTCTGTTATTCAACGCAAGTCCAAAGATGCAAGTTTGTTTTCAGTGGTTTTTTAGTTTTTGTAGTACTTCTCTTTTCCCCTCTGTCAGTTTCCTTCACAAACCAAATAAAAAGAAGCATTCGTTGGATTATTTTTGCGCTAAATTCCCCTTTATTACCAGCAAAGATACTATTTTCCAGCATTTGCCAAATTGCTGGCTTATTTATTAACTTAATGACGAAGTTAATGACAGAAATTATGCATAGCATTCAGAAATTGTTTGAGAAATAAAACGTGAAGAATTTATTGAATTTGTGTAGTAACTTCACAATCCTTACATGAATTTTTACTTATCTCCATTTTACCTGTGGAAACTTTTGCAGTTTTTCTCTTCTTTCAATCCACTGTTTTTTAAAACTGAACCGAGCTCTTTTGCTGTATTTAGAAGTGACTTAGAGAACTTACAATTAATTAACATGCATGTTAATCTACAAGACTTTTACATCAACATTGAACTTGCAAAGCAAGCCGCGAAGTGCTTGGATCTTTCGTGACAATTGTAACCCTTGAAAAATGATAGCTTTCTCTTAAAAGGTAAAACTTAAAATGTTTTGTTTCGTTGACATATTCATCAGTCAGCTCGATGTAACATGTTTGAAGAACTCATTACGCAAGAGGAAAACCTATCTTGAATAATTGTTAAAAACACGTAACTTTTAACTTCTTGATTCGGCGAAACGCTTTCATTTTGTAGAGTTCGCTGTTATTAAGGTTCTTCTGTATGATTGTGCACCGTTAAGTTTTGCAAACGGATACACAACCGGTGTAACTCACGTATTTCTTGTGTTCTCCGATTTCCGGGTCATGTTTCTGGTGACGTGAACCACTGTTAATCTCTGTTTTGTTCCATTTTTTGCACGTACACTTAATCAACGGATCTTCTTTTGAATGAAATCTTCTTTGCGAAGTTTTGATGTTTTCCGACATTCGAGTCGTGGTTGCAATCACGCGAGCGAATCGTTCCTTTCTCGTTTCCTTTCAATTTTTGCACATCATACTGCGTCTATTCCGTCAGCCGTTTTTGCCACGTTCTTGTTCACACGCATCGTATGACTGTCCACTCCGTAAGAGGCGGAATGTTTTTGCGTTTTCTCAATTTGAGTGGAAGGGAAAATAACGTAGGCTATTACCAAACATAGAAAAAAATCTAAAATTCGACTCACTGTCTGATAACCCCACCATGGCCAGTGATCCACAACATTCTCTCCTTCGAAATCATACAGTTTGTACAACGAGAACAGTGAATAAAGTTCTGCTCCGAAGTTTAGCAATGCAAGAAGCGAGACAAAGCCAGAAATTCGAGCAATTTTTTGCGCTCCTTTCGAAGGTTTGTTTTGATCACCGCTCAAAGTTTTTGCCTGCTCGACCGTGACACTGTAGCTCTGCGGGTCGAGCGAGGCAGAAGAAAGCGTTGAAGCGGTTCGATCCTTCACCACTGTAGAGCTGAAGAACTTGGCTGTGATTTGCGATTCCCAGTTTACTTTCCAACCACTGTACAAGAAGCACGCTGCCAGAATGAACCACCAGGAAATTAACACCGTTTGGCATAAAATAAGCAAACGAGCGAGCTTCGGTGCCAGTGTTATGACCAAATACACAACTAACACGATCACAAAATGCGACGCTATCACCGACACCAGAAACTTGACATTTTGAAGACGCCGTGAGATCAGTCGAAGTTTGTTTACTTCGAGGAAGGCGAAGTGAATCAGTGATAAGGCTGATGTTAAGCAAGGATATCCAATGGCAAAGATGATTCTGCTCAACAACACTGGAAGATCCAAGACCGTGTGCGATTCGTAAGGATCGAGGAACAGGTACAGTGTTCTTGAGACACTAAACGTCATTAACATCAGACAGACAGCAAGAAAGTAATTCGCCAACGTCATGCCTCTAGCTCTGTGTTTGATTTTCACGACACAAATACAAGAGAACACTGCCACGCCGAAGAACAGGACTCCAAAACCGATGTAGTGAAGTTCCCAAAGATATTTCCAATCTCTCAGCGCAAGATCCCAGTCGGGAAGAGGTTCTGGGTTTGGAGGAGCAGACATCTCTGGCCAAGGTTCTGCTCCAGCTTTTGCTCTCGTCACTGTTTCAGGCTCTGCGGATGGCATAGTATGATCTTGACCTCGTGAAATTCTATGCAAATTCTCAAATCGTTCCAGAACCCAGCGACCCTCTCCAAGTAACAAGCACAGTTCAATTGTTGAACGATGACCGATTAAATCGAGTTTCTGTTAATTCAATGATATTGTAACGCAAGACTGATCTCTTAATGTTTTTTTAGCCTTGAACAAGTCGTTTGTGAATATCTTCTCCTTCCAACTTATCTGTCTTTGTATGCATTAGTTATTCCCTTATTGTCACGATTAGTTTCGTATCCTTTGTGATGCAAAACAGCTCAATTTGATTCAGCTGATTAGAACAGTGACGAAGCGCCGTTTACAAACAACCTCTCCTTATCACATCCGACAATGACCTCAGCATTATTCAAATTCGCGAGGCAATATAATTCCTATTTTGGTGTTGAGTGTCTCTCTAAGAAGTGGTTTGTCGTTTACGTATCTCCGTTTCTTATATTAACAAACTTGGAATATTCAACTTCAGGAAAAAGGCGTATATTTTTTGACGTATTCACTCAAAGCTTTTTTGTTCCCGTGACAAGCGCACGCGCCCCAACACATGGAAATCAATGTAAAATTTCCTGAGCGTAAACAGTATTAGAAAAAGTGGGGGAGTATTACGGTATTAACAGATTATTCACCTGACATAAGCAAATATGTAAGCAAATATTGATATTTTCAGATGATTACGTCTATTTCCTTAAAGCAAAGACGAATTTTCAATTTCTTTGAAACGGAAATAGACGTGACTCATTCCGTTGTTATGGCGTTCTAGAGAGTGCAACTAATGGCTTATTCCCCCTACAGAGAAGACAAACTTCCGGCAAACCTTTTTACGAGAAAAACTTGCAATGAAAATTCAAGCTAGCATTATACGCTGGGTAAATATTGAAAGTGGTTTGAAAATATTCAGCTGTGGTTCACCTGGCTCTATTATGACGCGTGGGTTTCACGACAGAATTGCGTGTTCTTTGCCATAAGCATGGAGTCGATTGGGGACAATAGATATAAAATTTTAATTCCTAAGAGTATCTTCTAGAATCCCAATGGAAGCTTACGATACAATGGACGAACAAAGAAAGTATGACGAGTACGGAACGCGTTAGTGAAAAACAATTTCGATAGGGAAATCACTTAGGATATTTTGGTCAAAGTTGTTAAAAAAATCCATCTGAGTCGTTCCGACCGTTTCTGTTTTCATTTCAATTCAGTTCCTGGTTACAGCGCTTAGGGTTGGCTAATATTAAAGGGTGTATTTTCAGCCAGTTTCTCTTTCTTGATGATCATCGTCATGCTTACTGCATACATCAGAAAAGAGCTTTTTGTTCTTGGTAAAGATGATAATTCAATTAAGGCTTCTTTTCAGAAGAAACACAATGACTCCACCTTAGGCTCTGATTAGTTTTGAAATCAGCCCCTCCTCTTTAAACCTTTTTACATCCTAGCATCAGTATGCAAACTCTATAGGATAGTAACAATTTTCACGCATATGTGAAGTGTGTTATAGAATTTGATTGCCTCTCAAGGGAGTTGATATTCATTGAACTTAACCAAAACTGTTCGTACAAACAGACTCTATGCCCTAAACCTTTTACACGCCAACATCAGTATGTATATTCTCCATACTGTTCTCTATACATTTCCTAAGGTGCTGACGAAGAGAATTTGTTTAACAATCAAGAGCCTCTTCAATTGTTGATCATTTCCTTTATTCTCATAACCTTGATGTTTGATTCAAGGCTGATATCGCAGGGAGAAATTAGATGCTCATCACTCTAAAGGGAAAACGCGTTAAAGAATTACTTCAGCTACCATTTAGAAGGAAGAAAAGTCGTCAGCTCCACCCAAGTCGAAAAGTCGCTTCGTTGTTATGCAGTTATCTTCGATAATGGCTTCGGGATAAAACTGAAATACGTAAAGGAATAAATTTTAGTTTTTGAAATAATATTTACAAGTGTTTGCTGTAGCAAACCTCTACTGCTTTACTCCTGAAACCCTAGGAGTGATTGATGCCTTAATTCTCCTTACAATATCACTTCTACATCACACAGAATGATTGTTGAATCAAACATTATGGTCGTGAGAATAAGGGAAATGATCACTCATCAGACAAGCTCTTGATTGTTGTACAAATTTTCTCTGTCAGTACCATTGGAAATGTATGGAAAACAGTTTGGAAAATAAGCATTATCGATCTTAGAGGTTGAAGGGATAAACTGATATAAACCAAAACGTCATAAATGATTATTTGCAAATCCGGAATGAACCAGAGCACTTTACGATCTAGATTGGTGCTTTGATTTCAACATACAGCCCTGATATCGAACAACCATGTTAGGTAAAATACAAATATCTGTTAATACTGCAAGTTACAATATTTAAAATAAGCGAAATCATCTTGGATTGATATTAATTACGAAACACGATTTTCTAAAAATAAAGACAAACTTAAACTTTAATTTCTTTGAGACTAAAGTATTTTTGTCACACAGCAACCGTTCAAAATGTTTTATTTCGCTTTCCAGAACTCCGACGTTGTTTTCCGATGCTTTCGAAACATCGTTTCGATTCCAAATACTAATCAACTACCGAAGGGTTTGTCCCAGGTAAACGAACATTTTTGAAAACATTTCCTTGAGATTGTGTTTTGTTTCTATGTTTTTTACGTCTCCAGGACAATGCATTTTCAAGATATTTTTCACGGATGAGATGTCAGGAGATATTTTTGTGGTCTTAAAACTTACATGTCTTGAGAACGAGGATCCGGTACAAATTGTAAATTTGTTTACTTTTTAAAGCTGTTTTCATGTCAGTGCAAATAGGCCTGGTGTAAAAGAAAGTATAAATTTGGATTATTCTATCAAAATACGGTATAAATGCAAACTTAATATACAGTTACGAGTGTTTATTAAATTAACACGCCTTCAAAACTCATTTACCCAATTTGATGGTTGTGGTATAAGTACTGTCGTAGTAAACGACCTTGAATTCATTAAGCACTTGCAGATAGAGACATTATCCGTATTAGTCCTTGAATTCAGAGGAATATTTTTATGTATAATGAGGTTTTCTTCAGGGGTTTTAGAGCGAAAAAATCTCATAATCAACCGCATATTAACAACAATGTACGGTCAATCTGGTTTCTAGAGTTGTCGTTACCCTATTTCAGCGGAATACCCAAGAAAATGAGGATTCTAGTAACGAGATAATAACTTGGCCTACCTGAGAACTAGTTATTGATCAATAACTTCAATTTATTTTTATCTGTAAAGAGAAAGCTAAGACTGTATCATGAGAAGGTCTCGCGTACGAGTTATCACTGTTCAGAATTTGGGTAAAAATTATATCAACATCTAAACTTTGCTATGGGCGACAGTGACGAACCTGGGACGTGTGTTTTAAAGAGACCTGTAAGGAGCGTGGGAAGGGACGAAAATGGACGATGAAGGAATATCTCTATTTATATTTTCTGTCTTAAGACTTTTGTTTCATGTACGTCAACCATTGCAGAACGTGCTTTTCTGTCAATCACCTCATGAGTAAAAGAAGCGAATTTTCCAACAAACTGTCTGTTGTTAGTGATCTTATATAAACATTAGCGCTCGCCGTCTGAGAGTATATCAGTTAAAAGTAAAATGAAACTCATCCTCCTCTTCATCAATGTCGTTGATCCGAGCCTTTACATTTCTTTTTATTGGGCTTTGTTAGCAAGTTGTAAAAAAAAATGACCAAGGCCACCCTTGGATTTTGAATAGGGTCTCATGCGATTTGCAGATTACAAGTAGTCCCTCCTTCGCGTGAAAGTCCGTCACAAGAGTCAAAAAACTTAGCGTAAAACAAAACTGGTCTCAGCGCGCTGCGCAAGACTCTGAGAGGGTAGCGCACGAAAAGTTCCGCGTGGCGCGCTAACATCAATTTTTTTTGGCTAATTTGTTTTTGACTGGCACGAAGGAGATGAGAATCTGCTCTTAGTCTATGCGATTTGAAATTTCCGTAGTATTTGTAGCTTGCTTAGCTGGCCGTTTTGACGTGCGCTTTTGGCTGCGTGCGTTTATTGTTACTGTTATGCGTCCTGAACCTCTCGTAGCTTCTCCGCTTGTATCAACTGCTCCATTACTTGACGCTTCTAAGAGCGCATGAAACCGTCAATTATTTTCCTGGCCAAGGTAATCAACTGTCTGAATTTCGTAAAATTTCATTTTCGACTCGTGGATACTGCGATTATTCGAGAGGATGCCAATTTACAAAAGGTGTATATTCCAATTTTTTTATATTTAAAAAAAAAGGCATCGTGCCATTCAGTAATATTTCTGGGGTTTTTTTTTTCGTTTTGTTGTAAGACGACATCAAGAAGATACGAGGTCTTTGAACGTAGTAACAGACGCGAGATCAAAATCACAATGACAACGAACCCAGTCTCTTAAAAGTGAAAAAGGAAATCTAGTACTCGTCTAGATTGTCTCCTAATGTTCTCTTCACGACCGTATTAAAACTGCAAGCAGGCTTCCATTGGGGCTGCTACAAGAGCGGAAAAGCCCAAGCGTTTCTCCTCCTGGAGAGATACGAACGCGCGAGAAGTCCGAGAAGGTCCGGGCACAAAATGTCAGACCTCGCACGCTCGATTCTCGCGTGCTTCAACTTCACTGCCACGTCGTAGCGCTAATTATAGCCTACGCGCAGCCTAGTCTGAGGAAGACACGATTCTTCGTTCACTTGGATAACTAAGCCAAAATACATTGAAAGCCATTTCTTTTGCGCATTCGAGAAACTTAGAGAAAAATATTTGCTTTGGTTCTTGTAAAATACTATATAAGACCACTTTTAAACTATCGCGCATAAGTTCCCTGAATAAAAATATTCAGATAGATAGTGAAATCACGAGTCCGACAATAGAAATAATCTCTGTGTTTATATAAGATCTTTAAATAACTTCCATCAAACTCAGTTTGTATTTTGATCTCTTTATCACAGCTGCTGTAAAAATAGCTCTACTCAGTCAAATATCGTTCCATTTAATTCAAGACAAGAGGGAAACTTGTATTGAACAAATAATTTAATTCAATCTCAAAAACATGATTATTTACGTATGTCGATATATTTTGTCAATTGACGCGTCATTTGCTGAACAATACTATTTATACTATTTATATTTTTTGTGTAAAACCTTGACGCATTCAAAGTATACTTAACGTAATATATTTTTCTTTGAATTAAGTATTGATATGTATTGATTATCTGAGCCAAAGTTACCAAGACGATCACTAAAAACAAAAGATTATAACAGTAGTGATCCAATTTAACTTGAAAAAATTTGACCAAATTGTGCGCCATTTTTTACCGCGCGAAAACGTGAGCTACCCAATTCCGATTGAATTAAGTTTTGGTTAACAAGATGGCGCAAGTTTTCTGGACCAATCACAGAGCAAAGTAAAGCAAAACCAGAGCAATTCTGAATTATTTTGACACTCAATTTAAAAATTGCTCCGTAACTCGTATGTACAAATCTGCCTTACAATACTGATGTATTACTTGTATTGAATGACTTTAAGCTCTACATTTTATAAATAGTTAATTGGCATCCTGATATAAACTAAGCGGTCGAACAAGGTAAGTATTCTTTTGCTCAATTATTGAACTTTATGGAGATGGTGAGAAACGTGAGAGATGGTGAGTGTCATTAATTTAAAAGAGAGGTGTCCCATACGTCCTCCCTCTTCCAAATGGCTAATACCTTGAGCTATTTTTTGGGGGGAGGGGAGGGGCATTTGTAGGGGGGAATGTCGAGGGATGTGAATAGTTTCGTACCCATACCTTGCATGGCCAAGCGAATGTAATTTATAGTTACACGGTAGGATCTGGGTACGAGATTAGGATGTGAGAAGATAATCCCTTAAAAAGGATCTCAAAACAAACCCAAGTTTACAACGTCGACTTTTCTTGACTCTAACATCTTTTTCTTCAGCCTTTTTCTCCGTTCATCGTCAGGGGTTTCTGTACTGACCACAGGGCTTATGACCGTTTCGTCTGTAGGCGAATTTGGTAACGAGCTTCTTATTTTCCTCGCGTCAATCCCCGAAGCTGCATTAGTGCTTTTTTCAAACTGTTCCTGAATCTGCGCCGCTGCCTCCTCGCTGGTCAATCTTATGTACCGTCGCGGGAATCGTTTCAAATCAAACACCGGCCTTCTAAGAGGGGATTCCTGTGACTTATAGCTACCCTTGGTAAAGCTTGGTGACCTTGTGGCCCCAACTGCCTTTCCTGTGTCACTGTCCGGACTTTTGAATGGTCTATGAAGAAGTCTGTTTCGTTGCCTGGCAGCGGCCTTCTTAGGAAATTCTTCGTCCAAAACTTCCGGATATATCTCGGCGGCAGATTTCACCAGTAGCTGGAACTGTTTGTTGAGTGAAAGAAGCTGAGCTTTTAGGGAGCTTTCCTCGTCTTTGAGATAATTCTAATTGGAACAAAAACAAAAAAGCTTTTCAAACCAGGTGCGAACTTACGTAGTATTGTGTTACTACCTAATAAAAAATCTTTCTCTTTACCCACTCTATATCATTTCCTCTGTTTCTGATCCGTGATTCTTTTTTTAACATTTTTCCAAATTCCCTGCTTTTAACTTGGCAGCGCCATTCGAATTCCAACGGTAATTGAAGCAAGGAATTTAAAAACAAATAAATCATTTCCTTGGACAAAGTTATTCCAAGGACATAAATTTTGGTCCCAGTATTAAAAGCTTCCCATGACCCTGGTACATATTCTTTTACTGAAGCAACGCCTTCATTAAGAGGACACTTTTTCCCATCTCTTATCGTACCCAACGATTGAAATGTCCTATAGTTAAAACATCAAGTTTTAAAATTTATTTCGGTACCACATTATCGGCCAAAGTCAAACGGAAGTTATCTACAAATTTCCTTCATAGACTACAATTTTGCAAGACAACTCAGCTCTAATCAAAAACAGACTGCAAGTGAACAATAATAAATGTTTAGATTTATAGGTAAAAATAAATCTTAGAGAAACAGAAAACACTTCCAACTCTTGACCAATGAGTCAATGGGGCAACCTTGTAAAACGTATTTAATTCATTGTGAATCCTTGAACCGTGTTAATGTTGTTGTTGTTTTTTGGTTGGATAATTTATTACATTTTCTTCTAAGCTTCAGAACAAGCTGTTACGTCGACAGATTTTTTGCTCCTGACTGATCAAAATTTGATCAATATATAATTTCCCAACTATTTAAACGACTTCCTCTTTCCTTCGAGGAGGTAAAAAACTGATTCGCTGGTTCAGTCCTCTTAATGTTCTTTCTATGACAGACTTCACTTGCGGTCAAGAAAGGTTTTGTTCCCGAAAAAAACCATTTAGCATAATGAGGTAAATTTCGTAAGAGTAAAATTTTTGTCACGAATGTCCATAGACAGTTTATAGATTTCATAACACCTCGTGGATCTTCTTACGAAATTTAGGCTCCAAATTTTCCTTTAGAACTCGAAAGTTCTCAATATACAGCGTGTTTCAGTATTGTGTGTGCGCATTAATGCAAATCTCGTTTGCTTTCAAAAAAAATAACATCAGTTCGATAAGAGAGAACAGAGAATTTCCGCCATAACACTATGACCTTAAAATGAACGCTAAAAAAAGATTTTTGTCGAAATAGCACAATTTTCTTTCTGAATTTTCTTGCTAGGGATATTTAGCCAGGGACTTACCGAATTTACAGTCCGTCAATTTAACGCTGCGTAATTAACATTATTGAATTTGATTTCGTTAGATTTATTTTTTCCTCAACCTAATTATCCAACATTTTAATTACTTTCAAACGATCACAGCAAAGCTATTGTAACTATTAAAGAGTAATTTGATACTTTTGTAGTGGAGAAAGTTCAAGAAAGGCCAACAAAACTGTTTCACTTTGGCTCGGTAACGTTAAAATTGTAGTCTCGATTCATTCAACTCAAAATAACGTATATCACGTACCATTTCTTTCTTCAAGGCCAATAATATCTCTTGCGGAGTTTCGTCTCTTTCCTCTGCTTGTGCTGTCATCTTAATCAGCGTGAATAATCTTTTAGTCCCAACAGTACGTCGACCAGTTACTCTGAAAGCTTCGTTGGCGAGATTTCACTCGGCTTTTTGTTCCCAATCTACATTTTAAGTCGTGATTCAACACATTCTCGTAGAACAACCGAATCTCGAGGGTAATGTCAAGAGTGCTAAGTATTGAGCGGCCAGTATCCGACGGTAAATTAAAAGAAAAAGACTGGAGATTAAATAGGTTTTGTCCTGTCTTTGGACTCGACGTTACAAGCTTTATGCGGCCCAGTAGGAAATTATATACACAACCGTTGGATTAACAAAAGATTTGAATGAAGCTAAGACGATGAATCCACAAAAAATATTGTAAACAGATTCAAGACAGAGGCAAGCCATTCAAAGTCAATGATGCTTTCAAAGACTGTCACTTGTTTTGATTGACAACTCACAGTTGCGCAGGTAAACTTGTGAGCGCTGATTCCCAAATATGTTCAATGTTTTGTTTAACTCGTGACTACAAGATTTATTTATGCAAAACAGTTTCTAATTTGACACTTCTCAATACAAAATGAAGTCAGCCCTAAAATTACCGAGAGACTGCGTCAAACATCATGAATTTTTTTGTGTCGAAATTAGTAAGTGCCAAAGAGGTGCAAAATAACTCGAAGTCAGAAACTGAAAATGTACATCCAGGACGATCACTGTGATGAAGGCGCGACTCATCGATAATTAACTTTAAAACAATTATAAGACCAGAGCTTGTTGCAGGCATTGTTGCCGTAAGTTCCCCTCCCCTCCCCCATTGGGAGTTTTCAGTTCTCAGGCCTCCACACGAGCCAATCATTGGAGAAGAAGGCTTCTCATGATAAGATACGATGAAAGATAAAAGATACGATGGAGAGAGGTGTGTTAAAAAATGAGGTAAGCAGTATGCATTTCTTTGGTTGACAATCTACAATAACCGAGACAGAAACTTGCACAAGCTTACCAAAACAAGAATATTTTGAAATGGAAGGTTACTTTACCCATATGATTACACAGGATTAACAACATGATTTATGTTTTTATTTTGGAATTGTTGTTTGGGGGAAAAAGGAGTTTGAACGGAACAGACGCAAGTACTTGTGCTTATCTCGGGTCAGTTCTATTTTTTTCCTGTTTATTTCCCTCTTAACTGATAGTGCAAATTGGCCGTAAGGAGTTTCTAAAGCTAACTTTTCAAGCGTTAGCCCTTCGTCAAAGCGAATCGAGGAATTGTGGGTTGGGTGTGTTTTATATAAAGAAAGGTGGAGCTACGCTTTTGATCGGGGCACGGTAACGAGAAAAACAAACGGAAAAAAAAACCAATAATAAGTCAGTTGACTGAGAAGCATCCGTTGATGCCGCGAGCAATAGGAAGTTGATTTGAAAGATAAATTTTTGTTTTAGAGTTTTACAGCTCTAAAAACTAAATTATCTTGTGATAACCCAAGTGACGCAGCATCACAGTTTCTTTAGAAACTTACCTCCTTTATTCATGTGACCTGGTAGATCAACTAAATAAAACGTGTGTTATTATGTCTATGATATTATAATCATATATCTTTTAATCAATCTACAGCCGGTTGTAACGGATCAAATCCCGCAGATTATGTTATTGAGAATATCATTAGAGAGAGTGGGCGTTTGATTAAATGAATGAGAATTTTCCGTGGGGAAATAAGTTCCTCTTAATTTTTTGAGCATGTTTTATCAGTGGCTGTACTGATAAGATAATTTGCTCACCATACTTAGTGATATTACACGGTGTATTTTGTTTATTGTTTATGTCGCCAACATGAAGCTTTAGAACGAGAACCGCTGCTGATTCATCTGAACACCGCTGGCTCTCGGTTACCCATTCGAAGAGGAAAATCATTTTTTTGCGGTTTTCCTCCTTTAATCTCATTCTGAACGGCAAGGAAAAACTGTCTTTCACGACGAAATCCTTAATGTTTGGTTTCTTGAAAACTCTCAGCCGTAATCCATCATTCTGTCGAGATTTATTTTTATAACTCCGCTGAGGAAAACAACAATATGGCTTCCGTTAGTAATCACGGAAACTCCATAGTCATTGAAGACGACAGCCAATTTCAGCAACAACTCAATCAAGCTGGGAACAGACTGGTCGTGGTAGATTTTAATGCATCTTGGTAAGATTATGGATCGCTGATTTACTACATCAGTTGTCACAATAGACTCAAATTACTTTATTTAAATACGTAAAGTTGTAGTTTGTACTTGTCTGATTCCTGGATCGAAGGTTCTGTCTTGCACAGGAAGTTTTTTTTTTCATGGAAGATTCTCGATCGTCTTTCACCTATGCGCGATTAAAATTTTAAGCGCATTGTTTAGTTTTGCTTCAGTTTTTTTGTAATCAGTTTTCTGGTTTTCCGCTGTAACACTGAAATATGAAACAGACGAGCTAGTGGCTACGCACGAGTAACCTAAATTGATTTGTTTATGAGAACTGAATCACTAATGATTAGAATTCTAGTGATCGTGTTTGAAAGTACACCTTAGACAAAGAAATTTGTCATCTTTACTGAAATTGTTTCTCTTTAAGTGTGTTTAAAAACTTGAGATTTGAGTTTCTGAGACCCACCAGATCATTCACAGTTCAAGTTATCTATAAATTTCTAAGTTACTTTGGGTTGAAAACCACAAGTACAGGGCTCTCGATACAAGGCGGGGCCGGGTGATCGATCACTGCCAATAGCCGCCCATGTCTTGTTATTTGTGCTTTTGAAACTGTTCATTTCTTTTTCATTATTTTAAGCCTTTACTTTTGTTTGGGAGACGCCTTCCTCAGATCATAATGAGAAAACTAGTGACAAAAAATCCTAATGTATGATATGATCTCTTTTTGAAATTAATACTTATAAATTGTAAACAATGTATGGATATGCTTTGATATCTGTAGACATGCTCTGAGCAAATAAACCTGAAGGCAAACTTCCCTATCAAATTTTATCTGTCCATATTCAAGAGATTCAGAATATCATAAATGAAACAGCAGATGGTTAGACTTGAACTATTGTTGAGTGTCTATTGGCTGTTTGTGCAATTATTTGAAAATATGTGTATGTTTTCTTTTATTGAAGCCTTCTTTTCCATTTTTTTGCTTGATCTTTTCAAGAAACCAAAGAAAAGCAACAAAGATGAAAGATGAATTTTTCAGTTTCCATCTTTATCTAAGGATGTTCCTGATTCATTAAATCTTGTTATATTTATTAGATCTTAGACTCTGGCAAGTTCTGTGATGATTAATTTTGTGATCTGTTCTGATTTGTTCATGTAGGTGTGGCCCATGCCGTATGATGGCCCCTGTGTTTTCAAATTTGAGTGTGAAATATTCAGCAGCTGTTTTTCTGACTGTTGATGTTGAGAAGTGTCAGGTGAGCTATAAATGGAGTGTCATTCACTGTCTGATAATTTTTTTGCAGCATGCAAAGAGAAACAGATAATGAAGAAGGTTTGTCTATACAACCTCTGTACAGGCTTGCTACACACATGCAGAAACCTTGTATATGGTGTACCTCTGCTGTGGATCTATTGACAGAGGATCAGACAGTAAAGTTAGAATGTGTGTAGTTCAGATATGCACAGGAGACTGAGACCATTTCACACATTTTTCTTCAGGCAAAATACAGATTTCATTTGTGCCCCTTGAGTGATATGCTTTGGACTGTAAATGTCAACTTAAACCTTTTTACAGCCAAGACCTTATAGTTAATTCTCCCCTCTAGCTGCTACATATTTCCTCATAAATTAGTTACAAGAATTTGTTGTTAGATCAAGATAACAACCACCTGATAAGTTTGAGTATTCTCATTACCTGTTTGCTGAATAATCTATGGATATAATAGGGAGAAGTTACCTGTTAACCCTTTAACTACCCTGAGTGACCAAAACAGAATTTCTCCTTACAATGTCAATACAAAATCAAGAAGACAAGTGATGAGAACCAAGAAAAGTATCAATTAGGGGATTATAAGTTGATCCAATACCAAATTCTCAGAAGTAACTTCAGAATAATTGTATAGGAGACAGAAAGGAGAATTACTAATGAGATCTTGGGAGTTAAAGGTTTAGTCATGTCTAGGAGTTAAACGGGTCAAGCAAATGTCTTCTCCCTTGAGTTAAGAGGTACTGTAAGTAGGTATTAACTTTTTTTGGTGTCAATTGTCTTTTTGTTTATTTTATTTTTTCTCTAGAGGACTGTTGTACAGCAGGGAATCAGTGCCATGCCAACATTCTTCTTCTTCAAGAACAGAAAGAAAGTGGATGAAATGCAGGGAGCAAACCCCAAAGGCCTGGAAGACAAAATCAATCAGTGGATTGGAGGCGCTGTGGAGACAATGGTACTTATGTCTTTATTAATTGTTTATTGCCAATTTTATTTGAAAGTCAGCAGGTAAGACACTAGTTTGTTTCTCAGCTGATACACAGGGCTGGGACAAGTCCAGGAGTGAGACAGGAGGGGGGGGGGGGGGTGAAGTAACCTTCTTTTGAACACAACAGGCTGGAACAAGTTGAAGGGAACAAGGGGGAGTAATAGTCTTGTATGCTGTGCTTTCCATCTTTCCTCAATTTTGATGCCAGCTGCTTACTCTTAAATTGAAAAACACTGCAAATTAATTCTGAAGCATTCTTGCAATTGTACATTTATTTTTCCCTTTCTGCACTCTCCTCACCAGTCACCTTAACCTAACCTGCCCCCTTCCCCCCACCTTTTCTACTGGGCTCTTGTTCTCTGTTCTCTCCTCTGTCCTCTAACTGGTTTTTACATCAGAAACTGAGCTTCAGAAGATTTGTTGCAATCTGAAGTAAAACCTTCTTCTGATAGATTTGCAGGAACACGTCTGGAGATCGCAAGGGTCCCACCTTATACTATTACCCCTGAACTTTTGGACTAGAAAAACTTGATGAATTCTGGAGAAGGGTAGTCACCCCCACCTAGAAGCTGTGATACCAACTTTCACATCATGCTGTAGAGACTGGGATGAGCTACAGCACTGTAGCCTGCTTTGAATTTGTGTAATATTTGTCAGTGGTCTTCATCCTTTTTTTGCTTGTACTTTATGTTATTAATGTGACTTTCCATGTTTTATTTCAGTCTGTGGATCCTAAGAGAGTTGCAACAGGTCGTAGCTGGGACTGTTTTGAACAGCTCCTGGACAACCCGCGGGAAGTCTTCATGGATGTGTCACAGCTTCTGCTTAGGTTTGCATCCAACATCATCAACAATCCTGATAATCCAAAGTACCGAGCCATTAAAGTCAGCAACAAGATTTTCCAGTCACGGCTTCTTCCAGTAAATGGAGCTGTGGAATGCCTCTTCACCATGGGATTCAAAGAGGTAGTACTGATCAAAACACTTGAGTTTCATCAGTGTTGTTGATATGTTTAAAGTAGGTGGCCATGTTATTGTGAGGCCATGTTGTTTCATAAGGTTATACCCACTAGTTTCAAAGGCTACAATAAGTTTGGAAGGAGACCACAAAACCCAAAATCCCTGTTGTTTGGAAACTACTCAGTTAAAATTTCCCAGGCATTCCATAAAGTTTGGACCTACCTTTGAACAAATTCTAAATATCAAATTTAAAAAAGAGAGGTTACTGGTGAATTATGCATTCAGTTCCACTAAAAACTGGAAATTGGTTGTTGTGCAGATTTTGTGTATGGTATTTTGATAATTGTATGATTATTTTTAATAGCAATTATGGTAAGATTAGGCAAAAATAACTTGCTTAAGATGGCAATTAACAATTTGTGTCTAATTTTGCAGAGAGGTGATCAACTAGTGTGCCCACAAGGTGAATCCTTAGAAAATATGTTGATTCTTCAGGACGCGTTGAATGACGAGAGAAGTCGTCATAGCAATGCACAGGAACTTGAACCTACTCCAACTCCAGCACCAGTCAACCAACCTCAAAGCAATGGTCCTTCGTGCGCACAACCAACTATTGTTTCCAGTCCAGCTGCTAATCCGTCGGTAATGATTTTGTCTTCTCTTCAAATAACCCCTTGTTAACAATAGGAAGAGGAAGGAGGCACGATGCCCCAGTTGTCCTTAAGATCAGGGGCACAGAACCAATCCCTGAATGATAATTTTGTTGGTGTTCCTTGATAAGATGCTCAATTCTTGCAGTGCCTCTGTTAGCCTTGGATTATAAACAAGTTGCATTGTCAAATGAATTGTCAAAGAAACCTGAATTCCATCCAGGAGAATCAGAAGTAGTCCAGAGTGCTCTATAATTAAAAGAATGTGATTCTAAGCAGTGGTAGATTCAGATGGTGGGTAGAGGTCATTCAGAGCACACCAACCCCCCACTCCTGTCATATCTTTGGGTTTTTGTACTACTTGTCTGACACCAAAATTCTTGCAATAAAAAGAAGGCTTCTTACTTCTCTATTGGCTGATTTTATAGTAAATTGAGGCTAAAAAGGGGGGACTGAGAGGGGAGTGTTGGTCGAGAAGTAGTCTTGGACCCCTCCTCCATCAAAATTTCCCGTCCCTATTATGGTCCTGATTTCCCTCTGTTTGAGTGAAGAGGGTTTAACATCAGCATGGTGGCCTAGGGTTCTTTACTTTCAAGAACAATCCTAATGAATAACTCTTTTCATTTTTTGTTATTATAGGACAAGGAAAGGGACTTTCTTTTGAGACTTCATAGCTCGTTACAACATGTGCTTCTTTACGAAGATAAAGATTTGCAACAAAGAGCGCGGGAAATGATTCCCCTGGCTGAGTTAGAGAAGAGAGCTAAAGAAGCCAGCGAGAGAACTAAACAGGGAGGGGATGGTGGGGTAGATGAAAGAGATTGCCTTGTGTTAGAACTTCTAAATTGGTTTAAAGGTAAATGTACAGAAATAACAAATTGTCAGCGGTCTAGCGTGGTCTGTACTCTTATCGACAGCTATATTCGTGATCTCAGTGGTCAAAATGATGTGGAATTACGAGGCGCAATCACAATCTTAACATCAAGTGAAACGATTCTTTCAGTGCGTGACCATTGCGTGACACGTTGACGCGAGAAGCGTTGTTTGTACTCTTATTGACAACGCAAAATTGGCCAGTCAGATTGCGACTAATTTGCCAATCAGATTACAACCAATTGTGGTAGAATATGAATTTGCTTCATGTTCTATGTATCCGAGGTGGCATAGATCAGCTACAATGTAAATTGACAGCGTTTTCTTTCTTATGTTCCAGGTACTTTTTTCAAGTGGGTGGACAAACCTTCCTGCCCGTCATGTGGTTCTCTGACGTTCGCTATTGGTGTGGTTCCCCCGACACCTGAGGAAATGGCCTGGGGGGCTGGGAACGTGGAGAGTTATAAATGTGTGTACTGTGGAAAGGTTACAAGATTCCCGAGATACAATCACCCTGCAAAACTTTTAGGTGAGAATGTGCGACAACATCTTTTCAGTCAACAATTCATTTTTATTGAACAAATAGATTCCCTGTTGTCGTATGTCTGTACAGCAATAGATCACAGATGGCGTCAAAATGCGGTACGAAAAAAAAAAAAGGCTTGCAAGGCGCAGCCGAGTGTGTCACTGAAATTCTTGTCATTGACTTTATGTTTTTATTCATTCATTTGTAGAAACACGCAGAGGCCGATGCGGTGAATGGGCCAATTGTTTCACATTATGCTGTCGAGCTATAGGATTTGAGGCGCGACACATTTTGGATTGGACAGATCACGTATGGACAGAAGTGTATTCTGAAGCTCAGCAGAGATGGCTGCATTGTGACTCCTGTGAAAACGCCTGCGATAAACCGCTGCTTTATGAGGCTGGCTGGGGAAAGAGACTCAGTTATATCATAGCGTTCTCTCATGAGCAGGTTAGTATGATAGCTGCAGTTGTAGATCATTCAACAATAGGAATACTCGACATTTATTTTTCATGCTGTGCGTGTTTAATTTGGATATAGGTTTTGGATGTGACATGGCGATACTCTGCCAAGCATGAGGAGGTGAAAAAGGCGAGAAATTTAGTGTCAGAAGCCTGGTTAGTGGAGACGTTAAACAGAATGACTGAAGAGGTGAGATTCAGCGTGGGTAAACATGCGACAGTGAAAGGAAGGAAAACGAGAGAAAATAAGTCATTCGCAAAAAGCGCGGGGAAAGGATCAGCGGTGAGAAACAGAGAAACCAATAGCTGGTCAAAAGCGCGGGAAAGTGAAGAACTGATGGTGATTGGTGAACTAAAAGCCTGTCGAAAACGCCAGAGATTGTGGGTAACGAATAACGGGCGAGAAAGGCGGGAAAACGAGTGACGGGTGAAAAAGGCGGGAAAACGAATAACTGGCGTCGAAGACAGGAAAGCGAGTAACTGGCGAAAAAGGCGGGAAAATGCATAAAAGGAGAGAAAAGTCGGAATACGAATAACTGGCGTAAATGGCACGAAAACATGCAATATTCGAGTTAGTGGTTGGAATTAATTCGTTAAAAGAACTGTTGAAAATAAATGACAAAAAGCGCTCACTCGCTAGTTTCTGGGATTAATAAGTAACTTTAAAAGCAGGAAAAACAGCTGACCGTGACAGTCAAATTAGTGTACATAATTTGGCTTTTGGAAAAGACGAGGGGATGTACTGTAAGTGTCAATTTTAGAGCAGGCGCGGACATCTGCATCTGCTGAAATTTATGGGTTATCCTTTACCCCCTCCTTGCCACCTTCACCAGCTTACTAAAATATGTCGTTAATTTTTAGCATCAAAGAAACCTTAGTGAAGCTAGGCGAAAAGTTTTGGCGGAGCGTCAGGTGAAGGAATTGGTTGAGTTCTTTACCATAAAGTCTGTGCGTCATGATGAACTGCAGGGCCGAGTGTCAGGTTCTTTGGCCTGGAGGCTGCTTCGAGGCGAAACAAAACAACAAGCAGATGAAGAGAAGGTGAATCATAAACTGGCTGTTTTCTGCCCTTTTCTGTTAGTGCAAAATTGCACCCACCTCGAGAAGGAGACTGTAAAACGTAAGTCTGTTAGGATAGAAAATTACAGCTGAGGCAGGAATAGACAAAGAAGGAAGATGGGTAGTCAAGAATGACGAAAAATAACTCGGATTGCAAATGATGATTGAAAAAAATTCGCAAGCGGAAATGTAGCTTCATCCACAGCCTTGTTTCCAGCTCCCCTGTCTTTCCTTCCCCAAGTTATCATGTATGTGTATTTTGAATAAGTTCTTCTGCTCAGTTGCTTGAAAGATGTTTCCTGTCTTTTCTTCTTCCCTTTTAGCACGAGCCTTATATTTATAAACCTACTGACGAGGAAATCAAGGAAAAAAGGTAGGAACAGAAATATCAACGTAATCGAAACGAGTCGTTTGGTGACAAAGTCCAACGGCTTTATCGCACGAGCCCGGGTAGAATTACCGCAAAGAGTGCTGACAATGTTCAATCGTGAAACGAGCCTGAGTTGGCCAACTGGACAATAATCTTCACTCCCCCACTGTCGACCGCCAAATTACAAATTTCTTTCTCTCCACAGCCTTCCGTTGCCATTAAAATCAAAGATGGCGGTCATAATTTTCGTTAGGAAATCACTGAGCACTCTCTCGCCAAAATTACGTTTGCTCTGCAGGCCAGACTTACAAAGGGGTCTGGTTCTTTAACCCTTTGTCGCCTAAGAGTGATTAGAATCGAATTTCTCTTTACAATATCACCCCTTAATCACACAATAAGGTCACGAGAATGAAGGAAATGATTACCAACTAAAGAGGCTCTTGATTGTTAAACAAATTCTTCTCGTCGGCACCGTAGGAAATGTATAGAGAACAGTATAGAGAATATGCATACTGATGTCAGGGTGTGGAGAGTAAATTTAAACCCTGGTTGGTTTCAGTTTCGCTGTATGGCTGAGGAGAAAGTGTGCGTCTTCAAGATCAGTCAGGGAGTGTATCGAAGCGAAGTAATTGTAACCCTCTTTCCTATCAACACTCAACTGAAAATTGACCCTACTCGCTTTTTTTCTCTCCTTGTAGACTACGCCTGTGCTTTAATTGCGTGATGAATAAATATTTCCGAGGTTATGATAGAGAGTTAGATCTTTCTGGTTGGCAGTCGAGAGTGGCTTCATTCAGTTCTATCACACGTAAAGTCGAGAGGGACTGGAAAATGGTAAGAGTGTGCGTTAACAAATCTTCGGTTATTGAAAAACTACTTTATTAACACAGGTTATTGCGAACATTTGACATCTAAAATCTAAGTTCTTTCACTACCCTTTCAGGTTTACCTGGCGCGAACAGAAACTGCTTCAACTGGCCACATAACCTGGCAAATAGATTTAAATTCCTGTGATCTTGTGATCGACAGTGTTACAATAATAGCTAGGAGCGACACTTTTCAGACTGGACGGGTGGACTGGAAACTAAGTGGGGATGAGGAGAATCAAGTAGAAATGCTATCAGGAGGTGTGTGTTCTCCTTACGTTATCTATGAATCTACTCAATAGATGAGTAATGAGGTGGATTAAGGAAATCGTCACTGAAAGGAACTCTTCATTTGCAATTTAATATTTGTACTTTTGTGCGTTATTTATACAGTAAATCGTGAAATGTTCGACGCGCTCTCCAGTGGCGGGAAAATCAATAACTGCAGACGCGTCCTGCCATGAGTGGGGGATTTGCAACGTGTTCTGCAATGGCGGAAAAATTCAGGCGGAACGCTCCTTGCATAGGCGGGAAATTTATGACGGTTTTCATTTTCTTGCACTGAGTTACATTTTGGATAAAAAAAAAGAAAAAGATGAAGAAAGACAAACTGCTAAAGCGCTATAAGTTCGTGAATTATGGTTTGTTTAAAATCAACAGTATGGTTTTTATTCAACATTCATCCTCTACCTTTCAATAGGCCAGGAATCCACCATAACGTCCGTACTCAGTGGCTCCAAAACTCTCAAATTGACGGCCACGATCAGTGGCGGGAAAGGAGACGTTGCTTGGCAACACGCTCAGATTTTCCGTCAGTCATTCAGCAGTCAAAGTGAATATCCCTTGGATATCTTAGTCTCTATGAAAGAACCTTCACGTAATACTCATCTTTAAGGCTTGTGACCCTAGAGTTTGTTGCTACAGTAAAATCCTACTGAAATGAGCTCGTCGCACGAGCAAATTGTTAACAACACAGTTGTCAAACTCGAGCATGCGAAAGGGCATTAAGGAAGGGGAAAATTTAAACGTTCATCGATATCTGTAATTGGGAAAAAAAGTAAGTGACTTATCGAACACAAAACCTTTTCAAATACGGATATCCCGTTGATTTTAGCTTTACCAAAATTACTCTGTCAACTCTAAGATATCAGTTGGCTGTAGTAAATCAGTTTTTTTTTTATAACGAACCCCGATATAACCAAGAAACTTCTTAAGACCAGCCATTCGTAAAAGCAATGTTTGAATGTCATAGAATGCTTTCGTTACTTGTCAAACCGAACGAGTTTTTTACAGTAGGGTTTTACTGTAGTTTACATTTACTGTAGCTTATATTTAACAGATAGCGGAAAACTTAGTTCATTACATTTTATAGGAGTCAAAATATTTAGTTGTCTAGTCGAATTTACTCGTTTTAAGAATTCATTCTCGATTTGTTCTTTGCATTTTCTGTCTGCATTTATTCGTAACTTCTGTGGTAGTTTCCAGACTCATTAATAGTAAGTAGATATGATGCAAGTACAGTAAGATTTAAATTCACCAGAGTGTAGAGCATAGTGAAGAAAAGAAATTAAATTCTTAACGTGAGGAACTTGTGATATGCATATGGTAGGTTAATTAAAATGAAGTTTAGAATAAAGTATGTGATTTAAAAAAATTTGCGTGGGGCTTATTTATCTTCGGCCATCCTCCTCGGTTTCCTTTTGGTAAAGGTAAATCGTTACCTTTTTCTTGTTTTATGTCTTACCGCACTGTAATTTTGTTGTCTTCTTCAAGCTGTAGTTTTGCACGACACAAATTCGAATTGGCCTCGTTAGCGGTACGTCTTTTATCTCATCGAGCTAAGGTTTTGTCGGCAAAGGCTTGATAGGTGATGAACTAAACACTGGTCCCCAGTCCTTGAGCTACCTGGTTTGGCTACCCAAATGGACTATACCCTCTGAATCTTCGGTATTTCACTAGCCATAAAAAAAACGTCAATAAAATGAGGCGATTATTTTAAACTGTTTAAAAAGTTCTTCCTACAAAAAATAGCTCGAAGTCATGTAAACTCCCTCAGTATTGGTCATGAAGTAAGGCGTGATATCGATAATATTCACTGTTTTGTGCTTCAGTGTGTAGATTGACGCAGATATCTGCCATGCACATCGGAGATTTTTCACAGGTAGCCATCTCACGTCTCTAGATTTAGTGATACATGTAGTCCACAGCAGCAAGGTGATCTAAAGCGAAACAAACAGACACGGCATGTTGTATGACCCGACACGTTGCTATTGCACTAAAAAAGAGTGAACGTGTTTACAAGCGACTTTTGAGGTGAAGCTCGAAGCAGAAACAATACGGTATTGTTTCCTTACTCGGAACTGGTTAGATCAAATGACCACCACAAACCGTATAATATCAAGCCAAGCTTTATTAATTATTCGATCTACAAGAAAAACATTTAGAATTCGCAATCAGAACAAAGGAAATCAAGTCGTAATCTCGTAGCTAAATTAAAAAACTTGAAACATTATAATCTAACACTTTTAAATCAATCTATAGAATTAATGTCAATCACGATTATTGTCATTGAGTAAATCTATAAACAAGAGGCAACGCCTATTTAATAGACGAAACAGGTAATAGCATTGAAGACCATTGAAGTGGACAAAAGTATTAAGTGAAATAAGGGGTACTGAAACTAAGTAGACAGCGGAAACGATTTATTGCCATTCCCCGCGCTGACTCGAAGTTGACATTTGACTTTAAACTAAAAAATATTGTATGTAAATAACGAGGCACGTGCAGTTTAAGTATAAGTATATAGATAGCAGGGCTTTCAATAGAACTCATTCGAAATAGGATTTTGTGAAGTTAGTCCATTTTAGGGTAGTCCATCTGAATAGTTCTTGGACCGGAGGTCAGTGTTTACTCCATCACCAAGCTTTGTAAGCCTTGGCTTTCATCTTACATTAACTTTACTACACCTTTAACAAAACAAAAGAAGCCGGTAGAAGACCGGTTGATGTTTAATCGAAATGTCACTGCATTGGGAGAGGCATATGCTGCCAGGGGTAAATGCTCAGCATTATTTCCCAGACTTACCTTGAGAGTACATCAAAAGTAGTAAATTCACTTATTTTACGACAGAAAACGTTAGAAATTATGACTTTAACTGCCTACCAAGCATGCTTCGTTAAGTAAGCGAGTCCACGCCCACGATTATCTGGGCCAGCAGTTTTGTGAAAGTTTCTAATGATATAAGTATGTCATGTATGAAGACTTATGTTGTACCGAATACACAGGTGCATTGTTGACGAAGATGATAAAGAATTTAATTTTTTGGCTGTTTAGATGGTAAAGTGTGAAGTTTTTTATGTCTTATTTGGTGAAGTAATTTTCTTATTGTAATGATAAGCTTTTTGTTGTTCCATTTCCATTTCCTTGAAATTCAATTAGCTTTTTTCTTGGTAGTTTCTCAGCCTTTGAAGTTTGACTATCTTTGGGTCTAGAGCGCAAATATACAGTAGTTCTACTTTGTTATCGTAGCTGGAAATGGAAATGTTTTCTTTGTATCCGTCATACCTTGTGATCTTTTTCTGAATGTTACAGGTTTTCCTATATTTCGTGATGATTTAGCATTCACATTGCGTAAACATTTGATATACGTGCAAATTATTTCACTTTCGAAGATTTTAGATTCGGATAATTTGTCATAATTCCAAATTTTCCTAAAAGAGGTCTACGTCATGTTTGGTGTTTATGTCAAATATATTTGCACGTTAAAATAAAGTATGATACAGATTTTAACCGTCACTGCTTAACAAAAAATTTTGTCACGGATAATTTTAAGTGTCTTCTATAAATTGCAAACATTCGTCGAATACAAGGTTAATTTGAAATATTAAGGTAAGGTAAAGGTCAAGCTTGAGCCATCCGATTCATCATGAGTAGTAACTTCTAACCAGACTTTGTTTTCTTTACACGATCTGATCGTAGGTAAAACAAGATGGACGTTGTAACTTTAGACCGTCTTCAAGCAGAGGTATGGTCCCTTAAATAATTTTTTGTTCTTGTTACTTCAAGAGTTATAACTTTGTGTTAAAATGGTTTAGTTGTGTTGTGGTAAAGTTTCCGCACAGCCACATACCACATTATGCATTTAGTTCTTGGATAGAGAAAACAATGACAAAAACAATACATTGCCATAATTTGGGAAAACAGATTTGTTTAACAATAGTATGGGGCTGTGCGGAAATTTTACCAAACCAAATTTAACCAGAATTAAACCAGGGAAGTTAAAAAATGGGACAATTGTATAGAGGATATAAATGAAGACTGAAATTACTGGTTATTACTTACATACAGTCAAACCTGTATCAAGAGGCATGGTTTTAAGCAATCACTCTGTACTAAGCAATTGGTTTTCAAAGTCCTGAAAGTTTTACCCAATAATTACAGCAATTTTCACCTTTGTTGACCCTTTAATACCTAAGAGTGACAATGTTCAAATTTCTTCTTCCAATATCACCCCTGAATAAAAGGTTTAAGGCACAGGAATAAAGTTCTCCTTGTTAACATCTTAGGAAATGTATAGAGAGCAGTATAGAGAATATGCATACTGATCTTAGGGTGTAAAGGGTGAAGCAGTCATAGTCTACTAAGTCCCAACGACCTGTTTCTATTGTCCTTCACTAGTATTCAATAATCTTTTTGATAAAACTAAATCAATATTTATCTCCGGAAATTGATGTTGGTGGTATTTTTTAGTGTTTTTTTTGCATATTGAGTGTTCAATTATGGTATAAAATGATTATCATTTCTGTGGAACTCATATGAAGCCATTACCCAGCCATTGCCAGTGGATGATTGCATCATACTCAATTTCTGTAAATGTTGCATTTGTGATACTCTGACATATGTACATTAAAAAAATTTTATGTTCTTTAAAAACAGAATGAAAGATACTTTTTAGCAAGGCTTCGGAGCCAGGATGAAGTGGTTCAACTCTATGAACAACCCAGCTTACAGCAGCAAGCTCTTGATTTGATGCCAGTATCTGCAATGAGAAAAGAGGCAAGAAAGGAAAGCGAACAAACGGGAAAGGATGAAAGGGATTGTTTAATGCATCAGGTCAACAAATGGTTTTATGGTATGTACACATAGGCTTTGGAATATGATTAGTATTCATATTTTCCACACTGTTTTCGAAACATTTCTTATGGTACTGACAAGGTGAATTTGTTTGACTATCAGGAGCTTCTTAAATTCAGGTGATCATTCCCTTGATTGACATGAGACCCAAAGTTTATATCTGATTCAAGTGCGAGGAGATATTAGAACTCAGTCACTATGAAAGGTTAAAGGAAATATTCTTCAAGACTGAGTTGGTAAATAGCTCAGGCACTCAAAATGCCTCTAGAGTTTCTTGTAATATCTGAAGAGTTCTCCAATCTGATGCCTCACGAGTGTCCAACAACAGGCATTCTCTTTGTTTTGTAAAAATCCATATTAAGGCTGTCTTTAGATCAGATAATTTGCTTAGTCAACAGATTCTCATCCATCCCAAAGATGCAAAAATCCTTGAACATGATGTGACAGAACATCACAAGAGGCTTTTTAGAGTTAGGGTTGTGTTTCTCTTCTTTAAACAAGGATGCCACTAAGTAAAGGAAACTGCTTCATTGCTCTTAGATAAATTTGACTCATACATCATGTTTGAATTTAGGTTCATTTTTTAGCTGGCTGGATAAACCAAAGTGCTCACGGTGTGGCACAGTAACAAAAAACATAGGAATACTTCCCCCCACAATAGAAGAACAAAGGTGGTTAGTTGGACGTGTAGAGGGATTCAAATGCCCTTACTGTGGGACAGATGAAAGATTCCCAAGATACAATCATCCAGCAAAGTTGTTAGGTATGTAAGTATAAAAATGTGTGGGTTAAAGAGTGAATCGCACCTCTTATGAAAAATTGGGATCACACGTGTGTCATACCACTTTGAATCACACATGTGATCAAATGTGAGATTACACATCTTTGTTTTTGCATGGGACTTAACCATCAAGCATTAATCCACGAGTGAAAAATTTTAAAATGATTAGATTTTATATTTTAGTGGTGTTATTCTTTAATATTTTAAGCAAGGCAGGTGAAAGGAATTTTCAAACTGACAGAGTAATCCTTTTATGTGTTATGTCAGTATCTGAGAAACTGCATCCCTACCCCTCCCCAAGCTCAACATTAACCCTTCAACTCCCAGAGGTGATTCACATAAAACCTCTCCCTACAATATCCAAACATTCTTCAGCAAACAGGTAATGAGAATATTCAAACTTATCAGGTAGAAGCTGCAATCTTGATCTAGCACCAAGTTCTCATAACTAATTTACAAGGAAATGTGTAGCAGCTACAGGGGAGAATTAACAATCAGATCTTGGGAGTTAAAGGGTTAACCCTTCCTTGTTATCAGGTGATTGTTGTCAGATTGGGTGAGGGGTAAGTGTGCAGTTGCTCAGATACTGACATTGATCCTTAAAAAAAATATAGTTCCTTAACCCTTTCCACCCTAACATCAGTAAGCAAATTCTCCATACTGTTCTCTATACATTTCCTAAGGTGCTGGTAAGGAGAATTTGTTTAATGATCAAGAGGTTCTTCAGTTGATTATCATTTCCTTTATTCTCCTGACCTTAATGTTTGATTCAGGAGTGACTTTGAAAGGAGAAATTAGATGCTAATCACTCTCAGGGATTAAAGTGTTAGTAGTGACATGCTTCCAAGATTTTTGGCCTAACTGGATAAACATGCATGAACTCAGTACCAATGCAGTGCTAAAGAAATATAAACTTGAAAATTGGATAAGTCATGGACTAAGAATTATACATTTTTGAAAGGCCTGCATGTTGTAATATACAATTAACTTCCCTCAGAAACCCGTCGTGGCAGATGTGGTGAACATGCAAACTGTCAGGCCTTGCTGCTTCGCTCCATGGGTTTTGATGTTCGTCATGTCACTGATTGGACAGATCATGTATGGGTGGAAGTTTATTCTTATAAGGAGCAGAAATGGGTTACTTGTGATAGAGATTACTTTAGCCGTGAGAGGGAAGGAAAGAAATTGAGTTATATGGTGGCAGTATCTAATGAAGAGGTATACCAGTATATGTTGCATGTATTGCAATGAAAAGAAATTAGTAATGTTGCACTTTTTGTAATAGTAACTTAATCCCTTCTCTCCCGAGGTCTCTCTCCTCATTGTCTGTTACACAATTCTTATGATGTTAGTTCAGAGAATTAGCATTGGACTAAGTTTTAACCCTCTAACTGATATTTTTCTTTGTTCTCATCACTTGTCTGCTTGATTTTGTATCGGCATTGTTAGGAGAAATTCTGTCTTGATCACCAATGAGAGTTAAAAGGTGAATTAAACTGATGAACAGAATGTTCAACTTAGAATCAGCAGTTTTTACTGTTACATGTTTTGAATTTAATTTTGCTGCAGGAGTGTCATCATTTTCATTATTTTAAGCTTTTAGTTTTCTTTTCTACACATTGTTGTTACTTTTCAGTGTACAATAAATTGCAAATTCTGATTCTTTTTCCCACTTCAGACTGTGGATGTGACATGGAGATATTCAACCAAACAGAATGAAGTCATGCAGCGAAGATTACATGTCAGCGAGGAATGGCTGGCAAGAGCATTAGCATTTCTAAATTACCAGGTCGGTTGCTCCTTTCAACCATCTTGCTGGGAATAATCACTACAAGGCTGTGACTAGCACAAAATTTTCCATGTCTTACCAAATTTGGACCATCAGGGTCTGTGCCTTGTCAGTCAACTCAGAGTGAAGCTTCAATGAAACTAAGGGAATTTTTCATCAACTGTGCACTTATTTCTTCCCTAATCCAACATTAAAACTACTCGTTATCAGTTGACTATGGTGGGGTTAGGGGAGGGGTTGGTGCCTAGTGCTCAGAAACAGACATGGATGTACTTTTGACAGGTCAAATGTGAACTGACCAATCACAATAAAGCTTAGCACGCACACACACACACAAAAAAATATTTCTCAATTTCATAAATGTTTCTGATGTTCATAGTTATCTTACAAAAAGTATATCTGTTAACCTAATAACTAGTTACTTTTCTGACTCATGGATATTAAACATGGCTATAATCACTGTTTCAATATTGTCTGTTTATAATTTTTATAGAAGCAACAAAAACTCTCCCCTGCAAGGCGTGAAACACTCAGGGAACGTTCAGCTCTGGAATTGGCTGAGTTCCTTTCAAACTATCAGAAACAACTTGAACCCAAGGTAAATTAAACTATTCTTTCTGTGTGACATATTTCTTTATCAAAGATAGGGCTCCATTCCACAAACACAAGTTTTGGTCTCACCAGAACAATGTTTTCCCAGTTTGTAGCTGTTGCTTCTGTTCAAGCCTTCACGTCCCAACATCAGCATCCATCCATACTGTTCTCTATACATTTCCCAATGGGCTGACAAGGAGAATTTGTTTTACTATCAAGGGCTACTTTAGTTGCTGATCATTTCCCTTATTTACACAACATGAGCTAATGGTTATGGCGCTATAGAAACCCTTCATTGTTGTTATTGTTATTATTTTGCCTGTAAATGGGATTAGAACCTTTTTGGTCAGAGTGAGATCCTTTGCTTTTTTGTCTTTGATTTTTTTTAACTCTTATGAACAGCTTTAGAGTTCTTTTTTAACTGCATTTTGTTTTACTTTACGTTACAGCACACGCCTTATACATTTACACCCACTGATGAAGAAATCAACAGCAAAAGGTAATTTTTAACCTTACATAAACATGATTTACATTTTAAGGAATTTTTCTTGAACTCTTTGATCTGATTATTTAAACAAAGTTTGCCTTTTTTTTTAAAAAAAACTGCATCCTATTCAATCCTTGATTTAGCTGGACCTTTTATCTGTACATTTATTTTTGTGAACAGTGTCAAGAAGGCTGAAAGCTTACAGTAGAAGGACATTTATTGAACCCTTTAACTCCCATGAGTGACCAAGACAGAATTTCTCCTTACAATATCAATGCAATATCAACTGGATAAGTGATGAGAATAAAGAAAAATATCAATTTGGGGATAATTAGTTGGTCCAATACAAAAAATTCTCTGAACTAACATTAAAAGAACTGTATGGTTGACAGTAAGGAGAATTACAAATTTGATCTGGGAGTGAAAGGGTTAATTAATTCAACCCTCCTGTGGAGAAAGCCTGAAGTTCACTGATTGTGTAAAACTGTGGTTTGGGTTAGAACTTCTGTGAATAACTGGCCCTTTGTATTTAATTTAGTTACCTCTGAAAAAAAGATTTTGTAATTCTTCCTGCTTCCTTCTGTGAATTCTCTTCTACATTAGTACATACATAGAATTTGGTGTTTTATCAAAATAACACCCTTAAGCTAATAACTTAGTATTTCTTTGCATTTTCTTTTTTCCCAAAAATTTGTTTCTCTGCATACATGAACCAACTTTTACTCTCAATTTTTCCCCTAAGTCCTCAATTACTGAAAAATTTATCGACACATTCATAAGTGTCAGCTGGATGATGTACCCATGATCTTCTTTCCTGATGTGAACAATGTCACCTAGGATTGTTTATCTCCAGGCATGCTTTGGTAAAACCCTTAGAGAACATGAAACTGGCTGAGAATCTAAATTATGAATTTTCCTTTTTAAGGTTACAGGTGCAGTATTGTTGTGCAAGTGACAAATACCACAGGGGACCCAAAATGGAGACATTCTTGCAAGGTTGGAAGTCTGGGGCAGCAGCTGTGAAGTCAGTCTTCAGGAAATATGAACATGATTGGACAACAGTGAGTTTAATATCATATTTGTTGCATGAGAAATGCAGGTGTCATAGTCCACTTACAAGCAGAGTGACATAATCTAACTTGAAGAATCTCCCCTTGTACTTATTTTAATCCTAATTATCTTCCTGTCAATCATCACCCTTACTTCTTCCCCTGTCTTCTTTATGTTTCTTATTTTATTTTCTTTCCTCCCTTTCTTCATGTTGTTACTTTATACACTCCTCCTTCTTCCCCTATTGCTCTTCTGGCTACTTTACCACCTCTTCCTGCATTTGTTTCTGCTCCAAAAGCTTTTCTTCTTTTTCTTCTCCTCCTCCTCTTCCCCCTGCCCCTACTTCTCCATGTTTTCATCTCCATCTATACCCCCTCTGTACCCCCTTCTGTACCCCATCTTTACCCCTTCTGTACCCCATCTTTACCCCTTCTGTACGCCGTCTTTACCCCTTCTGTACCCATCTGTACCCCTTCTGTCCTTATCTTTACCCCTTCTGTACCCCTTCTACTGTTTTTCTTGCTTTATACTATCCCTTTCGTCTTCCTCTATCTTCTCTTTTCAGCATTATCATTATCTTAAAGCAATTATCATAAAAACCCATGCAGGTACTCAACTATCTTCGTTCTCGTGGAGTGAAAGAAGCTGATCTAACAACATTAAGGAAAGGAAATGTAAGTAGACTGATGTAAGTGATTAGTATCTTATTTCTCGTTGCAATGTTACCCCTGAATCAAATGTCTAAGAACCAAGAATAAAGGAAGTGATCACCAACTTAAGAAGCTCTTGTTTGTTAAACAAAGTCTCCTTGTTAGGAATAAGCTTTAGAACCTTTTCAGTCAGATCCATATGACAAAACTTTGATCAAGATCTTACTCAACATTTGTTAATGTGGATATGAGACATTGTACCCAAGATCTCATTTTTTTGATATTATTGTATGATCTGTGAAAAAAATCTTTACCAGGATAAAAGTAATTTATTTCTCATAATTACCACATGAGAGCAAGAGCATGAAGAGAGTGAGGGAAATGTTTTTGTAATTTTTTTTTACAGGCCTTCCTCTCTCGTCTTCCTTCTTCGCCAACTGGTTTGGTTTCATGGGCAATGGATTTCTCTACCTCTGGTTTGGTGATCGACACTATCACCATAATAACTCATTGTGTGACCATGGAAAGTGGAAAGGTAGACTGGAAACTAGAGGGAGATGATGACGTCGTAGAGAATCTGAGCTTCAGCAGTCAGCGTGGTATGTGTTATTTACTGTCAAACTCAGAAAACCATGAGCACCTGAGATACATGTATGGTTGGAATGTTTATTTTGTCTTGTATGTCACGGCTGTTTCTTACTATATTCTTGAGCTATGTCAAAGCAGAATTCTGTGAACTTACACCTTGTGGAAATGTTAATCATTAAGTTTGTTGAAATTAATAATTATTTATTGACTCACTGCTAAATTATTAATGCAAAATATTCAATTGGAGTTGTCTTTTGAGAACACCAAATGTTTCCATCATTTCCTTGGAAATGGTATCTAAAAGTATGCAATAATGATTCAACAGTTTGTGATCTTTTTTGACGTGGAAAGTTACCATGCCAATGAAATAGCTTCTTATGAACATCCATAATTTTAGCGTAAGGTTCCCATACCTCAAGAGTGAGTTTAGTTTCCCCCTGTAAATTGCAATCAGCTCATCAAATTTTACTGATCTGAAAAGTCTAATAAACGATACCTTAGTTGCAGAGCTCCCGAAATTTTTTTTATGTTCTTGAGCTAATTGAAAAATATTCAAATGCCTTTTTAGCGACTTAGTATGTTCCATTAAGTTTGCTTTTGTTTGTTTATTATGATTTCTAGATCACAAATCACACACGACTTCATCCCTCAGAGGCTGCAAGACTCTCAAACTGACAGCTGCCCTCAGCGGAGGAAGAGGCAAGTTGGCTTGGAAACATGCTCAGCTTTGCAGCCAGCCAATTGACAGCGAGGGAGACTCTTCCTTAGATATTGCTGTTACACTAAAGGAGTCAACAGCTTAGGATGTGTGTAACAAGTTTTAAAACGAGTAGTCTTAAGGCCACTGAACCTCTGTAATTTTTACCATAAATTATACAGTACCATCTAGGTGCGATTTTGAAGGTATGAAGCATAATTTTCATGGCTATACTGCCATTTTACTACTTTCAGGGTCGGCCTTAATAAGCTAGAGGAAAGAAATATTTATTGTGGTTTTCACATTTCAACGGGGTAAATAAGTTAAATAGCTCTAATTTATATTTAATAGTATAGTTTGATCGTCCGGGTGAGTGTAGTCCTGAGAAGGACTGTTGTCGGTAATGGTGACTGACGTTTCGACAACCTGAGCGGAAGTCGTCGTCAGAGTCAAGTGAAAGGTTGTTGTCAGTCGAATGTACTTAGTCCGGCTTGTGTAAATTGATAAGTCAGTTTTGCCGTGATATTATTGGCTGTAAGACCCAAGTGGCGTAGGTCAGTCGTGATTGGTCGGTTTGGATCCGTTAATGAAGTTAGGTCGTTCTGTTCGGTTCGTTTGTAATGTTAATTACATTACAACGTTAATTAAATTACGTTAATTACACCTGGACGATCAAACTACACTATTACATGTTACCACCGGGTTCAAACCATTTACAGCTATAATTTAATAAGCTGATTTAAATAGAAAAATTGTTGATATTGACAAAATGATGTTGTGGATACATTTGGGATTGTTAGCAGGCTAACTTACAGAATGAACAAATTTTTATAAGCAGATTTATTTTTCGGGATTTTATCAGTTATATAGGTAGTGGCGGATATTCATTCAAATGTTTGTTATGAATTTTTTTCTCGGTCTGAGAAAGCGGAATTGCTTTGTTTATTGTACAAAGCGGCATTTCTTAGATAAGGTAATAACTTATTTGTAAATGGAAAAGGATGCAGTATGTGAATTCAAAAGTGAACGAATTTTGAGGGAGTTAAAACGGATTTAGTTATCAACTGCAAATTGTAATGTTTTTTAAGGAGATCAATGATTGTAGGAATTTTCTATAAATATTCTCCCGAAATGTTTTAATTCTTATCAGCTTTGCATTGTAATAAGCAAGTACGAGGTATAAATAAAGGTATAATAAACGTTGATTTTTTGTTCTGTGGTTTCATCTTGCAAGCATGTTCATGGTATTGATACGCATGTTCTTTATACAGCCAGCCGCTGCCTCCTGGACTCTTTCATCTTCTGAGCCCGTCAATGCCAGTAAAGTCTGATGGGATCAGATAGGGAGAAAGGATTATTTTAGAATTAAGCATGTGTACAATGATGTTCTACATAAAGTACTATGAAACACACAAGTCTGAAGAACGTTCCTGAGTTGAATACGAGGAATTGTTAATTAACCGTGAAAATTCCTGATCGGGTATTTACCAATGAGATAAAGGGAGTAAGTTCCTAAAGAAACTGTGGTGCTGCGTCGGTGGGAGAGTATAACAGGGTAATTTAGTGTTATCAACTGAGTTGAAAACGTAAACCTTTCGATCGTTAGCCCTTCGTCAGAGCGATACATGACAAAGGACTAACGCTCGAAACGTCAGCCTCTAAACTCTTAACAGTGGCCAATATACGTTTTCAACTCAATTGATAACACTAAATTGAACAATGAGAGACTTGTATGCTGTAACGTGGTCTAAAGTGCTTTTTTTTACGTCGCATGAAATGCGAAATTAGACTGCAACGTTAATTAAGGTGTTAGAGACGTGCAAATGCCATACTATTGGTTGAACAGTGACAAACCCTGAAAAATACAAAAATTTGCTTTACCTGCAGTGCGTCATGTTGATGAATAATAAAACAGTTATATGGGTCACGTGACAGTCTTTCCAGCGCGCAAGCGATCGCTCGCTTTACCGCTACGTCAGAGGATCGTTTGAGGCTGTCAGCGAGAGGAACGACCGCTGATGAGAAGGACTTCACATTCTTGTCCAATCCACTGCAACTGAAAGAGTGCCAAACAAGACTTCTTATCAACTCTACTTTTACCATTGATGCCTTTCGGTTGGTGACTGTTTGAAAATGTCGTAGTCTCATCGCTTGTCACGTTTGTCACGCTTGTCACACTTTCCGTCTCGGTGTTGTGTGACCAAGAATGTCACTCTGTGCTTTGTTTGTTACTACTTACGTTGCTATCGCCTCTGCCACCCATTGCTTTAACTCTTCGTCTTTCTGAAAGGTAAGGATCCTAAAAATTATTCCAGCGATAATTTAGGGTCAGGGTCATGATCGATTGCTATACTGCAGTCTTCGTCAAGTAATTCGGTCGAAGATTATGCGCCGCTATTTAAATGGCTAGTTTTCATTGACACCTTTCTCCTTAGCGCAGAGTAAGAAAACGGCTAAGGAGGGTAGACCCTCTCTTCCTAGACCAAACCCTCTTTGCTTTGTCAAAGGGGCAGCTCTCGTGCGATTTTTATGTAGAATTTATTGTCAAGGGAAGACACGAAAAAAAACGGAATCCACGGTCTATTGACGGCTAAACCTTTATATACTGACCGTGTACACCAGTGATACGAGAAGAGGTACCACTTCGTAATCTGTCAGGATGGACAAGTTCTCTCGATCTCTGCCAATGCTGATTATTGCTTTGTTTACACTTATTAGCACCTGAGGGAGGAAAAATACTTTTACTTTTCCAAAAAAGACTGATTAAAAATATCTTAGGTTAGGGTGAATTTTTAACAAGATTTAGCCCGGGTTGGGACTATCTTAGCCAGTTCCTGGCAGAAAAATTAATCCTAGGGTCCGAGTGTATTTTAAAATGAATACCGATCAATTACCTCCGTATCGTCGGATCTCAGTAGACTGGTAATGAGTTCTAGGCCTCCGACGAATGAGCGCACCATTTCTGCTGACTCCTAGAGGACAGATAAGGACATGTTACATGACTTTAACCACTGAGGAGACATACTGTTTCGTAATTCATGCGTTGGGCCATGAAAAAAATGCCGCTGACTCCAAAAAACAATTTTCCTACAATTCTGTTTCCACCCTTTGAAACATGGGTTTTAGAGGTAGCTGCAGTGTTTGGGAGTGAAATTTCAGCAGTATTGAATTTTATCAAATTTCAATTCTCAATCGCGGGTGAAAAGTAAAGAACTTTGAGCCCATTGAATCGAGGGAAATTATTGAACAAGCTCTCGCGAGAAAAACCTGGTATGAACAATTCATATTGAATTCAGGTTGCATTTGATTGGTTGAGTATGGACAAAACAAACCAATTACAGAACGTGGAATATCAGAGAAAAATTCTTCATCACGATGGACACTCAAGCTAACTATTAATAAACGACTCTGTCTAACCTCTTTTTTCACAACACACTCACTGATGGCCTCTGCCGCAGCTGCTACAACCTGGGAAAACAAATTCTCTTTGTCAGTATTATAGGAATGTCTAGAGAAGAGAATACGGATATTGATGTTGCATGCAAACATCGTATAGATACTGTTATTGTCGGTTACTGTGTGAAATTAAAAGAAGATACGTTGTGCGAGAAAGCTCTGGGAGTAAATCGATTGATTTGCAAAGATAAAAAAGATGGCAATCGGCAGGTAGGTCCGTAGCTTATTAACGGTCTTTATTTTTAGATTCTAAACAGTAAAACTCAACCAATTACGTCTGAGTCGGGAAACTTCAATAAGGACCAAAGAAGCCGTAATCCGTCTGTTTGAAGAATTGTACTGCAACAAAGTTACAAAATATATTAGTCAAGAGAAACCAAAAATGACTACATGAAACTGGAATGAAAATTGAGGTAACACGGCTTTTAACAACAGCAACAATAACTTACAAACCTTCTACAGGATTCCTCTTTAGCACAAATCGCGAGGAGCCTGGTAGCGTTAATTTGTACGGCACGTTCCGTGATGCTCAGCGCTCGCACAACAACTGGGATGACTTTATCCTCTTTGAGTGTCAGAACTGTCCGTTTACTGTACGCAAACTCGTGCATAGCACCCATAGTATTAGCCAAGACCTGGTGAGTTAAAAAGAGGTGTCAGAGTTCTTTACAAGTGAACGAAAAAAGGAATCCTACAAAGCATTGGTGCACTGTTTATATGAGTTACTCCGCTCCATGATTGGTCACTAAAATTTCGCGTCATTCTCTCAACCAATCAGTAGCTGTATGATATTTTCCTCTGTTGTGATTGGCTCTTGTAAAAATAAATACAACACAATTTTGATGCAGTTATATTCAATAATATGACTTTTCAACTATCACAATATTTTGTACCTCGTTAGTTTGCTCTGGAGTCTTCAACAATAGGATCAAAGCTTTGACTGCACCAAATTGCTCAAGCCTGAGATCGAAAAAAATTAATAGTATCAAAAGAAAACACCTCTTACTGAGGGGAATTTGATGTCAGTTCTTTTAATAAAAGCGTAACGTGACCTTTAACTGTTTTTTATTTGGGAATTTTTTTTCAGTTATTCTGGTTATGCGCTCCGAGTAAAATAAAAGCTTAAGAGGGCTCAATAATTGATACTTTGAAAAATAAACTTGGAAATACACAGTAAAAAAAATTCCACATGCAACGATCGGATGCTTATGGCAGCTCAAATGGCAGAGCAGCCTGCTACGAAATTGGAATTGACTGGAGTTCGATTCCTCACATAAGAGGACTGAGATTTTTTGTTTGCACTTCGGTTCGTTTCCTGTCCATTGCAAAAATTGAATTCCTCTTTCTGTGTCTTCCTTTACCTTCTGACGTTGTTTTTGTTCAATGCGCACTTCCAAAGGGCGCCGACCGTGGCCGCAAGGAGTTGCGTGTTCTCAGAGGACCTGGATCCCATCGTTATTTGGACGAGCAGTTCCAGGCCACCAAAGCGGAAAATCAGTTCGCGAGTGGAATCATCTTCGGCGCACTATAAAATGGGAAAGTTAAAGGAAAATCATGTTTTGACATTAGACTGAGTCCAAAAGTTTCAGCAGCTTGTGTAGTATAATCGTCTTGCTTTAAGGTGTAGAGAAAAAACTATTGGTGACTCAAGTTTTGACAACCTAAGCAGAAGTCATTTGTCGGAGTCGGAAGGCAATGGTTGGTTAGTTCATGATGGTTTGACGAGGCTGATTGATCATTAATTGGCTAACTTTCGTATCTTTATCCGTCTCTAGAACACTAGATTTATCAAAGAAAAATACTGATTTGACAAACCTTGAACAAAGCATTGGCACATAGAGTCTGCAAAGCTGTGTCGCCCTTTTTCAAGTGCTTAACAATCGCCTCCACCATCCCCTCCCTGCGGATATCATCACGAAAAGTGGGCTGAAGAAGATCAAAGAAAATCCTTAACGCTGCAGTAACTCTGTGATGACATCAAAAGGGTCATAAATAAGTCATTTATCAGCGGCAGGAAAGTCGTCATGCTTGCCACGTTTATTTCGACGCATGGTATGTCATTGCGGCCCCTTTAAACCGACGCTAAACTGTTTAAAAATCCTTTCAACGATATGCATAACTACAGATTAGTTGCTTGCACGCATGCTGAATTGAACGCTAGTTCGTCGTTTTTAACCCCCAGAATTTTCACTGGTAAAAATTTGTAGTTTTCACGAATACTCCCAAGAGAGTAAAGTGCTTCGTTAAAGAACAAAGTATAACGACTCCAGTCGGTCTCGAATCCAGACCTCTACTCTGAAGGCCAAAACACTCACTGACAGGTCACCAGGTCTCCTGCAAATGTCCTTACTTGTCTCAATAGCTGGAAGCTCGAGACATTTTCCCCATGCCAAGTAACTGAACCAATTGCAACATTACATTGTTACCCTTCCTGCATTTCGTACCTCGCTAGCACATTCCATAAGAATTCCCATGGTGGGTAAAATGACATCATCCGTCCCGCTGACCAATAGGGAGGCGAGGATGGGTACGGCACCGGCCAAACGGATGGCTTGAATATTTTTAGGGCTTCTGCTGCAGCTCCACAAAGCCATGCATGCATTGTGGGTAAGCCCGAAGTTGCTGTCTACTTTCGATGGGAGCCTAGTGCGTTTCCTGTTTTCTGGTTGAATCATGTTCACCTGAAACAGGCATGACCACAGAAAAGCTTTTAAATCAACTTTTCATGACTATTTTTTATCAAATTTTCGTCAAATGATAGACGACGACAGAGATTTTGACAATCAGAACACTTAATAGCCGCGTTTGTTGTCACCCGCGAGGCAGTTTGTTGGGTTATACTTCGAGTTCTCGTTGTCTTTTAGTGGTATTTTCCCTTTTTCTGACTGGCCGTTGTGATCAGTGGAGGCGAACAAAGGAGCGGGAGCCCGGGAGAACAGGGGGCGGGAATGTCAAAGTTTTGGCACAGTTTGAAAGTTGAACACGGGTTTCTGATCCTCTTGATTAACCTGAAGATGGGAGCAACACAATGAAGGGTGGGAAGGCAAAGGGGCACAAAAGTATGGGAGGCGGGAGAACGTGGTACAGGAAGCGGGTGACTCTGACTTCTCTATCCCCCACTGTTTAGTTCAGTTCTGGTTTTACTGAGGTTTTACTAAATTCAATCGGAAAGCACTCAACTTCGAATGTCGTTGATTTGAGGTCCCTCTTCTAAGAGAGGTTCAAATCTCTAATACTTTTAAACATGTGTTTGATCCTTTCGTTTCTCACCAAATGTTTTATTCCTCTACCACGCCGAATAGCTCTGTAAGCCAATCGGAATGTAACCACGTGACTAAGAGTTTCAGCAGCGAGGGACTGGATCTCTTTCGAGTCTTGTCGAAGGCAATCAATGAGCTGCTGAATACCTGAAAAGAACAGAAAAGAAAGGCTTTGAAACGCATATTATAAAAAAAATCCTTCTAATTGAGATAATTCCTCCGCTTGGGGTTTACACCTCGCTACATGTTAAAAAAAACTATCTAATTATTTTATCTACGTCATCAAAGAAATAAAAGACAAATATCAGGTCTTTTTGGCGGGAAAACAGGGTAACTAACCCATGAGAACTCAAAGCCCGGGTACGCATCTGAAGATTTCAGAGCGCGGGAAATCATGCGACCGGTACGAATCGCGGGAAATCAAGCCACCCACCAGCTGGAAACGCGGGAAAACTGTATTTAACCAGTTGTGAACCAAGTTGAGCGCGGGAAAGTGAAGAGACCGATGTAAGAAACTGGTATAAAGTGTTGATTTGCAATTATCCCAGGCGTCATTGATAGATCAACGATGACTTCAACAAGAACGTTCCAACGAGAAAAACCTTAATTAGTAAAACAAAAGCTCAGCACGTGAATTTGGAAGTTTATACATTTCGTGGTCGTCTTGTACAAAATAAGTATTTGAAATTATCATATCTTGTGCAGCATGAGAATGGGAACCCCTTACGAACAATCGGTAGTTCGAGTTTTCGTTGGAACAAACGCAAAGCTACCTTCGCTAGTTTAGCTGAAGGGAAAGTCTGGGGAGTAATTGACGGGAAACTTTTCGAGTAACTGTGAATTTCTCAAGGAAAAAGTAAGTTGTTGTAAACGCTTAAGCTCTGTTGTGAGTTCAACCTTGTTTCTAGCGCTTCGTAGGGGTTTTTTGATCTTTAAGTCGTGTTGGTATTTAATCACATCTAGTATTAATTAGTCTTAACTAAGAAAAGACATAAGCATTGCTTTTCAAAGTAAACTAACTCATAAGCAGTCTTCGTAGCAGACCCGATTAAGAGCGGAATGGGTCGGTTTTGTGTCAAATTTTCCATCCTTACTCTCGTTATTATGATAATAACAGCTCAGTCACACCTTCATTCGATTAAAAACATTTTCACCACTTAACAAAATAACCGAGATAGTACGCACCCTCTCATTGGTCAAAAGCCTTTCGGGTACCCACAGCATAGCTATTTTAGGAAAGCAAGATATCGCATACCCAATGCCGATTATTAATGAACGGTCCCTTAAATAGCCTTTTCTTACGTCTACACTAAAGTATCGTATAACAATTAATCTTTTCTAAATATTTCTTATATTTTATGCGCATAGTTTTGGGCAGATAGCCACAATATTTTACCTCCCAGACGACAAATCTCAGTATTTATCCTCTTAGTATTCGTTATCACTCTTAGTATTTTGAGAGAACCAACCTAAAAGACAAAATCACCGACATACTTGTATTATTGACACTTCAGCACCTACGTGATTTTTTGTTAGGATTGGATCCGTCCTCCAAATTAAATTATTTCAATTATTTTTCCTTCTATGCATATTTTTCCTATGTATTCAGCTCAAGTTGACGCCTTTTTGCTGCACAAAGGCAGTGTCGGTTAACTAGCTACTTCGTGATACAAGTTATTCTGTCTGAATACTGCGAGGAAGAAGCACCAAATTTTTATTACGTATGTGAAACTATGAAGTATCTGGGCACCCACATATCTAACGTTTCTCTTCCAGCTTTCTCTAACCGTTCAAAATGGTTAGGAACTTTTGCAGTTCTACTAACTTTTGGGGCGTATGGAGCTGCTAAAGCAAGGCTTTCCCCTTTTCCTTTAAATTAATGTGTTAATAAATCCAAAATGAAAGAAACAATTCCCAGTCCCCATTTCAAGAATTCATTACCCTTGATCTAATTTTCGATTTACCCCTTAAGGATACAAGTTAGGTAGAACACAAAATGTACAAATCATACCACACAGCGCCAGTAATCTGTTTTTAGAATGTTAAGGAGGATAGTGATTCCACCGAGATCCAGAATGGCCAGCTGACTTGATTCCTGTTCCAGGCTAAGATCGCGAAGGGCGCATAGCGCTATCACTGTAGCTGTTGGGTTCCCGAGCTTAAAATAACACGTATGTTTTATTTGAGTTTAAACCAAAAATGATTCTATTTTGCAGGATTAAATACTCTTAAACGACACGAATCTATCAGAAGTGAGTGATAATGAACTGAATGGAAGCTGATTGTAACGGAAATTAGATGAAAAATTGATGATATTTCCTTCAGGCGTGAAATCTAAAACCACAGCTCTTTGATTGAACTAAAATAATCACGCCATCCCTTTAACCAATCAAAGCGGACTAAAACCAATTCAAACTTGATCGCGCGCATTTTCCCGCGCTTTCTTTGAGTTATCATTGGCTCTCTATAATTTTTTTTCTTTGCTCTAATTGGCCATCGTTGTCACTTTGTTCTCGACTAAACGACACTCATTTGATCATTGTTCTGATAGTTATTGTTTCTCCAGCTCTTACTTAAGGATGTCTTCAATATCAAAAGGTTTACGTAGCAGTTGAACTTACCTTCAAAAATTTGATTAGCTTGTGAATGTCCCAATACTCCGTAGTTAGTTCAGGTTTTACCTTTCAAATCCAAACACAGAAAATTTGTCAGTTAAAACAGATCATAAGCCTTGGACACTGCTGCAGTAAAATGTAAAAATCCTTAGCTGCACTCTTATTTTTCAAACTCCTATTATATCGTCGTGGTTTTTCACTAACTTCTCAAAACTAACCTTATAGTAAATTTATAGTGATCAGTAACGAGAATTTATGATTTCATGATTTACCTTTCTTGACAACTCCTCATCTTCTTCACTGTCGCAACTACTTGACGACGATTCACTCTGGTACTTGTCAGCGGCATTCCTGAATGAGCTTCTGTGCTGTATACTTCTTGTTTTACCACTGGAATTGGATACAGAAAATAGCTTCATATATAAAGGGTTTTTAGAGTTTGGTAACTAAATTTCTGATTATCTGATGATAACGATGAAAACGCACCCGACAGAAATCTTGTCCTTTGTTCTGTTCTTGGCATTGTTCTTTCGTTCTTGAGCACTATAGACAACAAAGATACCATTACGTTTTTAAAGCCATTTAAGTCTGTTAAAAGTTGGAACATATTAAAAAGGAAAACATCGTAGGAAAATGTTTTTATAGTTGAAAAAGAAGAAAAAAAATGGGGGGGAGCGAAGAAAAAACCTCATTCTTCTGCATGACACTTTCCAGGAACAATATTTGTTTCTTGGGCCATCACTTAGCCATCTAACCCCTAAGAGTGACCAGCATCTTATTTTTCATTCAATGTCACCCCAGAATCAAACATTGAGGTCAGGAGAATAAAGGAGATGATCACCAACTTAAGAAGCTCTTGATTGTTTAACAAATTCTCCTTGTGAGCGTCTAGGGAAATACGTGGAGAAGAGTATGGAGAATTTCCATATTAATCTCGTACCCAGATCCTATCATGTTACTGTAACTTGCATGCACAACCGCTTGGCCGTAAAAGGTCTGGGTACGAGATCAGGTTAACACATCTAGAGTAGGGATTGTGTGACTACATACAGATAACAGCTACAATTTACCTTCGGCTCTCATCAAAGAGATTCATGTGATTGGTTTTCCATAGTGTCTTGTAAGTCTTCTCTCGTGATGGTTTAAAATCAAGTTTTTCTCCTCCGTTTTTCCTAGGAGACTGTTCACGTCTTTTAGAGTCTCTCTTCCGTTCTTGCTTCTTAGAACTTGCTACTTCTGGTCGGCCTGACCTCTTAGAGGTCTGGGGAGAAGTCTTTTGATTGGCATTTTTCTCTTGTGATTTGCTAAAGATGGAAGTAGTAAAACGATAATTTTGAGAATAATAAGGAAAAATAATTGAAATACTTTAATTTGGAGGACGGATCCAATCCTAACAAAAAATCACGTAGGTGCTGATCATTATATCAAATATTTGGTACTTGTGATCTAGAGCCAGGCCTTACTGAATCAGCTGTGAAAATATCTATTAATCATTGTTTAAAAGTGTATATTACAGAGCTTATTTAAGAACAATAACTCAGAGGGAGAGAGAGAGAGAGGTTGAGACCTAAATAACAGGACAATAGATAACCCTTTACGTATGGGTACGTACGGGAGGTCCTCGAGCCTTAGAACACACTTCAAGAGCACTTTTTTTTATCGAGGCTAACATTTAAATTCCTTAATCGGAAAATCTTCTTAAATTGTGGTTCTTATCAGAAACAATGAAACCTTTCCCACGCGAATATTTGTTTAAATGGATATATGTGCGATATGAGTTTGATGTAATAGAACGCTTCAGGGTGTAAGAGCGCATCCCCCCCCCACGTTCCTTCCCATCAGACGCGCAGCTTCAAGCCCTTTACCGGATCGTGTTTCCTTATAACGTGTTCAACTGATTAAGCAAGTGTATCGCAAGGGTGGGAAAAAAAAATCTACCGTTGGTCAGCGGTTTTCCTGTCGTTATCCTTTGTTTCCAGTTCTTCTTCATTTTTATTTAATTCTGCGTCATGGTCTCCTTTTGCTTGTGGTGGGTGTTCCTCTCCATCTAGACCTGTCCTTTCGTCCTCAGAATACTCTTGTCCCTCCACCTCACGTGAAAGTTTTTCCTTCAACAACAACAAATCGCTTGATAACTAAGATACTACGAGCGCACCGGTCGGTCACAAACCTATCGCTTATTGGGCCGTGTTAGCACACTGTAAAATACATTTCTTACAATTAAAGGGGTACACCGCACTTTGAATCGATCTTTGAATCGATTATCTGCTATATTATTTAGTAGAAAAAGTGAGTAAATCCTTTCGCATCAGCCTGATATTTGTAGGTTTTTCTCTTGTACTTCACAGATTATTCCATTATTAAACTGTTCAGTTTATGCCTTATCTCATTGTTCATCAAATTTTTTTAACAAACTTTTCAATACTTACCACATGATCTTCAATATTGTCACTGTTTTTTTCTTCTTGCACCTGATTGGTCAGACCTTCACGGGATTCTTCCGGTGACGTCATATTTGAGTGGTCTGAGAACACAATTGGACTTGTAGACCGATTACAGGTGGCTGTAGATGTCCTTTCTGGCCAGTCATAAAGTGGGTCCGTGCCTGTGGTGCGCAAAGCAGTCAAACGCCCAGACGAGGAGGGACTGTAAATGACCTGTGGGGTGGACACCGAGTCACTCGCTCCCTCAGGGGTCAGTGAGCCTCGTCCTGATGTTGAGGAGGTATTGGCTGAGCCTGTTTGCTGCCGAAGTTCGGTAAGTTCTGCCTGTTGCTTTTCTACTAAATCTTCCAGGCTATAAAACCACAGAGAAAGAAAACGACCATTATGCAGAGGGTCTTATTGGGATGATGGCTTTTACAGCTAACGGTTAAAATGTTGACCAATTTACGGCTAACTGTTAATACCTTTTCATTGTCGTCAACAGATTTGTTTCTTAAAGTTATTTCAATTTTACAACTAACGGTTAAAATTTGCCAAATTTTACGCCATACGGCTAAACTTTTGGTTGTTTTGCGGATAACGGTTAACCCCATTGAGACCCTCCATGAATTTAGAATTTTATTTTGTGATAAAGAATATGAAGGAAAATTCCCTAACTACCTTATATTCCCCACCCCCAGGGGATACCCAGTCAACTTCCGTAGTTTATATCAAGAGTATGCTCCGGGGGGGGGTCAGGGGAAAGGGACAATGATGACTTTAGAACACACTGACGAATTACAAGAAATATGGTACCCTTGCATGTACGTTTTACCTCAAAACTACAAATTGTAGTTTAAGAACATTCACCCCTACTATAAGTCATTAATTTTGCTTTTACAAGAAATTGAGAGCATGAATTCAATTCATTTTCGTAAAACGATGCAGATGCCTTATCAATGAATCAATTCTCGATCCCAAAGCTTCTCTCTGCTGCGCATGCGTAAACATTACACTCGAGGCTCCTGAGTTAAAAATGCATAAGACTGGGGAAGAGATTGTCTTGAAAACGATCGCACATGCTACAAGACGTTCACACGGCACGAGTCTTGTATGATCCTTTTCTTTCATGGGCAACCAAAATTTGCACACACTCCCTAAATAAACATTAGGTGCTAATGTCCTTTCCGCTGAAATGGATTTTCTTCAGTGAACACCTCGCAGCGATGAACTCAATTAAAAATATTCTCGTTAGATTTAGTCACCCTCATGTTCCTCCTTATCAATTTTTTTTTAAAAAAAAAATTGATTCGCACGATCATTTTTATGCCTCGAAAATTTTCGCAAAATTTTTTTCCTCATTTGCTAATGAGCGCAATGTCGCCTTTGTTTTTCATCTCACCACAAAAAGATGGAAACAATGAATTCATAATGACATGGTTATGTCTTCTTTATGGTCCTCCCACCACTCATCATGAAACTCATTTAATGTAACAAAAAAAAAGCTCGGGGAAAAAGGTGAAACTTCCTTCTTAAAACCTTGAGAATGATTTTCTTCCAAACTAACCTTCAAACGAATTTATAATTTAAATACATGCGAAGTTAACGACCTAAGCAATCCAATACTTGTCTAATTTTTATGACAAATGACAAAATAAGTTTCCGTAATGGTATCAAAATGATTTCGCTTTTCCCAACGCGATGTTTGCCAAGCAAGTCGTACATTTCAATTTTACTACTTATGCATAAAATAAGATCTAGTTGGAGCGGTAATTGCAGAATATTTCAAGTAAGAGAGCATGTTATCAGCATGTGATTAGATGACATCACGACAGTCTTACGAAAGAGAACTCACCAAAATATATAGTCTTTAAAAAACGTGCGAAGGATTTGCGAAATAAGAATCAGATTCGAGAAGATCTACGTCTGTATGTAACTCACCAAAGAATCCTTCAAGGCAAAAGATCACTTAGATATTAAAAATTGAACGCATTTATACGCTTTCAATATTATGGCTTGAAAAACTACTTAATTTTCGATTAGTCTAGCTTACCGTATCTTCCTTTTTCCTTTCTTCGTCGCTCTGTTCTTAAAAAATCAGCTTAAAGGCTTGTACCGAATGCTTTAGTAATTATAGATCTCTTTAACGATCGAATACCGAGCTAAAAATTTCCTCGCCAAACGGATGTTCAAACTTCATAAATAAAGCTTGAGTTCTCTATGGCAACCTTGTAGCAACTCAGCTGTGTACATATTCAAGTTTGATGTCATGCAGCTTTCCCTCATTTGAATAAAAGTGTTTTTTATTTGCAGTTGTTGATAGTCTGGCCGACCATTGAGAAAACAGCCTGTGTGCGCATGTGCATTTCAATGTCACCTGTTGGCTTAACGGGTAACACGAGGTGATAAGCTATTGAGCATGGTTCTACTTTTTTTTCTTTTTTTTTTTTTCTTAGCCTTGTAAAAATTTCTACACCGGGCTCTCCTAGTTTCTATCGTCTTTACACTTTTAACAGTGAATAAGAGAGATCACGAGTTCAAACTATGGATAAACATGTGTTTCTGGCGCTCACAAGGAGCAGTTTTTTTTCTCGGTCCGTTCAAAAACAAGAGAAATTCTGATCCCTCAGGCGGTAATTTCAACAGAAAAATATATCATCTCATAGTATTACTATGGCGTTTTTCCTTTTTACTTCGAAAAACAGAAAAAAAGAACTTAAAACGAAGCCCCATAAAGACACCAAAGGCGACGAGATAATTTCTAATAAAATTCCATAATAGATTTTTCTAGGTAAGTTCAACCGCTGCAAGAACGTCACGAGCGCAGCTACAATCCCCTACTGAAGCGGCGACCACCGTCAAGTTTCTTACAAATGGCTAAGTGCCTTACAAAAACAATTCGTCGGAACGCTCACTTATCAGTTTTATGATTAAGAGATGGCCTGAAAAAACTCCAGCTAAGATAATTGTCCTAAGTTAAGTAGTCACATAAAGTAAAATGAAATTTCTGGGGGAATGTACTTATATGAGTTTTGCATATTTAATTTGAACATCCTTGGAAAAAGTAGAAAGGAAAAGTATAATCTTGATCCCCGAGAAAAATAACAGTTGTTATGTCTTAAACACTCAAAAAATCCATTATTTTGTCTAACAGATATCACCAATAGTGACTTTTTCTATTCAAGTGTTAATGCAATTACGACAGTTCGGTTTCATGTGCAAATTAAAACAATGTTCTCGAGAATTTGCATTTAAATGAGCAGTAGCTATCAATAATATTTACTGGCTACAAAAGCTATTCAAAGGGTCAAGTTATTCTTACGAAACATTAAAAGAAAAAGCTAAGCAAGCAAATGAATTAAATAACCAGGCATAATCACCTAAGAAAAGAAACCGTCGCATTGGATTATCAACATTAAAAATGACAATTTTTCTTGTTTCACGTCTGCGTCAACGACTGAAGTGCATCTTTCTTTGATAATCAGCCAAATGCTTCCTTTTCCCGCCTCTTTTTGCGTACGCGCGCTATTTCTGTGAACAATCTTGTTTCTACTTTCGTTTTTAAGACAGGAAAGCTTTTTTCTTGAATTGATTTTCAGACTTATATAAGTTTGCATGCGCACGAATTTCTGTTAAGTGACTACCAGTTTTTAAATAAACAATCTTGAAGAACATCATCCCTGTTTGAGTAGATCCGTGTTTTATCTTCCGACTTGAAGGATGCTGATCATGAACTGAACCCTAGCATATGTTTTGCAATTTAAATTTGTAAGAACAAAATCCTCTCTTACTAGTCGAAGATAAACTAACTCCTTGCGGAGTGCAGAGCTACAACATAACATGTTTGTAGATAACAAATGTTGTTACCACAGGGTTTACACTTTATCGTTTAAAGAGCAAAGTGGCCGAAATGAAACACGACTAACATGTTTAGTTCATCTTCTATGTCAACAAAACATTTACTAGCTTGTGTGAAATGAATGTACCGTCGTTTTGCGTCGAGAATGTCTGCGATGTCTGTGCATAACTCAATTATTTTCTTCTGCCGGTCTTCCTTGTCCTTCCCCAACGTATTGAATCTTCTAACGATCCGCACAGCTTCTTCGGCTACCTGTAAGCGGCCGAGGTCATTCACTTCTTTCTCAGTTGCCATCTTTAACTTTTAATCCTGTGTATAAGAGCATTTTGTTTTAGCAATTCGTGCAGTCGAAGACAAACATCTATCTACAGTATTCTTAAACCTCCTTCCAGCCAAAAATAAAACATCAATTAAAGCAGATGGTTCTATCTCATTCGTGCATCTTAACTACAGGATAAATTCAAATCATTTCGCACCCTTTTTTCTGCTTGGAAAATGTATCAATTTTCCATGAAGGACGCGTCATAAATTAAAACAACTCACGTTTGTTTCCTATTCGTCAGAAACAACCAGAAAAAACAGGGAGCCGTGAATCGTTTATGGACCATATGCTTAGTATTGTTTTCGTAAACGAGACATCACTAAGGGGCTGTTTCAATATGATGCTGAGGGCACTTGGCTAATATTTGGCGTCTCTGGACTTCGCCATTGTAATGAGTTTAATTTCACTCGCCTATATGAATTTCATTGTATGCAGTGCGTTTAATATGATACCATTCTATCTGTTCTAATGGAAAATCACTAAAATCTTACCAAAGTATTCTATGATTCTGGTTCCTGAATTAGAAGAGTCGTGTTTACAATAACACACCGCAGAGATTTTAAAACATATTGTTAATTGCTTGAGGCCAATGCTAATTTAAGAATGTAATTTTCAACAAATGTTACGAGTTTCACAAAACATTTAAGCATACATTACCTCCATATATACATATATATATATATATATATTTTTTTTTTTCCTTTTTTTCAGGGAACTGAGATGTGCACGAAAAATTAAAACATTTTCAACAGGTTGATATATTCACCTACATTTTCATGGCACCTGCAAAATGAGCCTTAAATTGCAACGCGACCCTTCGAAATTTGTCTATTTACTTTTAACACCTTTTTACTGCAAAGATAATTGCTTCTAATAGCGCATCATTCCAAGAATGAATTAATAATGTGACATGCATTTGTCTATTAAATCGTTGCGTGTTCATAACGCGTTTCCACGTGAATTCGATATTTTCATTCATGACATTTCACTCTTTCAAATAAATTGTTTACAGCTTGTTAACAAAGATCTTCTCGACTATGAGTCACATGACCAAAACCAGAGTCATCAAAACAGCCAATGAGAAGCAAACTGAGTCGGACGCGGGGAAACGGAAGTAACCAACGGGTGGTTCGTTTTAGTTGAAAATTTGGCACGAGTTTTCTGAATTAATCACAAAGCGTAGAGAGGTGAAACTTAAGCAATCCTAATAAATTTTGAGACTCAATCGAAAATTACTCTGAAAATTCACTCTGAAGAGGGCATGAAGGTAAAACTCCCCTGTTGAACTACTGGGTAGTTTTGAAAATTTTTGGTTTTCACTAGCTGATTATCAGGATGTATTTCCATAGTAAAATATCCTACAATTATTCAACGAAAGCGAGATAAACATTGTCCAATATTTATAGATATAAATTTTTTTTTCGAATTTCAGGGCTGCACTTCCTAGTCTCCTAGTAACCGATCAAATATTGAAAATGAAGCTTTGCAAAGCACTTCTATCTCAGTTTTGTTTTTCACGTGCGATACAATTTGACTTTATTCCGCTTTGTCCTGTATATAAATAACACACTCAAAAATGAGCTAACGTCTGGTAAATTTGAAACAGATCACGTCTTGTAAATGACATGAGGTGTTGGTCTCCGTGTGTTGTCACTCAGGTACGATATACTATAATTATGTATTCAAGGCTGGCTGTTCCTATCAGTCATAATCAATTGTTTATAAAATGTATTGTCCTTAGTCGCTGCTATTATTAGTGCACGTAATCAGATTAACCTTCACATTTAATACACACAGTCATTAGAAAAATAAGACATAAACAGGCTGCGGTGAAAGGCCTGAAAAATAACCCACTTAGAATTATAATCATTTTCGCTAAGCTTCTCTTCAATACGATTGCAAAATGAGTTCTGACAGTTTTAGAATATTATTCTTTATAAGGGCGCACAATTATACAACCGGTATAAACAAGTTTCGGTTCCTATGGACACAACTTCTTCGGCAAGTACGAGAAAAATCGACATGCTTTTTCTGTTCATCCGGTTGAAATCGCGTGAGCAGAAAAGTGGTAATATCCAATTTCAAATTTTATTTATCTTCGGCATTGCTTTTTGATAAAAATGGAATTTCAAGAAGCGCAGGAAGCGTTTTAAAACCGAAATCAAAGTCTTCAAATTAACTTCTTCTCTGCATATCTTCCCACTGAAAAATTTAGCCCTTAAAGTGAGGAAAATCAAGCAAAATGCATACCACGAACGAATATGAAAACTGATTTAAAACAGCTTTGATTACTCTTTTGTAACGATTTACTGTTCGTATCAAGACGGAACTGCCCGTGAAAAATATATACATGCTGCTATAATATACATTCTACGCGTTGCAATACATAAAATATTATGGTTAACCATAAAGGTAAGATTCGCTGAAATTACCTTGGAAAGAAAGGGAAATCGGTGAATTTTCAGATGTTACATCCGAGAAGATATTGAAAGCAAACCGTCAGTTTTTTGTGACTGGAAGACGCCAGCTGCAAATACGTTTTATAACTTTAAATATGCGTTGCGTTTAATTTAATATTTCTATCCAATTATCTTAATACAAACACGACCACAGATAGTTAAATCACACCTCTTTGTTCCAGACAAAGGATCTTAGAGAACTGCTAAAAGATGTGGCGGTAAAATAAATGAAACGCCGTAATGAAAATTCAGATGGAAATTACAATTCTAAAATTCCTGTTTACTTCAGAAGATTTCAAACAAAAAAAAATATATCAGGCATAAATCTGTCTGGTTGATATTAATGATCGACAAAAACAGTTTTTATGTGTAATGTAGTCATTTTAACGACTAAAACATCACGAATAAAAACGGGGAGATTTTCCATTCCCTAAAACGACTTATTAGCAACATCATTGATGTATTTATGGTCTTAGATCTTTGCGGGCTTTTTTCAAGAGGTAATTTTTTTAGGCACAAATGGAATTAATGGTTTAAAGCCGTTTATCACTAAGTGTGGTGTCGATGTTTGTATGGGGCCATGGAAAGAAAATGAAATCCTTTAAGGAGTGAATAATGTCCAATTAAAAGCTTTGTTTCCAACTCAGTTTCTCCAGGTAGTTTTAAGAATTTGCCACTATCAGGAGGCAGAGAGACGTGGCTGACAAAAACGTTCATAGCTACAACTATATGAGAAGACCAGATAAAGTCAACTATCTTTACCTCGATATTTGAAGTTTTCCTGTGTTAGTATGACTCACGGTATCTCGGGATTCAGAAAATTTCGTCATATGATGCTTATTAAATTCACTGCTAAGCTTCTGAAACCTTCATTTGCTCTTGAATCTGCTGTTACCCTGCGACCCCTCTACGATAGCGTATATTTCATGATAAAACGCTCATTTTCAAGATAAATAAACTGATAGCGGATATGTTAAAACAAGAAAGCCCTGATCCGCAAAGTAAAAAACATGACAGAAAACCATGAACAAAATGCAGTCTAAGACAGCCGAAAGACAAATACTTCCTTTACGAAATGTTTTGACAGGTAGATCATTCATTCATTGAAGAACCCTGACTGTTATGAATGCTTTTCCTCCTTTTTGAATCGTTCATACGCGAAATTCAAACGATGTCATGACAACAGTCATGTTTAATAATCAGAAACGTAGGATACCCGGCAAACTGAGTATGATTTGGCCAAATATTAGAATATAACTTGTTTCAGTATTGTTTTTTGGTATTTTTTTTATAATATAAACAACCGTTTTGAAAATAACAAAAAAATAAGATTGAAACCTTGTTTTCCAACACCAGACACGCACGACGGGCGATCAAATCCATAGCCCACAAATCAGTGCGGTCATTCTCAGCTGGTCACAGTAATTACATCTTTAGATTTTTTTTTGTAAACAAAATAATTGTTTGCCATTAAAATCCGCCTAAATCTAGATGAACTTCATACTATGATATTGCCAAAATAAATAAGTAGTTCAGGTTGTGTGTACAGCTTAACTACAACCGAAAACGATTTATACGTTTAGGGCAATTTAGGTGTCAAAACATTGTCATCCGAATTACTTTTCGAATTCTGATTCAAATGGAGATTTCTCGGTTTCAATTTCACGTTTTTGTGCAGTGCTGAGCCGCAAATATCGGCAATTCTTAATGGCTTCTGTATCAACCGGTTCTTTCTTGGCTATTTTAACTTTTTCTTGCATGGTTTGTTTTTGTTTTAAATCTTTTTCGACGTTTTGGTACAAAGGTGGGAAATAATATGGCGATCTCTCCAATGGCGGCGGCTTATCTTCGTCAACAACCACCACATGTTTTTCTTGGGCTTTTTCGGGGGACCTTGATTCTTTGAAGTTCATTTTATGTTCTCTGCCCCTACTCCCAGAACTTCGTCTCGAAGACAGTTCACTTCGTTCCCTAAAAAGCAAATTACTCCGTAGAAAGCCTTTTCTTTCCAACGACAGCCGTTGAGACATTTCGTGTTTCTCCATTTGGATTTGTCTCTCCAGATTTTCGAATCGTCTTTGCTCCGCACAAAATGAACTGTTAAACTTTTTCTTTGTTGAATTTTCAAGGGATGGCAAAACAACGTCTATATCACTCCTCGTGAAAGTCATCTCTTCGCCCTGTAAATACTGTTTATCCATATTTACTGTAATTCCAAGGAAAAATCTTCACTTTACACATTCAACACAACCACTGAAATCAACCCATCCGAAGCCGGCAAAAAGCTATTGGCACAGTTACGAACTGTTTATAAATACTGACACTAATTGTGCTCCTTATTTGCAAATGTTTTTGCGTTTCGACGAGAGATAAATAATCTCAGTAGTATTCTTAAAGTGGTTCTGTATTTGCATATTGAAGCAGAATATTTTCATTCAGATCACCCAGGTGTTATGTTGCTAAAAGCGTCCTTAGGACCAAAGATAGCAGGCGTGAATTCTCACAGAAAACCTTTGTATTCCGTCAACCTTGCAGATAATTTCTGTTTATTTTCATATTGCATGTTTTACAGTATTGATAATTACCTCTACCCAAAAAGCTAATTTCTATGAATTTTTGGCAAATTATTAATGAACTACGTTTCCTATCTTGTTTTTTTCTTAAGCTCACCAGCTGATTTTTCGAATGTTTTTAAGGTGAAAGTTATCACAACGTTTTATCATTAATCATTGAAAGACGACACAATTTCCAATTTTAATAAAATTTCTGATAAAGAGCGATTTCCTCAAACATTTGGGTTTAAAATCAATTACTCAAAATCGTTTTTGAAATAGTTAAAAACCTTTGAAAAACAACGACGATTCGATGTGCTACAAAA